GAGATGAATGCATTTTTTTGATACATTTATATAAAAAAGATTATATAGAGGTAGCTACGGTAATCCAGGCCACAAAGCTGCTGTTCGTGGATTAGTTGTTGATAATCTCAATCAAATGTTGGTGTCTGGCTGCAGTAGTGGTTTGCTAAACTTCTGGCATTTTAGAGAAAAAGGTAACAAATATTTTTAAATATAAACCAATAACTGTATTATCTACTCACAGTTAAAGAACCTTGGAGGACGATGCGATTGCTGGAAGGTATTGCGTTTATGCGCTCACACCGCGACAGTTCCATCATTGCCGTAGCGTTAAATAACTACACAATTTTAGTAATTGATTTAGATACCAAAGGAATCATACGCAAATTTGAAGGTCATAGCGCCAAACTAAATGATTTGACTTTTAGTCCCGATAGTCGTTGGATTATTTCAGCTTCAATGGATGCAACTATTAAGGTGTGGGACCTGCCTTCCTCATATATGATTGATCAGTTTCGTGTAGAGAAACCTTGTGTATCAATCACCATGTCACCAACCGGCGATTTCTTAGCTACTGCGCATGTCGGTTATTTGGGAATTTATTTGTGGGCAAACAGAACGCTCTTTAACCGAGTACCATTGCATTCTACTAACCCCCGTTTCGGTGCTCCCTTGGTCGAAGATCCATCGAATCTAGGTATCGAAACGACAAAAGTGGACAAGGCCGTAAATGCACATGATCTTATATCTAACCAAGAAGAGAATTTGGAACAAATCGACTTTGTGTACCTTACACCGCAGCAGTTGTCGAAGAATACAATTTCTGTCTCTAATCTGCCTGCGCTGAAATGGCAAAATCTATTCGATTTGGACATCATTAAGAGACATAACAGACCTAAATGTCCACCAAACGTTATCAAGCTGGCCCCTTTCTTTATACCGACTCTATCCGGGCTTGAGATGGAGTACGATGTTAGTACGGACAAAAGAAGTGTCGGAAGAAGAAGTTGAATTAACTAAAGAAGTACAGGTATACTCTTTAACGTTTTTATCTTCATTTTGCATTTTGAACGAGTATTCTTAGGAGACCGTAGTTGAAGCTGAGTATGAGTATATATATAACTATATAACTATTTGAAGAAGAATACGGAGAGCGAAAAAGGGTATATGTTATCTTCATCTTATGGTTCCCATTAAAGGTTTTTATGCATGTACCATTCAGCTATTTCTACGGAAAACTTGTTCTTGACCAACACTAGCTGAAGAAAAGTCGGAAGTAGAGATTAATGTGCCGGAAACTGAAATCATTTTCAGTGAGTTTTCAAAGGAGGAATGAATAAGCACTCAAAAAACTTTACCAAAGACGGACTTGCTCACCGAACTATTCCAAGATGATGATAAATTATTGGATATGGTGGCTAAAAGTTCGTACGGCCATATCAATCGGAAGGAGGGCAAGTAAATGCGAAAAATCAAGCAATGACACCAAAACAAAGAGAAAATCTGACAAAGTTGGTATTATCTCAAAGCACCCTCCCGTTAACTTCTTTACCGGCTTCGCAGAGTGTCGTCAATTCACAATCAATCAAATTCAATGAATCATTTTATTTTCAATAAAGTTACAAAAAGAAAGAAAAGCAACAATATTTTTATTTTACTTCCAACAACAGATTTAAGTAACAAAAACCTCCAGTTTTTCAATAGCCTCCGTATATAAAGGAAAATCGTTTCTATGCTAAGAGTATATATGTATACATATATGAATTTAATTTATCATTTGCTTCTCCTATTATATTACGTACCTCGTTATAAAAAAAATATATGGTATGAGCGTTTAATTTTAAACTTAAGTTTTCAATAACAAAATATATATTAAATGTGTGTAATAATTGAACATATACAAAACTGGAACCTCCACTTTTTTGACGCGAAATTTTAACTCAATGTCGTGGGTTCAAATCTCAAGTGCGGTAGATTTTTTTTTGATCCAAGCGCTGTAAGAGAAAATAATTTAGTCTCTGGCTAAATTTATAATAATAATAATAATAATTTTACAAGTTAGCCTAAAATTAAACCGTCATAATTTTTAAACAAAGCCCTCGCTAAATTCCCTGTTGAAAGGCAACGCACAGAGTCGCTTATAATAAATAAATGGTTAAAAGCCCAACTTAACAACTTAAATGTTCACGCCAATCAGCTATGTTAAATGTCCAGCTTAACCGACAAAAGGGATTCAATTCTGTTAGATAACAGAGCACACGTGACACTGCCGCTAGAGAATCTTTAAACTAAAATTTCCTTTTTTTATTTATAACTTCTTCGTGTACTTGCAAAATGGCTTTAATTTTTCACTAAAAACCGTTCCCTGATTTTTCCCTTTACATGGTTAAAAAAAAAAGTACCATATGTTGAGAATAGAGAGCACAGAGTTGCTTTCAATAAATTGTATGTTTCGATTATGTTAAAATGTGGAGAACTAGAGCATTATTGTGTTAAAATGGGAAATCGAGGTCATTAAAAAAACATATGAAGTCAAAGGGAAATATGGAATTTCGATTCAAAAACATATGAAATTGTTTACAATTCAAAAGGAGGTATGGAAATTTGAATGAAAAACATATGAAATCAAAGGGAGGTATGGAAATTCGATTGAAAAACATATTACTATAAGACTATTAATGCGTAGCTGTAGTTTACTATATACATCTTCTGATCTTTTGCAATACCACGACATTAATTTCATTTACTTGTTTTCTTGTTATATTTTATTATTCATTTAAATTGATTGTTAAAAAAAAATCGAATATATAATGAACAGACATTCGCGGTATTTATTTAGAAGTTAGTGTGAGTAAGTGATTATTAGCTCGTTTCTATTGGACATTAAGTTGGAATGCTTTAAATCGAGCTTCTTAAGAAATAAAATTTCAAAAATAGAATAGGAAATAATTATGAATTGTTTAGCGATTCATTACAATTGGGCTTCGAATTTCGTCGATATATTTTACAGACGCTTTATGCGATATTGGACAGGAACATTGCAAACTTAGAATTCAGGACTTTGGAAGAGTGCAGTATCTCTTTTTTCGCTTGACTATGCTACACCATTCTACTGCACATCAACGGCTTGATAATATTAACTTTAAAAGGCAACTTACAACCCCAAAGGCATTTGACAAAGAGAAATTACTAGATTTTTCAGATAACGGATTGAAATAGGTGCAATTCACTACAAAACTAGTGAAAGTCGAGATGCTTCGCAAAAATCTTTGTGGTTTCCAACGCAATAATCAAGACATAAGTTTGATCAAGGTCTTACTCGTTCGGCCATATTAGTTTTCAACCAAAAATCAGAAGAATTTTTCTTACATGTTTTTGGCGTAAGTTTTTTGGGTGTAGGTTTTTTGGTATAGTTTTTTTTGGTATAGATTTTTTTGGCGTTGGTTTTTTTGGTGCAAGTTTTTTTGGTGTTAGCTGAAAATGTGGCCTCTTTAGTTGAGAATGTAAGCAAGCATATGTGGCTCCGAAAAGCTAAGAGATGCAGTAACAGGTTGACGTAGACGTTCGATTCTTCGAAATTGGCGCTTCAATAGGCCGCTTAGAGCGTACGACTATTAGCGTTCTTTCTTTAGGTTTACGTTAAAAATAAAGCTAACATTAATGTTGCATCAATGTTTCAAGCATTCGTTCAATAAATATAAAATTAAAATAAAAATATCAATTCTCATTAGAACGCTGCGTACTTCGGTTGATATTTAAAAATTGATGCTTTGTGTAGATGGGCGTTTCCAACGTACTTTAGATTAAAATAAAAATATTAACAATTTTCATGGGAACGTTGCTTACTTCGGTTGATATTTAAAAATTTATCCTTTATGAAGCTATTTGTAGTCGGTGATTGCTGATTACAGGCAGACAAAACGTTGAATACGTGTTTAAAAAAACAAAATATCAATTCTTGCGATTTAATACTAAAATATTCGTTAACTCTCTCTTTGATTTACTATTCAGTAAGTCCCATTAATATTGGGTTTTTTCGCTTGACAAAAAATAAATGCTTGTCCATAGTCCAAACAAAAAAATTTATTTTACTGTTTTGTACTACTAGGGAATACACATTCTATTTTCGCCATATTCGAGAAAATCTTTTCATTAAAATCGTTCAAATATCTACTACAAAGTTCAAATGAAAAATCGCAAAACCAATAATTGTTCAAGAGAGAGGGAAAATAATCCACTAGTACGTTTTAAAAGTTTTAAAAGCCTCAGCTTCTTCTAGGTAATTTCTAATTGATATTATGCTCTGTTTCTCAACGATATGCGTAATTTTTAAACTCTGTACCAAGTGCATAGATAGAAGATATGTGCAAAAAATCATGATGCATCAGCGGCGAAGATTATCTTTTTTTAAATGAACTAAACAATCCAAATCCAACACCAATAAATTTTTCTGGTCGTACAATAAATTTTTTAGGGAATAAACGCATATTCGTTCTCAATCATTTGTATACAAATTCCAACACCAAAGGATTTGATATTGCTTTTAATAGCGCATGAATTATCAAATTTACGCTCTATAATTTATACCTCTTTAAGTTAGAGAAACTGAAACACAACATATTTACGATATTTTTTTTATCCGAAAAATTTTCGAATTACCCACATGCGAATTGGACACTAAGCAAAATAACTGATTTTATTCAGCTACGTGATTACCATCCTACGTTTCAAATTTTTACGCTCAAAGAATATAACATTCCGAAGAGGATATTATATGTATACTGTAATTTCGCCACACGAAAAAAAAGAAAAAATTTTCTGGCTTCGCAACAATAGCTCAAGATAACAAAATAAAAGAATTTAAAATATTACATGATTAATTCTAAAACAAAATCCTTGTGCGATATATACGAAAATTTGCCCATCGTCTCTCACCTTTCATTTATTTTATTATTTCATTACTCTCAGATGACTGTGAATCGAGGTGGATTTCATGGCAGAATATAATTTTTGGTATTTTATGGGGAAGGTAAATAAAAAGGGGAATTAATCGGGATGATGTAAGGTATATTAAAATCGAACTTGGATACAACGTTTGAACTTTTTCTAGGGAAAAACGAGTGAAATATCCTAAATTCCAAAGATTTAGATTAAATACTAGAACTTTTCTGCATGTGTTTTGCATAGCTTTTCTGGTAAACTACCACTCTTTACATCACACAAGTCGTAATACAAGGGCATATGAAGTTTACGTGGAAGTATGCAATACTCAGAAGGACTTGAGATAGATTCACATTTTAATATATCTATCGACTCACAACGTTGGTTATCTTCTCAAAGTTGCCGCTAGGTTGGGTAAACAAATTTCCTTAAAATGAGGATATTTATAGCTAATGGCAATAATATGTGTAATGAAATGTAAAACATATTCTAAAAAAAGATAGAAAAACTAGTAATCATAACAAACAAAAATTTCTAATTGAAATTACCAAAAAGGTACGACGGAAAAGATGAGTAAATATAAAAATAATAAAATTTATGTATTTAATAACATATTTGGTTAAAAAGTGTGAATACAGAAAAACGTTCATGGGTTCACGAGCTTCAGTCAGTATTCTCGTACGATTGTTTTTTTTTTGTTTTTTGATATATTGCGTATTAAATTTAAACATTTCAAAATTTTTATTTCAATAATGTTCAATGCGTTCATTTATGTATATCCTGGAAATATAAATAATTTGTCTGTGTTGATTGAAACTAGAAGGTTGTTGAAACTCGTTGCAAATTAATGATATTCGGAAAAGTAAATGAATGTAAATAATGTGGCAAAAACTACCTAGTGTGATGCGCATTTCCGACCCATCAGTCGTGTGAAGGAATGCAAACCTCAATTATTTTGACTGTGAGAGGTAATTGAAAAGTGTCAAAATAACCGACTACAGATTTTTAGGGGCGTGACTTTAAAACGGGGAAAAACATAGATTTGTATTAGATGCGAATCATAATTTCAATTCATTTAATTTTATTTCTTAATAGGGACATTTGCAATAATTCCACTTTTTTTAAAGAATGAAGCTCATTGATTTACTGAACAAAAAACAGTTCAAGTTTGTTTTTTGTACTAAACCCAAAAACGAGCGTTTTAAGAATTTAGAGATACCTTTCATACATTTATTTTTTACACTTTCTATTCGATTCAATTTCTTTCGAGTCAATGTATTTAACATCCATGAGTTAATTTGAACTTTACGCCCTTAATATGATCTCACAGAAGAACGTTTGTTCTTTTAACAAATGCCGCTTCATAGTAGTTTTGGAATAAAATATTTACTGTGAAAAATAACGCTTTCGATTATGTGTTAATAATAGATTGATCCGGAAATGGCTTGAACGCCGTGAACCTGTTTAAAATAGTCTACCTTTTTTAAGGGAGTTTAAATATTTCAATATAATTATCTCTTCTCGTTTGTCAAAATCATAGAAAATGACAATAAGCTATTCCAGCTATTATTATAATGCTACGGACGTAGAAATAATTGGCTGCGAATTTATTTACAATCGGTTTGAAGTGGAAGTCTTCCATAAAGAATTTCTAAGCAAAATAAGTATCTGGAATTAGTTGGCTAAATAGACCGTTTTAATTATTTGGAAAATTTTGGATTTTCATTTTCTATTTAGCTAATTCATGCTTAATTTCAGCTTTCTACAAATAATTCGATCTTACGATCATTTTCAACACTCAAAGCAGGGAATAAATCTGAGCAGTGTGTGATATTATTGAAAACGAAGCTCAAAGTCTTAAAATAAACGCATATTCGTTCTCAATCATTCAACAGCTCTTTATAAAAAAGTCTCATCGATGCGAGATTAATGTGTATATTCGTACTCAATAATTTCCGTATACAAATTCCATACAATTGAGAATGCCTTTAGAAAATAAACGCATATTCGTTCTCATTAATTTTGCATGTATTGTAGGCCTTTAAAAAATGAGCGTATACAATTATCAAGAATTTTGCATGTATTGTATTGTAGGCATTTAAAAATAAACGCATATTCGTTCTCAATCATTCAACAGCTCTTTATAAGTCTCGTGCGTAAAAATCGTCGAAGAAAAATTATGAATGGAATGACAACCATCTTTCGCGCATAAGTTTGAAATTATTGAATGAATTATTTGCGCGTACAATCGAGGGAAGACGAAGGTATAATAGAAGAATGATCATAATAGGTTTACACGTTGAATTTGATTGAAATATGAAACCCTGAGCGTAAATTGGCCAAATAAGTGATGTTTTCGTTAAGGATAATATGTTGTCTAAGGTTTTAATAAAGTTTAGTCAAAAACTTTAAAAATTGTTTTAACAAATTTTTTATATATTTCAATTTCTTTCAGATAATTATGTCAAAGCAGTGCATTGATGAAAACGGTCTTTTGTTATGCGGTTATCATAAAAAGTTAAAAACGATGAGGAAAAAATTTTTTGTTTTATATAAAGAAACTTTGCATAATGTTGCACGTCTTGAATATTATGACAATGAGAAAAAATTTAGATCTAGTTTTAATGCAAAACGAGTTATTAGGCTCAAAAGTTGTTTTAACATAAATAGACGTTTAGACACTAAATATGATTTTGTCGTTGCTCTTTCTACAAAAGAAGGAGGATTTGGAATTGTAATAGAAACAGAGGAAGAAATGAACAAATGGTTAAACGCTTTGTTAACGTTGCAGAGGAAATATGCTAATGATTTGGATTTTCCTCAATTTGGTGAGTAAATAAATAATTAAATTTTTGAGCTGATGCGGGCAAAGCATCTGCAAGACATCTAGTGTAAATTAATGATTTGTGGATCGCCACTTATAATTACTTTAAGGGCTTCATAATTTAATTTACTCATACTTGCAATTAAACAGATTGCCTTTAAGTAGAGTTTTTGATATCGAACACTTTATTGTCGGCAACTTGTTAGTTGATCGGTTGTTGATCTTTTAGATGAATCGGTAATGTTGTAGTAATTAGCAGTTCTATATTTCGTATATGTGGCAGGTTTAATTTTGTTTTCTAATTTATCTGGCAAACAAGAAGTCTTGTTAGTTGCTTCAAAGTTTCCATTGATATCTGTTTACAGATTATAGGCTTTTTGTCTGATGTGAGCATCTGCCGCTTTAAAATAAATAACCAAATGCAAACTTTCACAACAAAAGTGAAATAGAGAAATGATGCCTAGTTGGCAACAGAATGTTAACTTAAAACCCAAAGGACTAGTTGAGTAGAACTTATAAGCAGAGATAAAAGTGTCGATCCGAATTTATAGTCTACAACTTTAGAAAATCAGTTTAGAAAAGAGCAGAAGAACATCATCAACACAAGTCCCGCCTTCTGACCCTGTTGTGACTTAATCTGACATATTATTATTTTTTAGTACAATGAACGCTTATACAATGTAAATGGCAGCGAATTAATTCCACGCAATTAGAATTATGTGTTGAAAATGAAGGAGTAAGGAGTAGAAGAGATCTCATTACTATTACTCTCAGTTTGTTTTTTTTTCAAAAGTTTGCTCATTTGCTGCGCTACTTATAAATATTGTATATAAAAATTGATAATTCATTCTATTTTTAAATTTCAGATTACGTATGGCAAGTAATCATTCAAAGAAAAGGCATAGCCGAGCAAAAGGGTTTATTTGGAAACTATCATGTTTGCTTAACAAATAAATCTATAACTTTCATTAAAATAACATCTGATAAAAATGCTATTAACGATCAAAGACTTTCTAAAGTTGATGTCCTGTTGACGACGATAAGAAGGTAATATATTTTATTTAGAATTTTTCATTGGTTTTAGTTAAATTAAATAATTACTACGTGTATTAAATTAATCGCACGGCAGTGTAAATATGTGTAATTCTTGAAGAACTTAGTTTTAAAAATGTAAAAGGTGGATCGAGTATGTTCGCATCCTTTGCAAAGATAATAGCGACTGAAGACAATGTCAGCTGCGCTGATAATCTTTTTTCATTACCCGAGCTCACGGTTGCAAAGTTCACAGAAAGGATATACATGCCTTCTCTCTTTTGATACGTAGCCGTTAATTTCGAAATCTATTTCGTTTTCAACATATTTAACTCTAACGTTAACTTATGTGATATTTGTTGTGTAACATTTCTTGTGCTAGAGTGTAATGAACGTCTTTTTATCCTAATATAGAAAAAAGTGTAGTAATTGTGTAGAAATAAGTACAGCGTTCTTCGTATTTATGTGAAAGAGGGGTGTGAGATTAAATTAAATCAATGATACGCTAAAATTTTTTTCCCAGGAACATTGCGGTTTTAAGTAAAGGAATTCATTCATCTCTTTTCAAAGTAAGAGTAGTCTAATTATTCATTTATTATTTTATTATATGCCCTCCACAAAAACAAACATATATTAATAGAACCAATGTGCCGCTTTGATTATTCTAAAATGCACAGGTAACTTGTAACTTGTCATTTATTCTGTTATAATTTATTTTTTTTTTTTACATTTTATATAATCGCACTATCTGTGTTTGTAAGTAGGAGAAATACTAGACAAGAAGCACCTTATCGACTTAAAATTTTAAATGAAGGTGCTTTAACGCATTGTGCATAGCATTTCAGAATAGCAACCTCAGTAATCACATTTGATAATTTCTCTATAGGCTATGAACTCAACAAAAGTTTATGCAACACTTGTATCCTCTAAAAAATTTTTTCTTATCCTTTTTTTATTGGTTTATAATTAACGTTAACAGTCCAAACTAACTGAGTGTGTCATAATCCTTTTTTTTATTTTTCCTGTCTTCAAATCGAAAAAAAAAGTATAGAGTTCATTAATCGTTCATCTCTTAGTAAATTTATCTGTTTTTCTGCACACGTTTTGAAATTGTCGATGCCAATTTTGCAGCGGTCTGTTGAGATCACGCCCACCTTAACAAAAGGAAATTCATATGCTTAGCTTTTCTGTCTTGGAAACTTGTTGCTCCATCAGGTCCATTAGTAGCTTGCCTTTGCTCCTCTATTGTCAAGGAATAAAGTTAATGCTACTTGTCTGCAATTTAATTTAAACATATGTGGAAAGGATACATTAAACTACTGTAAGACTTTACTGTATAAACTTTTTTCTCAATTTTTTCATTTTTTTAGTCAGTAATTTTTGAGAAATTAATTTAAACAACTTAAAATTGTCTTTTAAAATAAAATCCCTTTCACTAAAAAGTGCGTTTGTTTTTTCGAAATTCACGGAACGCGTCTATATTTGTTTATTAACAGCTGTTGCATGTATAAATTTTTCGGGCATCTGAGTAAGCATCTGAGAGTAAGCGTCTTCACGTTAACACTGATAATTGATAGATTGTGTAATAATCTGGTTGATTACAGTTGAGTCTGATTGGAAGGCATACCAAAATCCCCAGTGATATTGAAGGTGATGATTCTTGGAATAACAATAAAAACGAAGCAACAAACATATAAGCCAAATTAAAGTTGCTTGAGCGAAGCAGGGATTGAGCTTATAATAGCGTTCGAGCGAGTGAAACTATAGAAATTTGCTAATTGAAATCTGTGTGAATTAAGAAATCTTCCCGAGTAAATTTTTTCTATGAAAGAGAATTTTTTAGTAAGAAGATATTTAACAATGCTTGTAATCTATACCACGGTATTCTGTCATTATTTGGATTTTACACATAGAATATTTATTAAGTTCAATTGTAAAATTTGATTTCTTTTTAATTTTTGTATTAATGTAATATATATATATATAAATATATTTAATATATACAATAATATTTAATAATTATTTTATATATATATAAATTATATTTGTACTTAGTATATATATGTTGTACATATACTTATGAAACACACGACGAGATGATCGCGTAAGAAATTTTATGTTTTACGATAGAGAGTCTAAAGACGAAAGTGAATAATTTAGGTTTAAGTAGCAGTCGGCGTAAGGATGTTCTGCAAACCAGACTATTAGATCGTTACGAATTAAACACGACGGATTCAGATTGATCAAATCATAATGCAAAACTGTACTCGCGTCGACGAGGAAAGACATTGAAGATTCATTAACATCATTTAACGGATCCGACCACACTAAAGTACCTAAGTGGGTATCAAATTTTGAAGATAATACAGAAGCAGTGAATTGGCATTACTTGCAAAAGTTTATACATGCCAGTTACTGAAAGGAGCAACTAAATTGTTTATTCGTTTCCAACAATATTTGAAAATTGTAGCACTACTTAAGAAGAATGTGGAATAAAATTACCATCCCCACAAATCCACCGTATACTACAAAACCGCAAGAAAAAAAGACAAGGAAGGTCATCGTGTGTACATTTTGATGGAAATGGACAAACCAATTGGGCTGGACGAAGAAAGCTAAATTCAATATTTTACAAACAATGTCTCTAATTCCAAGTAGCATGAAACTGTTCCCTTTCAGGTTGAAGATTTAGATGATCTTAAAGAAAATCTAAAGGTGTATGAAAAAGTTCGTAGCATAACAGGCAAAGCACCAAGTTGTAATGTAGATAATGAAAGTGCAATTTATTTTCCAAACAAACGCTTCAAATGCGGAGAAAAGGCATTGCAAGTTTACAACTATCATTTGTATTAAATGCAAAAGGGTCAGTCACAAAGCGGTCTTAATATAATATTAAAGGTGAGAGCACCAAACTCCTTAGCTCAAAAAATTACAACCGTGTTTTTAAAGATATAAAAATGCATGGAGTGACGTTTTGTTGCAATTTTTAATTGAAGTAGTGACCCGTCAACGTTTTTAAAAAACTAAAGGGAGATGTGTTGGCATTACCCAAACGAAAACGATTGGATATATATCAAAAGACCATCCATGTTAATATAGAGAAATTTTCCGTGTTAAAATAATTTGCATATCTATTCCCTATAGCCAATGAAATTTTAGAACAAGTAGGTATAATTATAACTTCAGTTGAAGCAAAGTTTTTCGGAAAACAACGAGGAATATAACACTAACAAAAGTAAACAGTGGAATTAACGAAAGCAATTTCGGGAAACGGTACTGAAAACGAACGTACACATGCAACTGAAAATGAAGGAAAAAACAATATGAAATAAAAATTGAAGTTAAGAATGTTGGAAAAGCAGAAGAAGAATCAGACAAGCCTGTAGAGGAAACAATAACCAATATATAAATTCCAGAAATAATTGCAGAATTTGGAAATAATTGTTTATTGACAACGCCGCAGTCAATACGTGAATGGGACTTATCTCACTTCCAGAATGACACAGCAAAACCCGTAGAATCTATGATTGACAATCATAAATCAAAGAAAATGCATTGTTTCCAGTTACAATGAAAATATTACCCTCAGCTAACATACCAATTTATTAGGCGCCTGTCAAGTAACGATCAAAAAAGTGTACATAAACAAAGAGTGGTTAGGTTAGGATACCAATTTTACTAGTCTCAAAAAAAGATTGTACTATTGTGACTACCGTAAATTGAACGACAAAATTTAACGTGATAATCATTTTTTGGTATTGTAACCAAGCAAAGTCTATAGGACATTGGACTAAAGAAAGGTTTCTTCCATGTACCTGGAAATGAAGATTTTCGCAAATACGTATCGTTTATAACACATGGTCTGTATTAATTCTCGTACATGCCTTTTGGAATAAATAAATCAGCTGCTATCTTTTCAAGATACATTTTTACTACCTTTCGAAAATTGACACAAGATGGGCCAATAATTACCTATATAGAGGACATCGTTATTCCTTCATTAACTAAACAACAGAACAGAACATTGAAAAATTAAAAAGAGACGTAGAAAGCACACATAATCTGCAAATTAAAAAAATGAAAAAAATGTCGGTTCTTAATGAGACGATTGCATTTTTAACATAGATGTTGTAGAAAATTCTTCGATTAAACCATCAACGGAAACCACTGTCGCTATAGAAAATTTTTCTGTGCTAAATAATTTTGATACACTACAAAGATATTTGTGTCTTACATCACATTTCAGAAGATTTGTATATAATTACGTCATCATAGCGAAGTCATTGTCGGACATGTTACGTAAGAAGTAGGAGGTGATGAGGCGTTCGGATTTCAAGAATTGAAGCACCCTATCGTCAGCACTCCTAAGGATCTGTCTTTGTTTTTAATTGTTATTACAAAGCCATTGCAATCTGTAAAATTTTTTTTAATCCCGATTACATAAACTCGCCACTTCTCCAAATATCCAATATTTCATAAAGGTGATATTTTTCTTCGATTACACTTGCCTTTCGACTCATATATTCAACTGGATGTAATTGTTGATCGTCTGGATTCTTCTGCAGTGATACAGCTCCATATACTTCATATACGCATGTCGATCAGTATTTCAGCCAATGCATTAATATTGAATAATGACAACGACTGGATAACGACGAGTTTCAAGATGGGCCGCAAAATACAACATGTTGATGCTCTAAGTTGAGTATTTTGCTTATTAATCAAATATTTTTTAAAACTTTGCTCAAGTTCATATGAAGACTTCTATTTGAAATAACGTATTATATAAACACCCCGATAAGGAACTCATCGTCACTGATGACGCAAGACTTAATATAATTAGCTCATCGTTAAGGTAATTTTTCAACAAAGAAGTCTTATAATTGAAGCTAAAAGTGATAAAAAGATGGCCTGTTAAATCCGATAAATAAGGCAGATAAACGGTTGTTAAGGTATAATTTTGGTCACATGTGACCATTGAAAACCGCGAACACCTTACAATTACATATTTATAATTGTGGACCCTTTTTGTAAATCTGTTTAGTTATACCGTACGTGTACTTGTGGTTCTGGTGAAATGATTAGAAGCTAACACAGCAATCATCATTGAGAATTCCGAAAAAATCGTGTCCGACAGAAGAGCTGCTATTACGTCAAACGCTTTCAAAGAATATTGTAAAAGTCAAAGTATAATACTTTTTTTAAGCCTCTTCGCTGTTCTTAGAGCCAATAAGCATATCGAGAGAATTAACAAAATAGTCATAACTTCGTTGCGTAAATTATGCGTTCATCAGCGTCAACAATAGTATAAACACCTTTTACAGGGTAATGCAGTGTATAAATAACATGCCTCCAACAAGTACAAATATCACTATTTAAAGCCAAAGCAAACTTGATATGTTATTTCGGTTGTTATGAATTTTTCCTGTTTTTTTGTCAACCGTTTTTGTGAAATTAATTGAACAACCTAAAATTGTCTTTAAAAATAAAGCACTTTCATTAAAAAATACGTCTGTTTTTCTTTTAAATGACGCATGTCTCTACATTTAAATTGTAATAAATTCAACTTACTTGGTTCTGTATTCTAATGGAATGGGTTTTATTTTTCTTGCCGCATCTTTTTTTAATAATAGAAAATAATTCACTTCGGACTATCTTCATAAATGCTGTCCTTCTTCAAGCAAAAGAATAAAATTAACAACAAAAAACAACTCTATATTTATGTGTAGTATATGTATATATATGTGACCATTATGAATTTGGTTGTATACTTGCAAACGTTTATCAAAGCTTTATAAAGTGTTTTAAGAAGTCTCTATGTATTTTAAAGGATGCTGGCAATTAAAAACGAACATTTTAACATATTTTAACATATTTACCCTAAATCAGCAAATAGGTGTACTTGAATGATGAAGATGTAAAATTTTTAATTCTTGTTACAAATATCTTATAAATTTTAATACTTAATAGTGTCTTTATTTTTCTTGTAGATGTGGTGATTCGCAATGCTACTTTTATATGGAGATTGGGAGACAAAGTCCTATAGGTCCAGGAGAATTTTGGATGGAGACGGAAGATCCGCTTATAGCACAAAATATGCATAGAATGATTTTGAGGTATACCTATCACATGCATAAGTAAATAATTTTGAAAAGTTAAAAATTTAGCTTTATCGATGATGCAGGTTTTTATTATAACGAAATGAACATAAGTTGAATTTGTGACATTCTCTTCACACTTCAACACTTAAATTTTCCATTAATGGAAAGCCCTAATTGATTTCGGTAACAAGCGAAGTAGAAAATCAATTGTAATCTAGATTACTTAATATCGTCCTCTTCTCAATTAATCCAATTTCCAAGTTTGACGTAAACATCAGCAAACTGTTAACTGTTAACATATGCGTTACGAATTTTTTATACAAAGCCACATATTTTATAAGAATTTCTCTATTCCAAACACTTCAAATTTTGTTTAATTTTGCATTGCTCCTTATTATTGTTTTTTCAGCAAAATGACATCAAACAACGATGAACAAATAGAACCTATGAGAAAACGGTCATCTTCAGCTACAGAAGCTTCAAAGCCGAAAAACGACAAAAAAATAGTTCAGTCATTAACTTCTGCTACAAATACGCTTCCTAACGGTATGAATAAACATTTTTATTACTCTCTATTATGTTAGTGTATTAAGTTGTTGGTCCTTAAAGTCTAATGCGATAAATTTTTTTTAAATTATTCAAGATTTAAAAAATTGACAATTATTATAAACAAAAATGGATTCAAATTAAACGTGTGAAATCAATTCCAAATTTCACTGTTGTCATTAATCCATCAAAATGCTGTATATAAATGAAGGCGATTGCGCCAAAATGTCAATTATGTAACGCCTAGAAGCAAAGAGTTTTAAATAAAATCTATATTTAGTTATTAAATATATATGCTTCTGTGTTTACAATTATCAAACTGCTTTTCAATTCGTGCGCTGAACGGTTAAGCATTTTTTCGATTATAACCTAGTTGTCAAAGACTAACAAAAAAATGAAAAAAAATGTGCTTTTAGTACGGCTGCAATTACACCACAATAAGCTCTGTGAACTAGGTTACGGATTGTACGCATGAGGTTTAGGGATCTTACGTTAAGAAAAAGACACATTTTCCATTATTATATAGATTTTAGTACTTTATTAATTTTATATATTTTTGCAGCTGCAACTTTTGTAAGGGAAAGATGTGACAGTTTACCTTCGCGTAATCGTTCATCAAGTGAATGTAATAATCAAAATTTCCGAAATGCAGCAACTTTATCAAGTTATCGTTCAAATACTATTCAACGGATAAGTAACAGTCCACCAATAATATGTTCAGAGAGTGAAGAATCATCAATAAGTATCGATGAATCAGATGACGCTATCACGTTTTTACCCTTCCGTTTAAGGTAGGATCGCAAATTGATTTATTTTGTATTATATTTGCTTATCGCTCATTGGTTTTCCTAAATTGAAAAGTTGTCTAATTCTAAATGCAGAAAACCAACTAAAACCAATAATAATGCATTCTATTTGCCTTCAATTATGATCCAGGATGTCTCAAGTTTTCGGGGTCATCTATAACTATTTAGTTACAAATTCATTTTAATATCTTTCTAACATGGTTTTAGGTCACTCACCGATAAAAATTAAAAAGATCTGTTTGTCTTGAACTTCTAAAAATTGCAAAGTACTTTCTTAATTGTATGCATGTCAGTTAATAGATTAAAACCGTTTGTACTTCTTAGAAAGCCTTGCGTAAAGTATATGCAAAGCTTTGCAGCTATGGTTTTTAAGGTATAATTGTTTATACACTGCGGGCATACTTGTGGAAGTTTTATATAACCATGGTAAATATTTTTGTCGAACTTTAGGCAGATATTTTTTAGAGGTCATATAATGCTATTGCTATTGTGTTGTGCAACTACTCTCGTTCTAAGTTGATCTGCAAAAATATGCGAACTTTCAAACGTGATGTATATTTATGAACCTACTTCTCAATTTATGCAATCGTAGACACAGTGGCACCTTCTATTCAATTCTGCTAACAGACAATCTGATCGAGAATGTTATAAATAAAAAAACGTGTAAGACATCCTCGTCATTGTAGCTTAAAAAAATTGAACATTTTATTATACATCTCTACGTTATTATAAGCCTATTTAAAAGAGAGTCGTAATACTGTGGAATAGGCCGGAGGTATATGTTAAACTTTAGATTTCTAACTCAATTTTTAGTGCATAGTGACTTATAAAAAGCAGAAAGCAGATGAATGAAACACAAATATCCTGAAAGATTGCCTCAGAAATTAATCGTGTTAAAATAATGTATTGCTTTGCGAAGTCACCGATGGACTTTAGGCAAGCGGTGACAGAGATATAATAGATATAACATTGAATACTAAGCATATTTCGAAAGTTTTATAACACCCTTGTTCAACAACTTGTCATTCAATTTTTGCAGATGCTTTGTTAATCGCAAAGATATAATATTCTTTGAAATAAACTGGGCAAACAGATCAAATTGCAAAAGCTTTTTCAAATTCATTGAACGTTTTCATCCAATAAAGACTTCTTCGCCTTTTTTTTTTTGTTTACTGTAAATTATGCCCATCAAATACACCATAATCCTTCAAATTTTTTATATTTCCAGCACACGTGCGTCAGATGGCGTTATTCTAGAAGAAAGTGTTGATGAACCTTCTTATTCAGATATAAATATCAATACATCTGGCCCCCTAAGCAATGGTAAGTTGAAAATAACGAAAAATGAACATATAAAATAATTTTCGATTATTTCGATTTCGTTTTTAATTTCCAGATTTATTAAATCACGGAAACTTACTTGGTGAAAGCGAAAAATATATAACAATGGCACCAACAAATTTTTTTAAAGAAAAAGATGGAAGTCAAGACTCCTTCGCAAACAACGGCTTCAGAAATGAAATAAAACATCATCCCAAAGAATTTTCCGAATGCTTATTAGATATGGCAAAGGAATCCTTCCTCGATACGGAATTACAGTAAGTTAGTTAAAATGTTATTGGGGAGATAGGGATACTGTGGGCAGAATTGTATATAAGAAAGTAGGGAAAAAGCAAGCCAAAACGATATAGTCAGGAACGGCCAAATATTAAATGCCTTAGGCTAGTAAGTCTAACACACAATCTGGAACTTCTCTTTCGTCACAAAATATCGCAAGCTCGATTTTGTTGTCATATAAACCTTTTAATCTTTGTAAAAAAGCAGAAAGTAAGAACAATTTTCACTATACATAGTAAAAATTAGGACTTTTTGTATTATTATAGGAAGGGCTTATTTTTTATAGAAACGTTTATGCAGGGGAGCAGATTCAAAGAGCTACTACTCCTTCACATTCAAATTTTCCACATTGTTATAATGTTTAGTAAATACGAATGTTCAACAATTTCTTTCGAAACATACTATTATTATTATTATTATTATAAATTTAAAATAGCCAGAGAATAAATTCTAAAGCTAAATAAAGTCTTAAAGCACTAGCATCTAAGGCTTTCGGCTTTATTAAAAACTCTACCGCACTTGAGATTTGAACCCACGACCATTGAGTTGCCAGTCGAGACTCTTGCCTACTCGGCGACTCAGGCGGATACGAAACATACTAAAAATAGCAGTTTGTTCTATATAACGACTTTTTCAAAATATCACTTTTTAGTTGGAACTATCGAGAATGATTTGATTCAATCCATGTCAATATACTTGATAATTGGGAACAAATATATTATATTTTTATTTGTGCTGCAAATATTTTACTAAACAAAAAATGCTAATACTCTGAAAACATAAAGAGAGAAACTGTTTTTTATTTTCTAATTTCTAGAGCTACGAGGCCAGTGCGCGCGTATTCCGTGGGCAATAAAAACCAGCAAATACAGATATTTAAGGAAAAAGCAAATGAAAGCAACACAGGTCGTGTCAGGGCATTTTCTGTTGGTTCGAGAGCGAAAATTCCGAGGTGCGATATACAACGAATACATCCAAAACTGGCATCAAATAATAATAACATCCACTACACTGTAGACAATATTTCATCAAAGAAATCGATTAGTGCGCCACTTCTCTTTAATAAATATCAAACAAGTTCCGCTGAGCGTATGAGTGATTTAATGGAAATTGACTTTTCGCAACCGGCAAGTAGGAAATATATGCATACTAAACTTCCGTCGAAAGATACGAAAAATAATTGTGAAATGAAAAATACTGACCAAAATGGAGTGGAAGCTTTAAAAAATTCATTAGACTCACTGGTGATTAAATGCGTTTTACAAACGGATAACGGGTACTTGGAAATGAAACCAATTTCGATAAAATCTGCTATAAAAAATGACTTTCCCAGAACAACAATACAACATCCAAATTCGAACAACCAGAACAATGAACACTTCGGCAATAAGCCTTCAAATAATATAGAGACAAGTTTAAATGTAACAAATGATAACTCTGCTGGGCAAAACGTTGAAAAGGCGTTTATAGCTAATGTGTATAAGGAATCTGAAGACTCACATGAAAATCAAGCAAAACTGTTCATAATGAATTCGTATTTAACTACACCGAATTCTTCCGAACATGAAAATTATAAGCAAATGAATGATTCTTCCATTCTGCCCGTGACATGTGAAGGGAATCAACTTGAAATTTCTTCTAGAGAGAAAAGTTTGCCTGAGAAAAGCCAGCTAAACGATAAGCTCTCGCATTCGAAAAGTGATAACTTCGAATCTCAAGTTGAAACCGCTCCTTATAAATTTCATATAATTGAGAGCAATAGTTTAAATTCTGCGTTAAATATAAATCATGAGCATCTTATTAAATCGGATGGCGTGGATTATTTAAATGAATTACCATTAACGAAATTGTCATCCATTGCCACAAAAAAGAACGAAATCGATAGTAAAGTTCTGTCCTCACCCTCGGGCTTGTATTACGCTAGCTTAGATTTGCCTGCTTGCAGCCGAGACTACTCGCCAAAAGTAAATTTCATTGGCGCCTTAAGTGGCACGCATTCAGTGAACTCAAAAAGCTCATATGCCAAAATTGATTTCGAACATCACGATCCCTTATCCCATTTAAAAAAAAGTTCTTAACTTTTTTGTGTAGTTAATTTATGTATATACTTATTAGACATAAAATAAAGTCCTTTAATAAATAAATAACAGAAAAATTAAAATTTTTGTTAATATACGTACAAAGTCTCTCCAGTACCGTATAATTGCTATTGAAAGAGTAAGAAATGTCATGACGGAGAAGAAGCTGATATTGACCTGGGTGTCTCCAAAAAATCGAACAACTGGTAATAGCAGTTCGCAAAATTTTAATTTTAAGTAGGTGAAGACGGCGCTATATCAAATTCCTAGTTTTCCTGAGCTTTTTTTTCTTAAATTTTACATGGTCCAAAAAGTAGGTTTTCCAAACATATGACAAATGTATTGGTAAAATTAGGTAATTCCTCAACAGTAAACGGTATATATATATATATATACATATATATAACCATGATAATAAAAGAGTCCAAAGCAATGACACCAATTGTTATAGCGCAGGTGTATCAGATGGTTGGTAAGTTGAAATTTCTTTAAAATTGTGAGTTTTTCTCGAAACCGTCTCTTTAGAATTCATTGCACTACTAACATCAATTTTTTACCCTTTGCCCTAATAAGCTTCGCCTATTTTGTCAATCAATTACGGTCAAGGAAGAAAAATCATATATATTTTTTTGGGAATTTTCCCACCTAAACTTTATTTATAAAATATGTTTAAAAATTTTACTTACATACTTAAGATGTGTACTTTCATACATAAAAAGCTATCCGTTAGTAAATCCTTCCTTTTTTTGAAACAAAAGTAGAAAAATTACCCTACTGTTAGTTGACATTGGGTAGCTAATATTAATATTACCTCTTAGTACAGAAAAATATATATCAGGAGAGCACACTGGGGATATATAAATCCCAATAAACATAGTTAAAACAAATGAAAAAATAAAAAACGCAAAAATTTTGCAGTCCTATTCCGGCGGAGTCTTGGGTGGTTCTTGGATATTAATTCGAATTTCATATTCCGGGCCAACAATCGCAATAAAATTCTAACGTTCCACGAAATAATACAAAAAAATTGGCTAGTGACATCTTTGTGATACTGTTTTTTTAGCAAAACATGGCTTCAATTATTTTTTAGATACAATAAAGTTCACATTATGGACCATAACAAATGTGAATCTTCCAGCTGCGGAAAAGCTTTAATAAGGTTGATGTGTTGCAATTACGTGAGGAAGGCAATATTCTTATACGCTCTTATTTGAAATCTTTCAATGTTGGTTGGAAAAATAGTGGTGAACACGAAATTAGGCTTGGTGCTGGAGTAGTGTGCACGGTAATGTTGTCAACTTTTCTTAGTCAATTTGCCACCCGTAATTAATGCTGCGAAATTCTAGGCCGGTTTACTTATTTCCAATGTCGCTTCAGCTACCTAAAAAATTTTATGTTTGCCTTCGTAAGTGGCGTTGGTATATCTTATATAATTAATTTAGTTAATGATGTTCCAGCTGGTGTTTTGGGTAGCTTTTATGACCAACAGACGACATGTGGTTAAAACCGTTGTCAGTTTTGTTTTGCGAGTGTGGCTTGAAAAAAAGTTTTAACTTCGGTTGTAAATTTATAGTTTAATTTAGAGTTTAATCACTTTTCTGCGCTTGTCAAGCAAAACATTTTTTAGCTTATGAATCCACTAACTAATATTAAATGGTGAAGCACCACGTGTATAGTTGACTTGCACTTGTCCCGTGTGTACACAGACAGAAGTAATTATCACAGTTGGATTAAATTACGTATTTTTTACATTTTAAATTTTTGGGAAAGTTATAATTCATATACATTGATGTAGTCATAAATGTTGATATCAATGCTTATTCAAAACAGCAAACTAAAGAAATAATTCTTCCGAGATTTGCATCACGTCGACCCACCTTTTTTAACTAATCTTTATTCATTGTCAAAAAAATTTTATTAAAATTCACGAGTGTTCGTTATTCAAAAGAGTACAAATAAGCACATTTTTTCATTTACAAAATTTGATCAATTTTTCATGTTTCGCAAATATGTATGGAATTCAGATAACGAAAATACGTCCCATAAAATATAAGTACATATAAAATTTTGATACCCATAGAACTTGAAGACAATAGGTGTACTTCTGAGACTCTGTCTGCAACTTTAGTTGAAATAATTGACATCTTGAATAATGGTGAAAGAAGTATTTCCCAATTAGTTTTTCGTTCATGTCATTCTTATCAGCCTTTTTGAAGATTGTATAAACCGTTGAAATGTTATTATAAAATCGAACACAGCTACGGCAATAACCCAGATATAACATCGTGCGATGTAATCCATTCGCGTTGTTACTGTGACAACAAAAGCTTTTATTATATTATTTTAGAGGCGAATTTCAAACTGATTCTTGCAGCATCAAAACTCGCTCCTTTTTTTTACCTTTTCAAGCTGTTCACATTTTTTCATTTTGTTATTATTTCAATTAAAACTTTTGATTTACATGTTTTAATATGAACCCGTCGTGCTTTTTTTGTTGTTGTTGATATTATCATTATTATTCTTATCATTTTTTTATATTGTTGTTTGTATTATTATTATAATTAGCTATATTTTTTGTATTTATTTTTATTGCCAATGTTTATTACTTATATACTCTTACTATTATGGTTCCATTAATTATTATAATATACTTAATTTAGTTATTTTTGGTTCATGTTTACTTTTTCGCTCCGAATAGTTTTTCAGTTTATAAATAGAATAACTTCTTTGCAAGATCCTCCGAAGTGACTCGCTTTATGCTTTGTCCAACAAGATATGCCATTTTATGGGCATACTGAAAAAGTGTGAAAAGTCGGATTCAGTTTCGAAAATTCGTTTGAAAAATATTTGTTTACGCTAAGAGATGATCTTAAAAACTGATATAAGCTTACCTGGCAGCAAGCGGGATTTCGTATGGTTCCTGGCCAGTTATAATACAGGAAGCACAACTTGTAACTCAATCTTTGTATTATATCGGGACTATATTGGGCATCATCCCTTAACACAATGTAGTGAGTGGGAGAGACCGAACCTTGTCTAACGGCTTGCGAAACTAAGAAAAAGTCATATAAACGTGCCCGGGTAATAGTTTTATCAACAATTGTGCCAGGACTTGGGTTTTCAAAACTGTTTCGGCTCATCTAATGAAGGGGTAAATTTGATTAATATTTTAGATGAGCTAATATGGGATCACATATTCTGATATCCACCATCTTTATTTCTAGAGATAAAATTGTACATTTCTTTAAATGGAAAATATGAATCTGACAGTCACATTTTCTTTGTATGCATTTGTTAAACGGAATTTGTCAGCGCAAGAGAAGTGCGGAGTTTTTTTTTTAAAGTCGAACTGTAACCGCGACGAAAATTGACACCCTTTCTTGCCTTTAAACTCTCAAATTTTTTGTAAATAAGTTGCACTTGCTGACATCCTGTTCGTTGTTAACGTTGGTAGACCAATTTTAGAATTTGTTTTGAAAATGGTTTTTACCGAAGTATTTACGTTCTTGCATGCTGTTTACAAATTACAGTAAGCAGACAAATTTCACTCTGGATTAAACACTTCTGGTTGGTAGATATAAGTATTGCAACCCGTTTTTGTGTGAATATTTGCTATGACTTACCGCAAAATAGCGAGTATTGATTCGTTTCTGAACAATAATAAAAGTTATTTTTATGACGTAGTTTAGCATCTTACGGCACGATTCTTCTAACTGTGGAATTTCATAATTTTCACAAACTTGTAGTTGACCGTCACCGACTCCATCTCTTGAAATATGTTAAAAAAATAAGTAAATAAATAAATGTATAAAATGGTGTATACTGCAATCAGATAATTTTGTGCAAGCCCACAGTCCACATCCGGTGTAGTGTAGAAATTGATTTGTACGTTTAAATTGGAGGTAAATACCTATAAATGATAACGCCATCAGGAAAGTGGCTGTTTTCGCTCTCATATTCCTTTAACGCTGATATTAAACAAGAGCACAGTCCACTTAAAATTTCTTCTCTTTTACTTTGAATCACTGCTTTGCTGTACCATCTAGAGTATTTTTGGTTTAAGGATGCAACAAAAGCTAAAAGAATATGTTAGCGGTAACAACGTTATCTTATGATATGAAAATTAAGGACACTATGTTTATTCTATGTTCAAAATTTTATTTTTAAAGAGAGTGTTAACAGCCTATGAACCTTTTGCTGCTATGAACATGAATCATATGTGCCGTCCGTGCATATTTAAAATTTGTTGCAACTTCGACTTCTTTACCTGTATTTGCTTAGCTTGTTTTTGCTATGCCACAAGTTAATAGTTGATCAGCAATACAGTTCAACGTAGCCGGTTTCGGTTGAAGTATTTTAAAAGTAGGTCATGTACTACTTACCAGCGACAGAATTACCCTTTTGAGTAGCATCGTGATACACGTCGACTCCACAAATCATTACGTTTTTAAAGGGGATCTTTATAGACCACAACGATCCACCTAACTTGCAATTCATTTGAAGGGCAATCTTTTGGACAATTGATCGGTTTTTTGCTTCATTTTGAAGAGTTCTAGAGTTTATTACCTAAAACGTTAAAATAAAGGCATAACCAAACATTTGAATTAGATATAATGTTTGTAGCAAAGACATTACCTGCGACGGTACTGGAATTTCAGCACAACAAGTTTTTTTAATAGCAGCATATCTGTCATCTCTGCTAGTTGTGCATATGCAGACAACAATTTGAGTTTCTTTAGTAATGTTTTGTCTCAAGGCGTTTACATAAGTATCAATCCTGTCATTGCTAATAACAACAATTTTTGGCGGATGCACTATTAAACCAAATGAACGCGTATTCCTTTGCATATGTTCACAAAATGATGCGGCCACTTTGCTATCGTTTTTACAATGGATAAGAAGCCAATTATGTATAGGGAAAATTTCCAATAATTCGTTTGTTGCCACGTGTTTACCAAAGTCTGCATTATGGCCAACACCAACGTTATTATGGGCAAAATAGATTTTTTCTTCCTCCAATTGCCGACCATAGATTTCTTCGTAGCTCGGTACCAAAGACAATCCCCATTCGCTTAAGATTTTACATGATTCAGGACTATTTTGTATATTTGTATAGAATTTTTTTAGCGCTTCTACACGTTGGTTGGGGGTCACGCGGGTGAAAGTCGCGATTTCACGCATTAATTTATGATCAGATCTTATGTCATCACGTAATCCTGTTAAATAACACAATTCCGGAATCAAACAAAGAACCAAGTCTTCTATTTGCGGACTTTGTGATTTCCGTTGCTTTTTAATACATATTAAGAGTGGTTGATTTTTATCCTTTATTGCGATGTTATAATTTTCTTTGTAATAATCAAAAAAATTCAAGACAGATCCTTTAATTGTAAATGTAGATAACGGACTTTTATCAAAGCAAATATCGTCAATACGATATGTTTTGTTATTATATCTCGTTATAATTACGGAACCCAAGAGAGCTTTCTTAGCCATTTCTTGGACCTTATTTGGGTTGCTTTTATATATTTCAAATAGAGTTTCATAAACAGTTTTTTGGCATAACAGTCTGTGAGAAACATCGCAGCAAAGTAAAAGACCTCCTTGATATTCATCTACAGCAGTCACATATCCTGGCCACACTTCTAGTTTTTGCTGAGGAATTACTTTCGGTGAAGTGGGATCAAATTGCTTGCGATCGAAACGCACATAATTTAGTGTCTTCATGATCCTATCGAAAAGAACGTTGTACAGATGAATGCAATCTTTTAGGGTTTCCCTCCTTTTAAAAAGTATTCGTATCTCAATACTAGATCCATCGCTGGCTTTTGAAAGGTATGTTGTTAGTGAATCTTTTAACAAAATCGGCAAATATAATGTAACTCCATCAAAAGTTTTAGTCCCTCCAAATTTAGTGCTATGTTCGTTCAGATATTGCCTTCTTAAGCTGGTAGAGTCGATATTTGGAGAGAAACGCACTTCGTAAACAAAAACCCCTTTGTTGGGATCAGAGTTTATGCGTATATAATTACAAGCCAATTTTACTGGAATGCCTAAAATAATTTAATGTATTTGATATTATTTGCTCGAATAACTATAAGATTTAGCAACTTAAACACGTATGTTTATATATAACAATTTTTATTATTTTAGTATTACTTGAGTTTAAATAGTTAGAAAAAATTCAAATTAAAAAATGTGCACACCACGCACTCAAAGACGATATGCATCAAACTAAGAGTGCATCACCGTACCTAAACTTGGCATCTGAACATAACATCGTTTAGAACATTGAAGGATAGTAAAGCGGCTTTATTAATTAAAAGCTTTAGTTTAGATATGGCATCGGCAATACTTGAACATTGAAAACGCAACGGTAGAATTTATCGCATACACGGAATCCGACAAGGAGATTACGTCATAAACATCATTTAAATTTTTGCAAAGGATTCCAAGTAGGTTAAATAATTCATAATTGAATCTATAATGGCTACGTTACGAAAAAGCAAAACTACTTGAAAAACGTATAGCATGCATTCAACAATTCTTTTGGGACAGAAGCGATTGAATAGGATACTTCCGATATTTTAAATATGTCAAGGAGTGTTATTTTACAAATATAAATATCTTACTTTTGGCCATTAGTTTGAAATTCTTCAATCATAAATCAGCCCTTGCATTTTCAAGTATTAGTCTCCATTCTGAAAATGGCAATAAAATGTATAACTCAATAGCTGAATTCAAAATTAACACCAAAATGTGTACTCCAAACTTTTAATAGCTGGGTACCCATCTGTCCACCGGTCGAAGCTATGAACATATTTTTGTTTGAAAATGCTCTTAAATGAACATAAACGTTACGCTGCAACGTAGGTATTCAGTTGACAAAGGAAAATTTTCGGAGCGACAAGGAAAAAACTCGTAGCACCCATTAAACTAATGAAAGTATTTTCTTCTGAAAAACTTACGGTGACTTCCTCCTTCAAAAATCTCCTTTAACGAAACTTTCCACTACACAAAGAAAGGATATTGCATTTTGCTTATGAGCATATAGAGGTAAGGACAATAAAAGGTCTTCAAGTTTATGTATAGAAAAAAGTTATTTTCAATGAATGACCAGATAATAGATATTGAAACAGAACTCGATTTACGGTTCTCGTTATCGATTAAACTCGATGTCGAATTTGCATCTTGGGTTGATGGGGACTCGATAAAGCATATGAGTGTTCGCTCGATATGGATTGTAAAATGTCGTATTTTAAGGCGAAAACCAAATAGCTATCGAGCTTCATATATAAAGGGAAAATAAAGCAAAATATCATTGCAAAAGTACATATTTGATTAAATTAATTGCCACAGGTAGATAACCTAATATCAGAAATTCCAAAATGTTGGTAAAAATAAAATAAATTACGAAATTATCGAACAAATTTTTGAAAATGACGAAAAGTGGAAATGCAGGATTACTAATTAAAAAGTATTTTAGAAACATGATGTTCGGGCCCTGGTTGGATTGTATAGAGACAAGCACATTCAATGTGAAAATTATAAATATCAAGCCAGCTATTAAGAAAAAGAATAAGAAAGCATTTAAATAATGGGTGATATGTTTAATTCAATTTATTAAATCTTATTTTATATTTTGTTTCATGGATTTCTTTTGCAAATTTTATATTTGCTCTGTTTATTTATTTACTTTCTTCCTCTTCTGTGCATTATTTTTTTACACGCACACCGGTGGTATAAAAAACATTCAATTGTAAATACCGCAATCAAAAGCCAAACTAGATACGAAAGCAAGCAAGTACCATCGATCCAAGATGTGGTCGTATCGTTTTTTGTCTTTAGTATCATACGATTGTTCTATAACGAGAGAAGATAACGAAAGTACACCGGTCCCAGGCTCTTTTTAATGTACGGATTACTCAGTTTATTTGCTAAAGCAGGGGGACAGCTTTTTCCACGTTTTAAGGACTATATAGGTGGAATCACACAAACTATCTACACTATTAAGGTCTGAGTGAAGTAAATAACACGTTCCTCTGTTCTGAGGGAAAAGTAATCATAACTACTATTTGAGAAGCAAATAGAAAATGCTAAATCATACGCTATCCAAACAGATAATAAGTGAATCTTATATGTCAATATATAACAACACATATGAGAGGTGCAAATGAATAAAAAGGATTTGGACAAACTTGCAAAATTGATTAAAATAACTTAAGGAGAAAAATTAAGTTAATTTTTAAATGAAATCGACAAGATAAGATACATCTTCAACCCGCTTATCTTATTGGCATCATCTAGGGGAAATATTGCCAAAGAACTTGCATAATTACTCGACATTTGCTTACCCTTTGTGCCTTGAATTGTCTTAAGAGACGCAAAAAAATTCGAAGTGCTTTCGCATTGCTTTGTGGTAGAAACTTTAATAGTTTCTTCTTTCGATACATCTATCTTTTGAGCAATGACTGATCGTGCCCCGCGACCATCGACCGATGACACTTCAGTAGGTTCACTAATCAGTTCTCGGCCGTGTCCAATAGATATATTAGATAATTTGGAGCAAATTGAAGGTAATTCATCTAAAAGTTTTCCTCGTCCTACGCGCCTACGGTCTCCAATTAAAGTTGTCCCTGTCCCTAAACCGCTATCCTTAGTTTTATCCGATCCACTACTAGATTCTACAAGTGTAGATTTGACGCCTTCTTCTAAACGTAGAAGCTTGCCGCGTCCGCTTGCCTTCATTTTCTGCAATGGAAATTAATGGAACGAAATTTAGGAAAAGCAACAATATACTAAGAAACAAAGCAGCAACTTTCCTTTCTAATTTTCATTCTTACTGTATATAAACCTACCTACGATATATTAAGCAAAATACATTTTAATTAAAGTCAAATCGTTAAGAATGCAGTTTAATCCCAAACGGCAGTAGAATGAACAAGCAATTTCATGAATTTTTTCCTGATCAAATTTAATATGAATTAAATTAAACGAAATTAAATTTAAGTTCGATTATGAAAGATTTTTGTTCAATATTCTTTGAATGTTTTTAGTTTAGGTCCTATTTTGACATGAATCCCGAGAAAGAAAACTTTCTCTATATTTCAGTAGGTATTGCAAATGAATGTGAAGGCACTTTGTTATTTTACTATTACGTCTCTTGTATGGTACTATGTCAAGAATTTTTTGGGAAAGACTGTCTGAAATATGTGAACGCAGACGTGACGTCGTCTCAGAAATGGCCGGTAAAATAATCGTGGGCTCATTTAAAAAATTATAAACAATAAAACTTATTGCATCAATGATGATTGTTTTGAAAAAAACATCTCCCATAAATATTTAAAATTAAAAAACCAATATTGAATTTCTTAAATTGTAATACTGAAAATCAAAAAGAAATTCTAAATTTATATTGTATGGTATGAAACTTCTTAAGATGCGGGTTATTATATACGCAAGTACATTTCCTCGAGCATATAAAAATAGCGTTTTGAATGTTTTAAAAGCAAATTGTTTTTCGAAAACAATGCATTATTATGAAGGCTTCTTTCACGGTGCCACCGCAGGAGGCAGTTGTGCATTTAGGACAACAGTCGAAACATTTTCTAAAAACATGATTCAATATTTTGTGATCGTCGATTTAATTTTTTTGAGAAAATCACTTGAACATCAGCCAAGTTATCTACAAATTTACGTTTGCCGAAAAATCTTACGACGATAATGCACTTAAAAATTGCTAACAAATATTCAAAAATTTCAAGTACTCGCTATGGACTTGTGTTCCAAAAATCGAAGCATTTACAATCTTCGACTGCTCACAGTCATCTCTCTAGCATTCTTGGATGAACTAAAGAAAAATTCTATGATTTCTCTAACCAACCCGTCGGCTACTTCAAAATAACAATCATAGTAACAAAGCACATAAAACTAATTCGTTGTTAAAAAAATCTCCTCAGCACATAACAATTATCACTAACTGAAGCTGCATTCCAAAGAAGGTTTCTAAAAGTTGCTATTTCTCAGTTAATTATAAGGAGATAGAAGACTTCTAATTATTTACCAAAAACAACAAAAAAAACAATTCTTACCTAAAAGTTGTAGCCGATCGGCTGAATTTGATGATCTTAAGGTAAGCGGAGTTACTGCATTAGCAGCAACTGACACAGACTAAGAAATAAGAGGTTTCTTGATTGAATGTTTCGTTTTTTGGATTTTCTGTTTGATATAATCTTAAAGTATTCTCTTTAATTCGCTATAATCGGCGAATGTTTGCTGGACATTATTTAAATAAAGTAAAATGCGACGAGATTTATATTTTGACATCGGCTTTGGGCCACTCGGAAGTTGTAAATTGTGAAAAATTACTGTAGAGCTATCACATTCTCTATTGCTTTAAAAACCTTTGTAAGTGATTTAAATATTAGAACTTGTGCTAATTACGACCTGAAACCGACCATTTACTAGTAAAAACTAAAATGCCGGCATGCTAAGTTGCCAGACCTTGAAATAAAAAGAACATGTGTAACTGATTAAAATTTAGAGGATTGACACAATGACGCGCTATTCCTATTTTGAGGATAGGACTTACCATCTGCCTACCTTCAATAACTCTAACTTTGTGGGAATAGTTAAATCATATGATCTTGCATGTATACTGACGAATAAAGCAAAACGGAAAAAGCTATCAAGAGGAAGTAAAGACAATATATTTTAAATTTAGAAACTATACATATAATTTATGGGTTTATAAAGTATATTTAATTCTAATTTTAAATATATATAGTCAGTCTCATCAATATTGAAAACATAAAAATTTATTTGACTATTTTGTACTACTACAGAATATTAAAATATACTATTATTATTAATAATTTAGCCAGAGAATAAATTCTAAGGCTAAAGAGTCTTAAAGCACTATAGCATCTAAGGCTTTCGGTTTTTCTTTTTATATGTTAAAATATAAAATAAGCATACAAAAAATTATTCCAGTAGACAAGAAAGTTCAATAATTTCAACAACTCAAAAAACGTAGCGTCATTAAAATATGATTTTTTTCATATAATCAGTTATCATTAATCAATCGGAATTTTATTTTGCTTTTACATTAATCTTCCTGTCGTTGTTTTTCATATACTTGTTGTTTACATTTATGTTGATGTCTTTTTACGTCTCAAACTTTGCTTTGGTTTAAATTTACATCGATATGCATCGAACGCATAATTGCAATGATGCAATCCACTACACAAATTGATGATATTCCTTGCGTTATTGCAGCAAAGTTCTATCGATTGAATTAGTGAAAACACTTAAGCGCCAACAAAGCGCAAAATTAATAAATCGACATACTTCTTTGAAAACAGATTTGAAGAAAATTTTAACGGCTTTTAATAAGCTGAAAATAGTTAGTTGTGAAATAAGCATTTAATAAATAAGTAACGAAATTGATTTAATAAAAGCGCAAATGACCATCCAAAACCATACTGCACTTGAAATCTTTGCCATACGCCACTATATGCAATAATAATTTTGCGCGGGTATATGTAACACCCAGCAAGTCTTAAGTTAAATGTTTTATTACAACAATCAGTTTAGAATCGTTTCATGTGCATGTGTTTGCGTTCAACGTACAATTTTGGAGATGCATCGAAAATAAATTGAATCGGATCATTATATATGTTTAAATGGAAAAATGGTATGACTACTGTTTTATCACGAAAACAAATGAAGAAACAAATGAAGATGACCAGTGTTACCTCTACATATAATCCGCGCATTTGTTTTATTAATACCGGGTTTACGTGTCCAACGAAGATATAAAAAAATTAATTTCATCAAATTATAACCGGCACGAATAGCTTTTGCTGCAATTTGTTGTTATATAAAATATAAAGTTTTTATAAATTGCTTAATATACTTTTTCTCGTTAATATACCACCGCATATAATTTATACTAGTTTTTCTATATTTATTTTAGAAAATTTCCGCAATATGGCTTGTTAGGATTGTGTCATGTTCATTGTTTTAATATTTTAAAAAAGTAAATAATTTCTTTACAATTTTGCCCCACCTAATGTTTCATTTCGAATTTCTTTTTCTCCCAACAAATTTTAAAAGATGAGAAAATGCTCTCTCTCAAATTTGTAGGATTTTTTCTACCTATTTAAGCGGCCCGCCGCTGCATGTATATATTTTTAAAGTAATCGTAACGTAAAATGGTCTTTACGTTATTAACATCTTAATTTTTTATTATTTACTAAACATCCTGTGTTCGCTATACTCATCCTATATCTAATATTTGTGGTGTTTTCTTCGGTACTAATTATATATTCCTTTCGCGGTATTCCGAGTTTTAAATTGATAAAAAAGAAATGGAGGATTTTCAGAAAATAGAAAAGATTGGGGAGGGTACTTATGGAGTCGTGTATAAAGGTCGAAATAAAATCACAGGACAAATTGTTGCGATGAAAAAGATTCGCTTAGAATCAGACGACGAAGGAATACCGTCAACTGCTATAAGGTACGAGTTTGCGTAGAAATCACGATCATGTTTTGCTATACTGGCGGTGCACAAATTACTCTTCTGATCAGTGGGTTTGTGAAACAGAGCATCCGAAATAGTTTGTTCATAAGATTCAAACAATTTGAGTAGCATATTTGATGATTTAGCTTTCAATTTTATCATATTAGTCACAACATAAAGTTTGATTTGATTCAGTGACAAGGAAAGAGAGATTAAATGAAAAATATACGTATTTTCCTGAGTTACCTTTACACTAACTTTCACAAGCCCATTAATGAAAAAAGTTTTCAAAAATTAACAATACCTTTTTTTACTTTCAAATTAGAGTCATTTACTATTTTTACTCCCATTTCAGAGAGATATCATTATTAAAAGAATTAAAGCACCCGAATATTGTTTGTCTCGAAGATGTGTTAATGGAGGAAAATCGGCTATATTTGATTTTTGAGTTTCTCTCAATGGATTTAAAAAAATATATGGATTCATTACCATCGGAAAAGTCAATGGATAGTGAACTAGTTCGAAGCTATTTGTATCAAATAACAAGTGCTATTTTATTTTGTCATCGGCGAAGGGTCTTACATCGTGATCTAAAGCCACAAAATTTACTTATCGACAAAAACGGTATAATCAAAGTTGCAGACTTTGGTCTTGGACGTTCTTTTGGTATACCCGTTCGAATATATACTCATGAAATAGTCACTCTTTGGTATAGAGCCCCTGAAGTACTGCTTGGATCACCAAGATATTCATGCCCAGTGGATATATGGTCAATTGGATGTATCTTTGCTGAGATGGCTACTAGAAAACCATTGTTTCAAGGAGATTCGGAGATTGATCAGTTATTTAGAATGTTCAGGTAATATGAAGTTTTTTTAAACTAAGCAGAAAATTACTTATTAAAAAAAAACTTTGCAGAAGTAGAAGCATTTCTGCATCTGCAGACACTTTCTTTAAAATTACATTTCATAACTATGATAATCCTAAAACTCTTCAAATTTACCTATTCGAGCAGTCCAAAAATTTTCTGTTATTGGTTCCATGTTAACGCACTTTACATCAAGAATCTTTTTTGTGGCTCGCGTAGATTAAGTTTGTACGTATGTTTGCAATACCAATTTGAGATGGATCATCTTTTTATTTTGCCAGGAGGACTGCTATCAAGGTCTGTTTCTATAATAAAGTTTTCACGGGATTTGGTCCAAAAAATGCCCATGCCCATTTTTCCCATCCAAATTTTTCCATAGTTGTTTATGGGGGTTTATAATATGAACATCTGACATAAGCACAATATTTATTTACTAATTTCCTTGCAAAAAGGTTTCAATTCTTTGCGGGATTCATTTGTAGAGCGTTTGATTAATTTTCAATGGGATATTGCTAATTTTTGTTCCCAAAACAGCGGCCAATTTCTCCAATGATTTTGGAGATGCAGCAGAGCGGATAGCATTCTCTACTCTAAAACTTCCCATAACGGTTGAATTGTATTGAGGTCTGGCGAGTGTGTTAGCCAGGACAAATTTTTAATAGTATTCTCGTGGTCCTCAAACCACCTCTGTATGTAATTGGCTGTATGTATGGCGACACTTTCATCCTAGAAGTTTGGCAGAAATATACTAACCATAGAAAAATTTCGTCGTCGAGGATGTCGGGATATTCATTCGCTATAATCAAGTCAAGTCAGTGTTGTAAAGGAGAGAGTAATTAAAAACGATATAGCCGGCCAAATCATAGCAGAACTTCCTTTATGTTTGAATGTACTGAGCACTTAGTGCGGATCGTGAGCTTGTTTAATTGCTCTCCATATATAAACCTGGCCGTTTGCAAAAAACAATGTGAACGATGATTCGTCGTGGCATACCACGTTTTTTTAACGACTTTCCTAATAAAAGGTTTCGCAATTGCACGCTTTCCAAGAACAGTGGCTTTGTGGAGCTCCTGCCGTGTTGTTTTTCCGAGACAATATTGATCACGTTCCATCGTCACTTTTCCCGCGGCAGTTGTCTGTTTTGTAGATTTATCTGTATCCATCACTTAGGCCTGTATTTGGACCGCTATTTCGCCTTGCCGATGATGTTTTGCGTACGCTATCATTGCAGTGGATTCTGCTGCTCATGGAATGTTAAGACAATTCATTTTCACCGACAATTTGCGCCCTTTGAAGTCTGAAATATCACACCGATGGATTGTTTTAACCTTCGCAGAGGAAATCATGTAACACACAGGAATATAACCTACAAGAGTTGGCACGTCAACTGGGCAATACCTAAACTCAACATTATCTACACGGAGGCAGTCTTCCCAATATCCAACGAGATAGCACTATAATATATTGTGAATCCATAAAAATTATTCACAGATTTTTGTTGCGATATATAAAAATGGATAATTTTTTTTATATGATATGTTTCTCAAAACAACATTTTACACGTTCGTCTTTTGGCCGAAACATGTCATGTCATGTGCGGAAATTCAGTCAGACAGAGACGCACAGACAGATTTAAATCCATTGAGAAAATTCTCTCAAAATGTCTATTCTTAATATTTAGGGCCTATTTCTTAATGTTTATTAATGAAAGAAAGTTGGGCCATTATAATAATTTGACAAAGAAACTGTATGTACCAAATTTTAGCAACACCGTTCTATTTTTTGGGCCTCATCCTGCATAAAACTCTTTGCTTTTTGCAACTTAATCTAATTTTTAGTACTTCATGATGAAAATCGGTATTTAATAAAAAGATCTTTGGCAAGAAAAATAATGATGGTTGAATGAAACGTCAGTGTAGGTTTTACGCCCTCTTCTATGTAAGAACTATAATGAAAGTTATGCCTTAGTTGGAAACAAAGTATAGTGTTTAATGTTTTATCGCAAAAATATATGAGGAATTCTATGTTGGATATTTAAAGCGCGGCATTTTCCAACTGCATGTAATGTTTTTACTTCTTTCGATACATACTCTCCCACTCCTTCAAGTTAATCAAAGATAATGTTAAAAAATTGAAACACATATTCATTCGGTCTCAAATATGAATCGAAAAAAGTAAGAAGCTCAATATATTCAAAATGGCTTGCAAACCGATAATGCATGGTGCATCTATAAAACAAACCTACAATAACCAACTTGCAGGAGACGCAGTAAGTAACGGCTATATAAATAAATAAGTAATTTTAACGAATTGTTGCTAGAATTCAACCGCAATTTTTTCTATATTTTCACCATTATGAATTTTTCAAAAATTCAAGTATTTTATTGACATAAATGATCCATTAAATGTGAAGAATAACATACAAAGATGTTTGTTTCAACTTGATTTCCTAAATATAATTGTAGCGCCCTTTACGGGCATTTGACACTTTAGAGCGTTTTTGTCGAAACAAGATTTTTTAGAACGGCCCACCGGATTCCTTTCATTAAACTTTTTTGTAACATTTTTAAATTAAAATTTTCTAGTAAAGTGCGTACAGTGTTGTCGATAAGCTAATTTACATATTTTTTGTTAACAAAAGTGGTGCTTTGTTTGGTCAAACATTCTCACTCAAATGCTCGCTTCTTCAAGATGCCTCGGGAGAATAGCTGTTAACTTTCCTTATATACCAAAAAAAAAAAAAAAAATCAACAGTATGCTTTTTTCGCGCTGATACACTGTTGTTGTTCCCTAATCAAATGTTATTAAATAAATACGTGCCACTTTACTCGGAAACTCTTTGCAATTTCTTTGGTAAAATAATCATTGCTATCATTATAGAAATTCTGGGATTTCAGTATGTTTAATAGTATAATACTACTACTATTAATAGTAAAAGCTGATATCAAAACCATATATCAAAAAAAGCCTTTTGAAAACTGTGTTTTGCAGAGAGCAAAATAAATACAAAACGCACATGTCGATGTCAAAATTTTTCAATCAAACTCAGTTTTCGCCAAATAATTAAATATTTGAATCGCTTTGAACATCTTATAGAACGAGCGAACCATTTGCTTGCTGCTGATATGGATAAAGCATTTTCAATTTAAACATTGCGAATTTCTTCACAAACCAGCAAAATGTGGTAGTCTTTGTCAAACTTCTATTAGAAAATACACAAATTTTTTTGGAAGTTCGATTCAATTTCAAAAGGCTAATAGTTTCGACTGGATTAATAAACGTTACAATGTTTTTACACCTTACGTCTTTTTAAATTTGGACAACACCCAGCAGGACTTAAGATGGGCCCACCTTTTATTATACCAATCGGTTCATAAAACGGTGCTTGTCTGTCCCTTTACACTACAGATCGCAGTTTTTAAGATATTGTAATGAAGATTGGTACATCGTCGTATTTTGACCCAAGGGTGAACGCTATTGAAAATCGTTAGGATCGCAATACCTTTTGACCACTTGCCGTACAAAGCCTTCATATGAATGCATTGTGTTAAGCGACCTTTAATGCCAGGGCGCGGTTTACTAAAATGCCACAAAGTTTTGGTTATTATATATATATTATATATATATATTATATTATATATAAATATGGGTTGGACAATATTATTCAAGAGCATATTTCGGAGTTATAATATTTTAGGTTGAAGTTGTCGTTATCAAAGAATAGATACTTTTCAATGAAAATATAATTTTTAAATGCAAATGGAATTGTCTTCGCAAAGACCGCCTTAAAAACTTGCATTTAATTATTTTTACAGAAGAAGAGTCATATAAAACGAAAAAAAAAAAAATTAAATGAAATGATTATTAATTCCACATTTTCTATTGCAGAATATTAAGAACACCTACAGAGGAAATATGGCCAGGCGTTACATCTCTACCGGATTACAAAAATACATTTCCTTGTTGGTCATCTAATCAGTTAACAAATCAACTTAAAAACCTTAGTAGCGAAGGTCTTGATTTAATTCAAAAAATGTTAATTTATGATCCCGTACATCGTATATCAGCGAAAGATGTTCTAGAACATCCATTCTTTGACGGATTTGATATTAAGTTGATAAACTAGTGCAACGTGTGCTCCTTGAATTCATTTTGAATAATATTTAACAAAACAAATTGAACTAAATGATATTATATTGTATTAATAAAATGATACCATAGTTATGTGAAATTAGGGAAAACGGAGAAAAAAAGCACGTGAAATATGAGAACTTTAAATTATTTCGTAAATTAGTTTTCACAGCACATACATATATATATATGTATACGGTTCATTTGAGAGTGCTCTCATGGAACGTCGAATTTTGCAGTCAATTGGTTCGAACTCAAAAAAATCATTGAGATCGATAAAAAGGATTTGCATGGTATTATCGCTCTTAATATCTTATAACAAGTGTCGGTTGTTTTGATGCGAAAATTTCTATTTTGAGGAATAAAAAAAGTATTTTATCTTTAAAGTGATAAGAGATTGCGTTATGAAAAATGGTCGAGTAATTTTTATTCCAAATCACATATTTTGCATATGGAAGATGTCGCACTTCATATTCCCGAATGAATTCAATTTTCTTTAAAACATATTGTCGCCTAAATTTTGATCATTCGGCGCTGTGTTTCTGAGAAAAAGCCTCGTATTGCAAACCAATCGTGAAGAGTGCTAATAAATAGTGCTCTGCTAAAGTCGTCGAGTTCGCTATTGCTCGTTAAAATAATACCTTTATTCTTTTAAATATATTTCAAGTTAAAAAAATTTTTTATAAGATATTCGTTTTTATGTATGAGAGTACAAATCTTAAAGCACACAAAGTTTTTTCAAGAAGGGAATAAAGATGTAACATCTCTTTTTGCTTGGCCTCATTTTCTGTATCGTCGCATATACAACAACCAAACAGAAATTTCCTGGAAAGACGTGTAGTTGTCATCGATCAAATTTTTACAAAAATTGCATTTAGGGAAACAGTGTTGATTTGAATGTCTTCTTTTTGAATCGCTCGAAATACACTTTTAACTTATTGAAGAGGTGCTTATTTTTAAGCTGCAATAGGCAGTGGTTAGAAGAAAATGGAAGGGGTTACCGTATGGTAAGATCGATAAACAAAGTTTTGAAACAAGTGCGACTAGGGTTTTAATTTTCAAGAAATATTTGTTTACATGTGTGATATACACACACATACAATTGTTTTGACTGTTTGCGATACTCTATGGGTATAACAGCATTGTAACTAAACTTTTTTGCATCAACAATCTCTTTTGAATTTGCGAAATTTTCCAGTGTACTCAAAATATGTTCACGAAATGCCTTTTGAATAGCAGTACAAAGTGGCATGCTACTACTATTATCCCTTAGTTAAAAAAACATATGCGTTTTTGGTAGCACGTATGTTGGTCAGTGCAAATTTCCGAATCGGCTTAACTAGGCTCTTCTATGCGTGGAGTTTAGATGGTGAGAAGTGAAAAGGAAAATGCCGTTTCCAATAATATCAAAAAGCATGTAAAAATTTCAATTAATTGTAGTCAATATTTACACCATGTCGATGATAGAACTCGCTAAAAAATCCAGATTGAAAGGTGGTCAGCTGAAAATTAACCAATTCAAATTAACTACTAAACGATAGCTATTCAAAACCATCGTACGCTTTAAAAGTATAAGAGCAAAGCTTAGATATTATTTCGTATATCTACGAAATTGTAATGAAAGATCTTATATGTGGTACAAAACATGTACATGAAGTGTATAAATGATAAAATCTTGGCTTTGTCATTGCAAAAGTCTGAAGAACTGGAAGTGTAAATAAAAGGATTTTCCATATTTTTCCATTTGTAGACGTAATGGCATATGAGTTTGTCTACGTTTTAGACGTAAAAGTCAACCCCTAAATTCGTTAATAGCTACTCTCTAGAGGAGATTCTGCGCAAAGTTAAAATCAATACAGCAAATTTATGAAATTTTAAAAGAGTATTGCATTGCAGAAAATATCAAAATTAACGAAAGAAAGGCAAATTTTTAAACCATTGAAAAAATATATAAAAAAGAAGACGGGAGAATAATATTATTAAGGTAAAAAGTGATAAGCAATTTTTTTTTAAATAATAATTAAAATTTTACAAATTGTTCTAAGATGGAAAAAAAATTAAAAAAATAAGCACAAGAAAATGTTTACAGGAAACAGAGGATTCCAATAAACATAGTAATTCTAAATAAGAAACCATTACGGACATTGTTCGGTTAATAAATATCTTCAGGGACGAAATATTTTTTTAGTTACAGTGTTAAGTGCATAAGTAAAACGGAATTTGATTCCACACGTAGATTTGTCAATAGCCTCTTTTAATAAGAGATTCGCTTCTAAGCCTTCATGCTTCATACCCTTGCCGTCCACCCTTTTGGTAGGAATACGACTAAGAAAAAAGAGGAAAAGGGAAATTGATTTTAAAGTTGTTGTTCGGAAGAGAAGCCCTAGTTGCGTTCAGAATAAAATGTTTATACATTGCATTTCAAATTTTTTTTTTTTTTTTTGGGACAACACAGTATTAATAAAGCGCATTAGTTGTGTAATAAACAAAGTACACACGTATATATCGGGGATATTATACGTGAGTTTGCCTCGGTACATGTCAAGAATCGAACTAAGCGCAATTTGTGGATCTACAAATTTTTGTTAACGATAAGTTTAAGATAAGACTTAATTCTAGTAATTTCCTTAGGACAAAAATGCCCACTTGGCCATGATATTAGTGAGAATTTAAAAAGGAATAACATATAGTTCATTAATACGATAAAGGAAGGTCAGAAATATGAACTTAAGTGGTATCCAAGATTTATCCGAATCATTCCCAATTAATAATTTTAATCATCTGAGCCAAATCTTCGCTTAGTACATAATACAAATCGCAGATTGTGAAAAAAAAATTTCATAGAATTTTTAAGCAATTCTAGACTTGTTTTCGCGGAGGTTACCCATTTCCACATGCGAACTGAGTAACTTATTTAAGATTGCTTAGTTTTCCATATCCCAATCTTTACGAATTTGAGGATCTTAATAACAGGAAATATGCATACGTTCAAATGGATATGGTGCAGTCGGCGGAGCGCTCATTATCGGCATCAAGAATACGTACTTCAGAAAACATTAAAAAACAGCATATATTCTTTTCGTGCACATAGCTAGCAACTTTTAGGGCTCTCCAATAACATTTTTATTATTAGAGTTAATATTTTTCATTTAATATGCATTTTAAAGAGTCGTTCATGTACTACTATCAATTATTAATTTCGGTTTTTTTTTTTCCTGACCTCAAGAAATCGCGCCTTCTTTCTGCTCTAATCCTAATAGTTGAAAATATATTTGTTAATAACAGCGGAAATCTTACAAAGAGTTGTATTAATGGACAGACCAAGAAAGCTAAGTCGACGGAATGTTATGTTGATCAAGAGTAAACGTGCTTAGTGTTGTTACAAATAGAAGGAAAAGTCTAGTACATGCCAACACTTTTAATGAAATGATAATGATACTTACCTCAGATCGTGAATGCGAAAGATGCACACTTCAAAACACTTGCTAAGGCTAGACACAGCACTTGTAGCGAATTTTAACTAATTTCCTTTCTAACATCTGTAAACCTTGTTTTTCCAAAATCGTAAATTTTAAATAATCGAAAGTTTCCATTCGTTGTATGAAGCCAATTGATTTGCTATTCTCTTTTTGCGCAAAAAAATGAATACAAAATAAATTGGAAACCATTCATTTAGAGTACATATCGGAATGTCGACTACTGTTTTGTTGATGTTTTCCCGCACAAAAATACGACTTGGTAATTAAGCGGTTTTGCAATCGTAGACTTGAAATAGATCTTAAGGGCAACTTTATCGAATTGTCGTAATTAAAAATTTTGCTAATGATCAGTACTTGAAATATTTATTACTTTTACATAATAGATAAGAAACTATCCACAAGTGCGAACAAACGTTCCTATGAATCCTTTTTTGTAGTACCTCTGTTGTAAAAAATTACGATGTATGTGTATTCCTAGCTACGATGCTGCTCGTTGATAGAGTTTTTTTTTAGATTTAAAGACAGTGGATATTTTGCTTTGCGACAAGGGGCCATTTCACAGAGTCTAAGAAAAATGAAATCTTAAGTGGGATCACTCTGCGTCAGTCAAATAAAGAGCATAGAGGATGTGGTAGAAACGAAGTGTTTATGGTCTGTGCTAAAATAGCATCTTAATATGTCTTTCTGCATGTTGTTCGTGTTTTGCTTTTTGGTGCTGATTCTTTTAGCAATTTTCAAAAATTCTTAATGCAACGCGGCCAAGTAATCAATTCGCTGCCCAAAAAAATGTCCAAGTTAATACTTTGGGATTGGGTAAAGGTAATTGAAAGGCTTCAACACTTGTAACGATGCAAATTAACACAACGCTGCAGCTACAACTATTTAGCTATTATCAAAGTCCTCGTTAGAAGCACACGCTTATTTCCAAACCTCATTTTCAATCATAAACTAAGTACTAATTTTTAATCATATTTTTTCAACAGTAAGCATTTCAGAAAAGCACAGCCAAATTGTTTGAAAATCGGTAGCCTACTTTTCATATAGTCCTTGATTCGTATTTCCAGGGAAAAGAAATGGTCAACATAGAATGTACAATATTCTCCCCGCGATGTGCATAAGAACAACTGTACTGCCCGCGAGCATTATTAAAATTTTCTACATAGGAAATACAGTAATCAGAAACTTTTCTAAAATGAACTTCTTTTGCAGTCGTGTTGTTGCAACTAAACAATCCATAGGATTGATTGTTCTTCTAAGATTGATCTTTGGTCCAGGAATGATTGCTCGATTGCTCAAAATGTGATATTTCTACTAAAATTAATCTTACAGAGCCCTTAAGATAATTACTTGATTGAAGATTTCGCAAATTTAATATATATAATTGATTATGTGCATTTCATCTATGTTCGGACTTTAACATGTCGACATTTTTGATTACAGATAAAGCTTTAAATTATAATGGGAACTGTGCTCAGTTTAAATCCGAAAGAACGTCATAATTCTGTTTATTCTGCCCAGCGTCATCTGCCATACAATCCACAAAATGAATTAAGAAATGATCACTTTCCAGAGCATTTAAATTATGCGGACTCGCAACTCAACAATTATTCGTATGAACAATTAAATAATGCGAAAAATCGTGAAAATAAAGCTGTGCACGGTAGCCAATTTTCTAAGAATGGCAATTACAATCTATCGGGATGCTCAAATATTAAATTTAGTTATATTAATTCGAATAATATTCATCACATAAACAATAGTACCAAGGAAACAATTAATAATGATTTGGATTCTCATTACGACAATGCGACCATATTATCAGAAAAGAGTACAATCGAGAAAAACTTTAAAAAACATTCGCTTTTCATTAACGCTTTGTCATGGAAGAAAATAGCATCTCATAATAAGAAGAAGGTTGATAATAAATCAAAATCCACAAATCTGCCTTCAACTAATTTAAAAACACAGCATCGCGATAATAATTGTGCGGCAGTGAGTGATAAAAACAAAAATGTACAGCAAAATATTAATTACATAGAGGAACATCACAATCTCAGCAATAACGATTCTTATAAACAATATTTCACGACTTCAAATGAAAAAATAACTAACGGTACAGATGCTGTTAAAGTAAATAATACGAATAGTATTTTGTCACACAATAAACTTGTACAAAAACAACCGTTAGCATTATCATTGCCATCACAATTCCAACAAAAAACTAGTAATCATGCTCCGAGGAAAACTGTTATACAGGTAATTATTACCGGCCATTTATTTGCTCACATAATTTATTTATCGTTATGTTTTGGTATTTTTCTGCTCAACTCGTACTAGTGCGCGCCTTTTGTCTTGCAAATATTTTCATATGAGCAAAAGGGCTAAATATTTCATTTGCATTGACATTCTAGCCACAACGGAATTGTTTTTTTATGTCTTTTTATGCTTACATACGCAATTAAAACTTTTCGTACGAATGTGTCTATATTGAGTAAAAATATAATGAAAACATAATTCCTAAACAGCACATGAAACAATAAATCCCAACATCCGCCTTAGTGGCCGAGTAGGCAAGAGTCTCGACTAGCAACTCAATAGTCGTGGGTTCAAACCTCAAGTGCGGTAGAGTTTTTAATAAAGCCGAAAGCTTTAGATGCTGGTGCTTTAAGACTTTAGTCTTAGAATTTTTATTCTCTGGCTAAACTTATAATAATAATAATAATAATAATAAATCCCAAAAAGTTTTGTTGTTGTTTTTTTTTTTGTAATACTCGAGTTTATACAAATACAGAGCCTCTTTCAAGAGTGACACAACCAATCTAATACTTCTCTAAATACTTTTCAAAATACTCGAAGTGCGGTTTACTTTCCACAATGACCGCATCATTTAATCTAAATCTTTTTCGCTGAAACGCCCTTTGCAGAATTACGTACAAATAAAGATCTCCGAAGGATGAAGAGATCGGGATCTGGAGAATAAGATTGGTGGGATGCAATTTATGCATCTTGTGACACGATGATTTTGCTATACTGTCAAAAAATACGCCATGGACCTCAAAAAAAGCTTTGTCATACTGAAATTTTCATGCAGAATAAGGAAAACGTGATTTCTTTACTTTTTCTTGTACAAGCACTTCTTTTTCCATTCAATGTGTGGAACAAAACCGGCGTACGCACGAACTCGTTTAATATCAGCAAACCACCGACAAGTTACTCCCTTCGATAGACAAAAATTGCCACACTTCTTAATCCGTTGCTAAGTTTCAACCGTATTTTTTCTCATAAAAATGAACGTTTAATCACCATACGGAGATTAGATTTTTCTCTCGGGTACTAATAAACTGAAAACACTATTGCTTATAAATAAACGAGAGAAATTGTTAAAGAATTGTGAATCTGTTTGTGAGTCCCGAAGTTAATTCATCGATGTTTTGTGTTTGGTAAGGTACAATGTAACGTGAAATTCTTTCATTGCAGGCATCCACCTCCGAATTATTAAAATGCTTAGGAATTTTTTTGCATTACCGATGCAAAAAGCTGCGGAACTTTGAAGCTGGAGATGCTGTCATGTGGTTGAGGGCTGTTGATAGAAGCCTTCTACTTCAAGGTTGGCAGGTAAATAATTTCGAGCAAGACATTTGCATCAAGTTTTTAATGAACGTGCCTTTGGTAGAGGCAAAAAGTCAAAAGAAAGTAAAATGTCAACAGAGGAACGGCGCTAATCTGAAACTCTCACTAGTCAGAAAATAATATACTTCGCAAATTCTCTGATGGGTTTTCCTCAGCCGATAACAAATCAAAATTCCATTTTGTGCTAACTGTTACACAAATATGGAAGACTTGCGATATCCTGTTGGTAACATGGCAGGATTTTTACTCTGATATGCTATATAGTATTTGTCAATTAGTATTTCAAAAAGAAGCCCCACTACACGTAATTCCTGTTTATAGCCAAAGGCTTAAGACCTGCATTGGGCACTACATTTAGTGCATATGTTTCTAACCAGCGTAAAGTCGTGAGGCCATTTAGCCACATTCGCAATAAGGGCCTAGGCAATGTGACTGACAATTTTTAAACCACGTACCAATTTAAAGTTCAATACCACGAGAAAGGTTTACCTTTACCAGTTTTTCTGAATATCTTTAAGCAGGGTCAGGTTGTAAAATAAGCAAGAGCAATAAGCCTACGCAAATAATACCAATACGTATTTAGAATAACAGTACATCGATGGTATTGTTTTAAAGAAGTAAATACGTAGAAGAATTATTTTTTCAGTTGCGTTACGGCACCCAACAAACAGGTAAGTGGTGTAAAACGAAGAAAATAAATGCGGATAGGAGACGATGCAGATTAGAAGTCAGCTACGTTAGGGGGACGTGACTTTTTCGCTTAGACTGTGCCCCCAATGGCTTATGGGGCAATGAAACATCTTAGTCTAAACGCCATTCCGTGTCATTAGACCTTACAGAATGAAAGTTAGACATTTGAGTTCAGACGCTATTGCCTTAGCTTGGAATTTATGGACAGCACATTTGACGCCTTGTCTTAGACAATAACCTTCAAGATCTTGCACAACAGCCTAAGAGATCACATATATTAGCTTGTACGCCATCCTCGACAAACCGATTTTACAAATAGAAGAGAGCATAAGTTAACTCTCTGAGTACATACTTTAATAAATAGGCCAAATAATTCGAATAGGACTTAGCATAGTTAACGCCGGACTCACCACGGATGGCAAAAATTACGTTTGTCAAGAAAAAACGCGTAATTTATAACTGGAATAAGAACAAAAACGCGAATTACACTGTGATTAATCCGAATGACGAAGTAAAAAGGGATTGTGCAATTGAGCCGGTCATTAAAAAGAAGGACGGATGCCATATGCGAATAGGTACTATAAGTTGATTTTTCAGCACGGGGGCAACCAACCTTTTATTGCAAGACACGTTAAATAGTACCAACACTTCTAAATTCGAACGTACTACTTCCTCCCCTACGTTCAGCAGGTATTGCTACTTATACTCAATATTGACTTTAATTACCCTTTCGTGGTTATCAAAAAGATGGGAAAAATATATACTTTCAAGTTAACGTTTTTTACCGTCCTCTTAAAACCCGACAAAATAATTACCTATTTATTTACATTTAAAATAAGTAATTGGTGAATTAACAAGGTATTTTAAATTTCTATATATTGACTTAAGGTAAATGATATCCAAAATTATCAAAAACGAGTCTTCCTTGCTTGTTTTTAGTCTGTTTAAAAGAATATTTTTACACGACATAACATATTTTCTAACGCTAGCATCTTTTTAAAATATATTACATGATTGTATGAAGGACGTTGCCTTTATAAATCCTGCAAATGTTGTGTTCGTCTATATGCTTGTACGTGAATTGGTCGACGGAGAGGAAACCAAGGAATCCGACCTTCAAGCTGCTGTTTTGACCTGCCTTTATCTTTCATATTCCTATATGGGAAATGAAATTAGCTATCCTCTAAAACCATTTTTGGTGGAAGATTCAAAAGAAAAGTTTTGGGATAGGTGAGTTATTTTAACCAAATATTAAAATGAAACCAATTATTTAAACCAAAAATCGAACAGTTGATCTTTTAGCAAACATTTACATTTCCTTTTGTGTTTTTGATATACTGAAATTAAGAAAAAATGTGAAAAATCCTTCGAATAATTTTAAAATGTTGAATTTATTAGCACACTTAAATGTACATGAAAACTAATGTTCGTATGATAATTAAGATAATTATCTTTTAGATGTTTGGTGATTGTTAACCGTTTGAGCAATAAGATGTTAAGGATAAATGCAGAACCAGGATTTTTTACGGAAGTTTTTACCGAACTTAAGTCATGCGGACAACTTACCAATGGAAGCTTTTCTTGTGGAGCTGCTTGACGTATAGACAGCAGAGGTATTGTTGTTCAACTTTCATTGTCAGCACAACATCACATTTTTTATGAAAATAAATCTTAATGATCACTCCATCATAATAGACAACAGTTACATATGCATACATCTCTTTAAATTTGTGTAAAAAGTTCTTGTCAAAAAATTGTCGATAGACACAATATGTTAAACCAAAAATTGAAATTAAAAATAAATAAATAAAATGTGTGATATTTAGTTTATATTAAAACTTGGATATCAGCTTTGATTTAAGGATTAATTTGGTCAATCTATTTAAATGTTATAAATACACTCCCATAAGTTAAAAAAAGAGATAAGTTGATGTACTTAGACTTACACGCCGGAATTAATAAATGGTCAAATTCAGGAAAGATCCATTTTATATTCAAATTTGCTTGACAATTTCGAATTCAGCAAAATACTTTTTCCAAGAAATAAAATTAATGAATATGGAAACTTTTGTTTTTGTAATTTCATAACTTATAGCTTTACAATACCTTAGTTCAACGCCTTAATATTATAATGAAAATGATGAATAGGAAATTGTAGAATCTTGAAATCTAAAGAGGTTGCTGTAATTCTTTTTACATAGGTATTAATTTTTTCTCAAACGACTTGAGAAACGCGTAATATAAAGAAATTCCTTAAGATTTTCTTTACTGCGGTAACAAATCTAGTCTTACATATCCCACTTTCTTTGAAGATCAGTAATTTGTGCTCTACTTCTGTGTATTAAGCTCTCTTCATTTAGTGTAATACTAAATTACACTAAATTACATTTAGTATAACAATGTTTAGATGTCACTGGTCGTGCAAAATTTTGATATTTTACGTAGCTTTCCAATTAACCAGACCTCTCTTTTACCGGTATAATTTGAAATTTTTATTAACTTTCTAAAATCAGCAGATTAATATTTTTAAAACCAAGTGCTACAGTCACAGGACATACATTCCCCTAATTTATCGAAAATATAATAAACAAACACAACGAATTGTCATCAATCGTTACAGCTAGTTTCATTCTTTATAACAGAAGTACAATAGCCCCATTAACTGTACATGAGTAATTTTTTGCAGACATCACTCGACCGACCGACGAATTTGTATTTGGTTATAACGGTTTCCATAACAAAAAAATTCTGGGCAATTAATGCCACTCAATCAAAAATCCAATGAAAATAAACAAAATCCAGGTTATCGAATACCAGCATCTTATGGTCTTCACATATTGTATGAAAAAAAAATTAACAGAATAATTTAATTGCATTGGGTATAAGAGATATTTTAATGGGACGGACGTCGTATTCTTCACCATCTATATAGTATGTACTGGCTTGTATTGAAGGATACAATTTTATTGTACGACTCCTTAACGATATTGCTGGTTCAACTGACTGATGTACAACTTTGGAAATATTATCGAGGAAATTGAAACCTGGAGTCAATGATTTCACTAAATCCGTCTTAAGCTCGAAAAACGAATCTGAGTTCTTAATGCAGGATATGTCGATTTGATTCATTTCAACATATTCACTTTTTTCCACTTTACAAAATTCGTTAATAAAATTTGTTGATTTTTCGCTAATTGATCTCGTTGTGTAAAAACTTGCAAAAGAAATTTTTGGTTTTTGATTAGTTAGCGTTTTACAATTTGAACATCCTGGGCATGGCGGTGTAAGCACTACCTTCGCTTTAATGTTCCACTGGAGTTTATCGGAAAATGCATTAAATAAAGCGGCTGCATGATGTCTTAAGTATCCAAAATACCAATATTTATATTGCTTCGCTTCAATATCCCGTAGCAGACCCCACGAAAAGTTTTGCAAGCCATATATTGGCTTATGAACCTCATGTGCATCACTGTCGATTATATCATACTTAACTACATTGCAGAACTGCGTTCGATCTTCGATTAATGGTTGCAGACTGCTAATTAAGCATTTAACCGTTTCAAGTTTTGAACTTGGCACATGCTGTAAATATCTCAAGGCTGTATTGCTTTTTTCTCCTAATGGAAGTAAAACAATTGGACATGGTGGCACACCTCTGCGCAATAACCCAGTCACAACTTCAGATGAAGTGCCATCACCTCCTGCCACAATAATAACATCCGGTAAGCTAATTAAGGACTCGACAAGCGTTTTTGCGTGGCCAACATGTTTCGTCTTCTTAATGTCCACAGTAAAACCAGATAAATGCAGGATAGGTTCACAAAAGCTTCTGAACTAAGAAAAAATAGCCAAGAACAGAATATGTATATTATCCAAATATACATTATTTAAGCTTTAGAGCAAAGATCAAAATTACAATGAATTCAACCTTTAAATACCAAGTCAAGTGTAAATAACTTCTGTCATAATATCATACTACAAGGAGTGGAATAATAGTACGGACAGCTATCAAAAAAATTATTTGGAAATGTTACCATTTTTTCAGAATTTTTCTTATCTGCTACTGGGTTCAATATCACCAGTACATTCTTGCTGCTGCCGGATGAATTTTTTACCTCATTGCAAATTGTCCGCATATATTTTGAAATTCTAGGAAAAAAGTTTTTTATGAATGCAATCAACTTAAATCTACATATATAAAAATCTTACTCATAATTACTTTTTAGAGCATTCAATCCGTAAGCTATAGGCAAGGAGGCCAAAGCTACTTTCTTCCAGTGCATCCGGACGTTCCGCCAATTTAACATTTTTCCTTTCGTTCTCGGAACAACCTCCGATTTGTCAATATTTTTAGAGACGCAAATTTTTACAAACAAAATTTTATAAACTACAGCATGGAAACTACTACTGGATTACGTTTTATGCAACCGTGCAAAAAATTCAGATTGGTAACAACTTATATGCCCCGTCTATTGATAATTTTGCATTTCTGAGAGTTATATACGACCAATCTAATCTTTCTTAATTTATTTTTATGCATTTATGGGTTTTTGAATTGTGGAGGAAGTCTTTGAGTTATTTTTTGTATTGAAGAGACCGAATATGAATTACCTACGAAAGAATAGAGTTTGCACGAACGTAACCACAAAAACGAATAAGTGAAAATACGAACAATCCTAAACCCAAAAAAAAAAAAAATTATATTACGATGGCATATGCACAGTAAATACCATAATCGTAGCACAACTGTTTTAAAGATTGTTAACATCGTTTATTTTATCACACAAATAATATATCCTATGCATTTAGAATAATTGTTAACGCCGTTTTTAGGAGCGAATTCATTGAATACAATCAAAAAATTGGGTATTGAGACTTTGCTTATAGAATCATTCTAATATAGTAATTTTGATTTCAAGTAACGATCGGAAAACAGATTTGGTTAAGTCGATTCCTGCACTGTACTAATTTAGCTTTGGAAACCATACGTCTGTCGTATTAAACTAATGCATCCTCCGTGATGGGTAAAAAGAAAAAAATAGAAGAATAAAATTAGGATATACTAATCGTGAATTTTGTTTGTTCTACAAAATACGCCCAGGTTTTGAGATAATTTGCAATCTAACTATAAAATTCTCACATTCTGGGATTTGCGAAGAATACGCGGCTATGTGGCAGTGCGTAAAATAAAGAAATATATGGCAACTATTTTTGGGAATGTCTTTTTTAATTTGGCTGGGTTATGTTAAACGCTTCATTTAGTTAGAATTTTTAACAAGGTGATGACTTTGTTTTTGTTTGAATGTACAATTATTTTTTGGGTAGTTTCTTATTTAAAGTGATTGTGAAATAGTGTTTTAAAAGTTAATTATGTGTGGTATTTTAAAAGAATTGAGTAATATTTGTCGCTTGTGCCTAACTTTGCTGCAAGAAGATGAAATATCGGCACATGAAATATTTACCTCAGATGGAACGCAAAGCAAGGCATGCAAATCGTCAACTTGCAATGTGAATTTTGAGACGCCTGAAAACCTGTGCAGCAATAAAGTGTGTAAAAGCTGTGATAAAATGCAAATAAAGCAAAACAAAACAGATTTAAATCAAAACGCAAAAGTACCAGATGTGCCTTTGTCACTGACCTCCACTAAAGTTGATATAAATGATCACATTACTGAAACCCCCATTTCAATTTTAAAACAACATCGAACTCATATATCAAGTTTATCTAAACACAACGATAAGGTTTTGCAATCTATTTTTGCCAATCTTGGTGGGGGAGATTTCTGTGATGACTCACCTCACATAACAACTCAAATACTCAAATGTCTCTCTTTAGAGGTGAGTGGCAACGATAACGATGTTTATATGTATGTATGTCATATATCTATTCTAATTAATGAGAACAAATCAAATATAATATTAAAGCCATATAAAGCGCCTAGAAGTGGAGGGAAGATTCTCTATAATTTTTAAGTTTCTTTCTGAGCTTACCAACCAAGGATAAATAATTCTTATCAGTTTGTTGCAAATAAGAAGCACTTGGTTTTTTTTCGGTTTGTCACGTATAATTGAAATAAATAAATTAAACGTCGTAAAACGTTTTGTGCTCACTTGCTCACTTAACGATCGCTTGTGGCAATGTTCGTGCACAATTCGTAAATTAAGCTGCAGAAAATAAAATTTAGTTGAAGGCGCACCAGATCTGTCACCTGCGTGTCTCAAATACCGACTCGATGAACAATACGCACCGGAAATTTGCCATCGAATACCTTCCAACAAATAAGTATGAAATAAAAAGATTTCAATAGGTTTCCACCACTGTCATGCTGAAACATGCTAAGTCCTTTTTTATTTGTAAATATTTGTTAATATACTTTGTAAAGCATTGTAAAACTTATAGACAATTGTACTAGGCAGAAAGTATGTTTGCATACTTCGTTTTAATTTGGCTTTTTTGGCAACTGTGGAGAACGCAAGCTAAGAAACACCAAAAATGTTGGGTTTTTATTTTTTTTTCAATCCATTTAAATATTAGTTCAAAGTTGTGATATAAACGTGATTTCAATCTACCAATTGTTTATGAACATCACACTCTGAGGTCCTGCTTACAATTCAGATCGCTTTTCATGATATAAGTTCAGTAAAATAAGCTATGGCCTGCACGTTGCAGTTGAAATTTAATAGTCCTTTTGTAACAAGGTTCTATATGAACCATATAACTGTGGCCAAAGTTATGTGTAACTAAATTCAAGAGAATTTAGATTACGAGATACGATACCATGTCGAAGGTACACTCTCTTTCTTTCTGAAAGAAGTTGCGAGGGTAGGGATTTGGGTATTTATATCAATCGGGACTAATTCACACACATAAAAATAGGTTATTTGTTGCAAAATTGAATGCAGAATGGTAAAAAATTTTAAGAACGCATGTATAGTAGAAACCTTCAATTTTTTTCAATTTTAAATATTTCAAAAATACCTAAGCAAACATGATTGAATTAATCCACAAACGTTCGCTATGCGCCCATATAAGATTTCATTTAATCGGAACACATATTATTTTCTCTAATTAATTTTACCATGCACATAAAATTTAAAAGCGGACTATGACATGTCTACTACCCCAAACCAAGTAAAACAAAATTTTGGATGTGAATGAATCTTATATTCATTTCAAGAAGGCCAAAAAAAGAAAAACTGAACATTTAGAACAGAGCTAGCTTTTAGCTTCTTTTGGGATGTCGCAAAGGTTGATAGTGATTGTTTGTTAGCAAATGAAAGTTATTCTTAGATTGGCGTATAAGACAGTTCTAGAAAATAGGCTTTCAGCTATTAACTTGATCGTTGATGTTTTGCAACTTCACATTTAGATCGTGGAGAATATGGGTTAGGACTTCTAGTGAAACTACCTCTTTTGGGTTCCCAATGCCCTATCATTATGCGTGCTTGCTCGTTTAAATTCGGCACACTACCGATGAAGCAGAACTGCAACACTTTTTTGAATGTTGAGTTTGAATGGTATTGCTCTGTACCAAAAAGAAATATTAGGTTGGGGAAAAAGAAATCCATTATTTTTTCGGTAGATGGCTGCACTGATAAAGTATCGATCAAACAATTTCCGATACTGTACATTTACATATTGTACATTTCGCAGTAAAAAAAATTCTTTTGCTCTTCTTTGTTTGGTGCATTCAGTTGTGAGTTACAGCGTGTTAAAAATAGAAGTGAACAAAGAGAAAATCCGGTACATTTTACAGTTTTTCTTTGATAAAAGCGAAAATGCAAGCCAGGCGGCTAAAATTGTGAATGGTGTTTATGGTTCCGATACTGTAACAGCCAATTATGTGCAATTTTGGTTTCGTAGATTCCGTTCAGGAATTTTTGATGTTAAAGATGCTCCTCGCACAGGTAGGCCGGTCGTTGAAAATGTTGATAAAATCGGAGAAATGATCGAAGTTGACCGGCATGTTAGCAGTCGTTACATTGCCCAGGAGCTAAAAATCGACCATAAAACAGTTTTAAACCATTTACGCAAATCTGGATTCAAAAAGAAGCTCGATGTTTGGGTGCCACACCAATTAACAGAAAAAAACATGATGGATCGAATTTCCATCTGCGATGCCTTGGCCAAACGGAATGAGATAGACCCATTTCTTAAACGGATGGTGACTGGAGATGAGAAATGGATCACATACGATAACCCTGTGCGAAAACGATCGTGGTCAAAGAGCGGTGAAGCACCTCAAACGGTGGTCAAACCAGGACTAACAGCCAGGAAGGTTTTGCTATGCATTTGGTGGGACTGGAAGGGGATTATTTACTATGAGTGGCTTCCATATGGCCGAACGCTAAATTCTGATCTCTACTGTCAACAACTGGGCCGTTTGAAGATAGCGATTGACCAGAAACGGCCAGAATTGGCCAACAGGAGAGATGTCGTGTTCCACCAGGACAACGCTAGGTCACACACATCTACAGTGACTCGCCAGAAACTTCGGGAGCTTGGTTGAGAAGTTTTAATGCATTCGCCATACAGTCCGGACTTGGCACCAAGCATCTTTTTCTTGCATTGCAAAATTTCTTTAATGATAAAAAATTGGAATCTAGGGAGGATTGTGAAAATCGACTACTAGAGTTTTTTGCAAATAGAGACCAGGACTTCTATGAGAGAGGCATTTTGAAGTTACCTTTAAAATGGCAACAAATCATACAACAAAACGGTGCAGATTTGACCCAAATCGGACAATCCGAAGCATGTTAAATAAAGCCCTGAAGTTCATATAAAAGTAATGGATTTCTTTTTCCCCAAACTAATATTTAAGCGATACACGAATATTAGATTAGATATTTGTGTTGTTTTCGAAATAACAGAAAAGAACGGACATTGTAACTCGTTTACAAATGCCCGAAACAAAATGAAATTTCAACATACTGTAAAACATTCCGAAGTTAAAATGAAAATTGTACGAATTCTTTCTTCTGTAGATCTTTTTGAAAAATCATGTTGTGAGATGAAAGCTTTTTAAAACTTAGAATGTGTTATTGATATGTTATTTTGTTACAATAAATTTTTTATTAAGTTACAATTAGTATGCAATCTCGCACCCATAAAAATGTCCTTACATGTTCAAATATTCTTCCTCGATCTTTTTCTTCCGTACTTTTGAGGAGAAGGAGGAAAAGGAGGCACTTTTGAATGCCCACTAGTCACGTGTATCTCAGGTTTTAAGTTCCACGTGTTTTGGAGTGGTAGGGAAGACGCAGGGAAAAGGTGTAATACAATAACTATAATCATAACCAACACCAATAACTTCATCGTAAATTTATAATTTTTTAGCAAAAGCATTGAAAGCTTTTCAGTTGCCCTCAGCGCAATTGCCCTTGTCGCAGTGAGTCTACGGTAACGTCTTTTTGTACGAAAACGATTTAAATTTTAATGTGTTAGTGAAGTCAGAAATTAACAGATAAAGCATAAGGCGGTAACTTCCAGTAGACAAGTGGTCGCTTCCGGAAAAAGCACGAAGTGTATAGACAAATATATATATTTGGGTAATGAATTTTTTACCACACGCTATAAGAGTTTGGAAGCATCTACTAAGCAAGAAGAAAACAACATTTTTTTTGAAAAATTATTTTATATTAGTTTAACACATAAGATTTTAATGTAAAAAATTGGTTTTTTCTAAACATACCAAGCATTTATGTAGAGTTCCGTAAAAGTGACTAGATAAAAAATTTTTCCACCTTTCAGCTGATTTCAATAAAAGTTAATTAAAAGAAACTTTATTTATAAATTTTCTTCTTGTTAGTCAATCACAATTCGCGTTCTAGTGAGAGGCGTTGCTATCGGAAGAGAATGAGTGTACAAAATTTTTGTAAAATCGGACGTTCGGAAGTGTCGGAAATATCGACCATTTGGTTGGTCGGACATTGGGAAGTGCCAGGAATGTCAGTTGGGGATTTCAATGCTACGAAAGCAAGTTAAACAAAGGCTTGTAAAAAATAAAAAAAATTATTAATATTTGATACATTTTGTACGTGACAGTGTAAGTCTTAAAGCGTCTAAATAAGGCTTCCTGATTTTTCTATCCTAGAAAAGTTAATATTTTCCTAAAAATTAACTCAAATTCTGTCGAGCATTAGATTTTTTAAAGTTGCGAGATTTTTTTTAGAGCAGAGTTTTAATGAAAAGTCGAATCGTTGTTACCTTTTTATAAAAATTCGTTCGCAAATCATAAATTTTAATCTTCCGAAACCCTGGAGAAATTTTTATTTCGAAGCACTATAATAAACTTGCAAAACACCGCTCTACAAATATTGCCAGAAAATCGATTTTGAGGATTCTTTCGTCATTCCTACAATGACTATTTAAATCATTCTTATGCATTTGTGTGATAATGTAAGCAATGTAATGAAATAAACCAAAAAAGGAAACCTAATTGCAGTGTAATTCCATTACATTGTACGTCATCGTTAACCGTGTAAATCACTAAATCAAAAAGAAAATATACAAAGGATGTCTTTTGGGTTACTTTATTTACCCCAAGAACGAATAATAAGAACAAGAATCTGCCTCGAACAGTCAACAGGTTGATTCATGAAAGTAAGCCCAACTCAATTTTTCACAATAGGTTTTTACGTAGATAAGTCATTATTTACTTTCGCTACTTTCATTACATCCGATTTTTTTCACATTCTGTTTTTAACAATATTTCAAATCGGAGAATAATCAAGGAGTACTTTTTTATATTTTAAGTAAATTTTTCTGGCAAATATAAGGTGCCACTTTGTATAGAAGCAGTTGGACTTCTGGACGGAAAGCTGAGCCGAATATATTTTCACAGGCCTGCTTTGAAGTAGGTTTGACGCCATGAACTTATTTCTGCAGCGACTAAAACAAATGGTAATCGGATGGAACAGGGGCAAGGCTGTATGGCGAATGCACTAAAAATGTCCAGCCAATGCAGTTCTTGTCGAGTCGGAACGGCTTTTGTGATCAGATATGGATGCTTCACTTTAATTATCTGCTTTGATTGTGTTAATTGGTGACGGTGTAACTAATCGTCTGCCGAGTTAGAGCAACCCATGATACACACTTCTCTTAAAATCCCATTAAATTCAAAGCATTACCTCACTTGTTGTCAAATTTACGATCGTTTGTGCAGATTCATTTATCCTGAAACCCACTTTTCATCGCCTGTTATTTATCTCTTCAAAAATGGGCCAATTCCGTTACAGCACCGATTGACAGTTAAAAGTTGTGTTTATTACATTTTCCACCGACAACTCGTGCGGTACCACAATATCGAGATTCTTTTTATGTCATTTATCCTCACGTAAACTGATGAAATAGTAATTTTTTGGTTTCGCATAAATGGTATATGTCAATCTTATTAAATTTTTTGTAGAATTCCCTGGTTCTTATCAATCATTGGTCGACCAAAGTGCAGGTCGTTTTTAACATCGGAAGAGAACAAGCGACTCTGTTTAACGAACAGGGCAAAAAGGGGCGAATTGTTACCGAAGAAAAAAGAACAAGTCATATTTGAAAAAATATATGAACTTGGCTTGTTTCAAGTTAATCATCTTCTCATTTTGAATGTCCGTTTGCTGGATTTTGTATTTTCCACTAGTAATAATCTATTAGTCCGTTGCTCTAACCCGTTTGTATTACGAGAAGATTTTTATCATCCGACTATGTCTATCGCGAAGGTTTTGAATACCCGTAGACCAGCGGCTTGGCCAAACTGGAGACGTTATCTTTTCCATAAAACTGATTACGACAAGTGTCTCAATTCTTTATGTGATGTTATTCGTCATATAAATGGCGATGATGTTGATGGTAGCATTATATCCTTATTGGTGCGTGCCTTGTGCCTGTCTTGAATGAATACCCCCGCATGGCTTAATAATGAGCTAAAGGCAAGTCAAAAGAATAGGCTCTTTAGAAAGTATAAATCAAGTGGCCTTTTGTTAGATTATAGTTTTATTTTATATTAGCATTCTATTGAGCGTTATAAATTTAATGCACTTGGGTGAACATGCTACGTTGCCTATGTCTTGAAAATGAAAAATAAACTATTGGCCGACCCTAAAAGCTTCTATAAATTTGTTTAATTTTAAAGGAAGGTTTCTCGTTTCCCTTCATTTATGAATTATAATAATAATGAGTCCTCTAACGCACAGGGGATTTGCAATTTCTTGATTGAGTTTGTTTTTAAACACTTTTGGCATTATCCCGCGCATAATTTCTTCAGTACTCATCGTGTGCTCTAGGCCCTGATGTTGCACCTTCGGATATTGTTCTTTTTTGCGCATGGTTTCTGACTGTTTCCTTAATGGTGATACTTCTCTGAGAGCTGGAAAGAATCTTATATTATACCGCTTCATAACTGTGCTCCTAGAAATATGATAAGCGTGGCAGTCAAAGTTGAGCCTTCTATTCGACTTATCATGGCTTTACTAAGGCTAAGTCTACGAAGACTAATCTCTTGGAATTGGTTTGTAGTAGGTCGTTTGCCTTTTCGACAAGCAAGCAAACGGATATAATATACATTGATTCATCGAAGTGCGCACTCTCTTCTCCTATATAAGCTAAAGTGTATTGGCTTCCTCTTTAACTTTATTGAACTAATCAGACCATATATTCCTGGACGTACTCAATTGTTACTTTTAACGGTTGCGTCTTTCGCAAGATTGATGTTATGTCAGGTGTGGCACGAGGAAGTCACCTTGGTCATTTTCTTTTTTTGTTGTTTATTCATTACTTGCTCATTGTTATAAAGAATTCTATTGTTTTTATGTTTGCCCATGGCAAGTCTTCCGTTCTTTTAAGGTAGGAAATGACATTCCCCTACTCCAAGACGGTCTCATTGAGTTATCGAATTGGTGCATGCATAGTGCTGTGACTTTATATAGGGAAAAATGTGAAAAGTTAAAATTATTTAGGTATATCCCGGTGTCTCTGCATTACTATTTTAATTGTCAATTTCAAGAAAATATTGCATTCACTAACGATTTGATTCGAAATTGAAAATGTATTTGCAGATTCTTTTCGTGATTAATAAGTCTAAGTCTTTGTTAAGCGTTTCTAAAGAACTTGTGAAATGGAATTAGACCCATTCCTACAAACACGGTGATTATATGGGCCCAAAATTATAATCTATTGAATCTGTTATGAAGTTGTTTTTAAGATGTGCATTACTTGGTTTAGGTTAGGATGCTCAACAAATGCTTTCCCTTATGATAGTCGCCTTACACTTATTAATTTGCCGTCTCTTCTGAAAAGACGTATTTGGATCGGGAATGGTGAAGTGAACTCCGGTTTTGCTTAATGAATTGAACATAAGAGTTCCGTCCAATCGTACTAGGCATTATGTTCTTATTAAGTTACTTCAGTGTCGAACAAATAACGGATTATTTCATCTATTGACAGTTATTGGCTCTAACTGTAATGAATACTATCATTTGTGTTATGGTGCTACTACATCCGTAAAACATACCATGTCTGCCATTATTGAACAAGGTGGACTCGGGTTGCATCACGTCTATAAAAAGAACCTTGCCAATTTGGTTAATTGACTTAAATAATTATACTTATAGATCCGCACGCATGGATTGAACTATAGCGTTCGCTTAACATCTTAGGGTTACTGTATTTTTGCTATTTTCATGGTTCTGCCTAATTTATATTGAACATGTTTGAGCGGTTAGTTTTTGAAAATGTGCGACACATTGAATCATACAAAATTGTCTTTTTACTGATTTAACTAAGTTAATGGTTGATATTGTTATTTAGTTTTAAGATGTAGTTAAATATCAGTTTGTCTTTTCACTTGTGTTTTATTGCTGATATATTCTCATGTGTAATTAATACTATAAGAGTTATTGGTTGTAAGTTGAAGATATGTATGTTTATAGTTCGATGGACGTTGTTAGTATGTAACTGAATTTCTTTGTGTGAAATAAATAAATAATTAAAGAAATGAATAAAAACTATGAAAACTAAAAAATATTAGAAATAATAATAATAATAATAATAATAATAATAATAATAATAAAAAATATTAGAAAGCATATACATATAAAACAAGCGAAGCTTTCAATTATGATCACAACACCAAAAAAAGTTATTACTACTAACTCTCATACACAGTTAGAATATAAACACGGAAAGAATGCAATATGCAAATCGAGTTATTACAATGTTCCGAGACGTTACTCAACTGTCGAATTTTGAAATGCCGTAAAGTACGGTGAACCTGATTTTATTATCATGTACAGAATTTATCATCCATACGTTTACTTTCAAATATATACATAGGACATTAAATAAATTTTTGGATTGACGCCCCGATACTTCATTATTTTTTTTGTATAATTTTCAGTTATTAGGTGTTTTAATGTAGCACAAAAAATATGTGAGAAAATATAAGGTAGTATTATTCTTGAAAAAGTCAAAAAATAAAAATAGGAACTTCCGCGTAATTTAGTGCCTTATGTACATGCGGAAGGCGTATTTGAGGCGATTTTGGCGATGATAAACTTTGGACGTAGTAATGAAATTAGGGTCTTCTAAGGGGTTGAGATCCTTTAAGATATATTAAATGTCTGAAGTTGCTTAAATGCGTTAAAATTTTGTAGAAGGCATATTGTAACTTTTCGCAAATTGTATAGGTGCATTATATCGTAAGGAGTAACAATATATGTTTTTTTATTTTTTATAACATCAAGTATGATTTCGTTTTTTAATTATGTTTGTATTTTCTATTTTTATTTACTTTTTCTCATATTATTCTTTCAATATAGTCCAATTATTAATTGTATTGAATTGTAAGCTATAAAGTTTTGAATTCCAGAACTAATTATGGCAAAGTTTGATAGTTCAATAGCGTTATTAAAATAGGACATTAACAAATTTTTTATTCCGCTAAGTAGCTGTAGCGCATACAGTATTACTCAGACCGAACTGCACAAGTATTTATTTATTTATTTATTATGTAGAGTTTAAATATTTAATTGTGTACAATAATTTTTCTAGGTTCAGCCAAACGACGGATTGCCTACTGTGGTATGCTGCAATTGCAGATCTCAACTTCAAGTTTTTTGGAGATTTAAATGCCTGGCTCAAAAAGCTGATATAGCTCTAAGGAAATATCTCGAAGCCTACAAGACCACAGAAGAGGTAATTTGCTATGCAGTTTTTTGATATCGCTTTTTAAACATACATTTTTCGGTCTTTTGAGATTGTAAATTTCTTAAAAAAGTGCTCAGTTTTCATTTCCTTTTAACAATTATATTCTACGAAAATGGATATTGACGTTATAAAGCTTTTTGCACGTTCACTTTCCTTTCTATGGAATCTTTGCGGGCTACTTCCGTCTGCAACCATGCCTAGATACATTTTGTGTGTTCTTTGAAGATAAAATAGATATCTAGAAGAAGTTTGCGTTCAACATAAAGTGTCTTTTTTTGTTTAAATTGGTTTCATTGTGCATGTCATGGGAGGGCTTAATTTTTTTACAAGGGAAACGTGGCCAGATTAAGAACGTGGTATTCCGTCCTTCATAAGAAAAAATTAGCAGACAACAAAACATACTTCTTCCTTGTTTGCAAATTTAGTTGTCCTGAAACTAACAATGGTAAAACAGTTAGAAGAGTCGAACTATTTACTGAAGATAAACATTTGCCTCCTCGTACGTCGCAAGAGGCATCAGCAGCTCACCTTGTTAAAAGAAGACATTAATTATGCTAACATTAGCCTTCGTAGCCACGAAGATCTACTAAAATATAGGTCACTTTTTAAGGAAGTTTTCATTGTATTAACACGAATACCTGAGAAGCGCGAGCTTTCCCCGTTTTCATTTTCGAAAAAAAGCTTCAAATATATGTATCGAGAAATTTTCCGTTTAAAATTTATTCGATTATCGTTGATTTATGGCAAGATGCAACGACTTCGGTTTTATGGCGACTTCTTTCAAGGAATAAGATGATCAAAACAAGTCGATTTAAAAATTCCAAATTTGAAAATTGTCATATAGATGTTACAAGCATCTGGCAGCGAAAACATTTTCCGTTAATAGTACAGGTTTGATATTTCAAGATAACGTTGAAGAAAACCGCGTTGATCAAGCCGTTCATTTCATGCTGAATAAATCTTTTTCTAATATTGCAGATCAAAAGAAATGATCAATTTATCCTTTTTAATAAGAAACGTATTATTTTATTTTAAGGGCCTAATGGAAGCTGAAACATGTTTGAATCCAACTATTACATCCAAGACATATTTAAAGTCCTCCTCGGAAAGAATGGCAGCAAAAGCGTTAACGGAGCTAAGTAACTCAGCTAAAGCGAAACTTTTCTCATTAAAAGTTAATAAAAATGTACAACCCTCCTTTGTTGAGGACAGTAATTGTACGAGCAGTATTAAAAGCAAAAATTTCGGTAGGGATCTAAGCTTGGAGAGAAATATTGATACGGCAGATAATTCGATTTATGAAATGCCAAATCCTACAAATAAGGGATATGAAAAATTACATGATTTGATAACGAATGACGACAAAGATAAAAATTTAAGTTTACAGCAGCAATTGGAAACAGCAGCAGTTCTTATGGACATAAGTAAAAAAGTTATAATATCGCCACCTTGCTCGAATCCCGAATCCCCATGTCTGGCATCAGACTCCAGTATTAAAAATTCTGTGATAAAAAGCAAACGTCCATTAGATAGCAAGTTAACTACCGAAATGGACTTATCAGTGAAAAAACCCAAATTAGAATTGGCTAACTTTTCAGATTTATTAACTTCTGAAGGTCATAGCGATTTGTCTGGTATTAAAAGCTTTAGGACAAATGAATCATTAAATATATTCGAAACAAATGAAGAAAAATCATCATCAGATTCCGAGCATAGCTTGGATTCGAACCGTTTGGAGATGGATATAACTGCCTTAACCGAACGTCGAACACCGGAAAGTGTAGCTTCAGAGGATCATGGGACTGATGCAGCTACGACGCAATTATGGCAGGCTCTTGCACATTCAGCAGGTATATTCCTCTGTAAAATTTGAATAAAATGAGCAAATGTTACTTCTTCAAAGCTTTTACATGTAGATTTACGCTTGAGGAAACAGGGAGAAGGTATTTTTCTGAGTAAATCAATTCGATAAAAATTTTAATTAGAAGCTTGAAACTGTTCGTAGACGATTTTGCTGGTAATATTCGAACAGTATTTTACAAACTTTTTTAAACATAATATAAAAACGAGTATTGTCGTACAGCGTTTACAAAGTTGAATTCTTCAGGGATTAACCCTGCACCGAAATGTTTTAGGCGAAAAGTATATATCAGAATAATATGAATTCTTTAGCATTCGAAAAATTGCACGACCATTTTCATGCATATGTTTATCGATGTTTCATAATTCGTAGCATTTGAAGGCTGACTAAACAGATAATTGTTTAGCTCTGAAAGCCTACAACATTTTAAGCTATTCGATGCACGAAAATTTGGTTTACTATGCGAAACTTAAACCGTAGGGTGTAAAATTACAATAGAAAGTATTGGAGACGGCGAACTAATTTGCCCATAAGGTTGTGGGTCGCAGGTACTGAGTTAAATTTTTTAAGATTAGACCAACCGACGTTTACGTATGCTTATTTCCATGAAAATTAATCCATAATTCTTACCGAATTGCTACAGTCGCAAAAATTGGGATAGAAACCTAATAAGTGGAAAAAAACATCTCTTTATTGATTAAAAAATGATTGCGCCGTTGCGACATTTCCAAAAACGAGCGAGCCAACTGTTTGAATGTTTGGTTGAAAAATGGTTTACTAACATGTCCGCAACTAACAATAAATTTAAATTCCAATATATGTTCCATCGGACATAAATATTTTGTTATTCTGGCGAGCAATTGTGCAGCAGTCGAAAGTTTTAGCCGAAAATATGAAAAAATTATTGGTGTTTGTCAAGATTGCTTCACTTTGTAGTCTGGTGGACTCGTGTTTTTGACAGTCAGGACCATTGTTTAACTTTGTTTTCTTAATCGATCAAGAAATGTTTGTGTGAAATTTCAGCTTCTTATGTGTATTTTTACGTCTGTAGCGACACCATAAAAATTGTGGGTTAAATTCACCTACCTTGGTATAAATAGCTACATATAAGGTACAGAAAATTTCGTTGACTACGTACATTCGATTTTCAAATTTTTTGTTTTTTTTTTGTCATGTTGGTACAAATGGCCACAACATATGTTGACTTTATCAGCCAAAAAAATGGATCAAAGAATCTGTATTAAATTTTATGTGTAAAATAAGATTAACTGCTCCAAGTCGCTTAAAAAAAGGCAAAAAAGACTATTTATAATTGCCACAAGCTCTTTACAGAAGGCGAAAAGAGATTAATGGCGATCCCCTGCACGCCCCAGCACGTCAAGAGACTGTGAAAATCTTGAAGCACAAAAGAAAATTGTTATGGAGATTTGGCGAGTCACTGTTAGATATGGCTCAATCACCCCTTTTCGTAAAATGCCCTTATTGACCAATTCATTTATTTCGCTTGAACAGCTAATGTGACTAAAAATAGTACTTGCCCGGTTAGATGAACGTGCGGGTAAATTTTCTAACCCTAATTATAACTTTTATCTCATAATCAGATTTCTCAAAAATTCTTTTATGTTTACAGTAAATTTCGATTTTTTATTGTAAATGTTACCACATGTATTATCGGCATTATAATCCTCAAAAATCCCATTCCAATTCAATTTCAAGACAGCTCCTGAAGAAATGTTTGTTTTCAGTAACCCTTTTCTTTATAAAATAAACTTAAGTGCATTTATCAATTAAAGGATTGCCAGTGCCACATTGATAGCAATGTTTCTACTTAGTTTTCCCGCAACTATTTTCTTTTGCTGTTTTGTCTACAACGCTTATCAGTTTATCTTTTTGAACTTGTATTTCTTCTCCACAAGTTCACAAATTCACGATGCCGACACCGCCTATTATAATATCGATTAGTAAAATTTGAAGTGTGCAGAAAAACAAAGATAAAAGAACCTTCTTAAAATCACAAGGTAGAAATAAATGAAGAATTACATTAAAACTGTATTGCAAGCTACATTAAAAATTTATTGTAAAAATAAATTAAGTAATTTAACATTAAATTAGCATTAAAATTTATCATGAATTAAAATTTAAGAAAACTCATCTTAAATTAAAAAAAAAACATGACCATTTACTTACAACTAGTGTTAAAAATATGTTTAAAGCTTTTTAGAAATTAGCGTTAAAAATATATTAAAACTCTAATTAAATTTTCCTTGTTGTACTTCTTGACAAGATCCGTATTAATAGATCGTTTTTTGTAAGTAATATTTACAATTTATTTACAGGAGCTTGTTTTACAACGTTCTAATTTTTGTTTTGATCTTTGAATATTGCAATTCAACAAGAGACGGAAACGGCCCGTCTACTACTCGAAATTTAGAGCGACTATATAAACGACTTGGGCATAGCCCAAAGTTAATGTTGCTTTAAATGACGCGTACGTTGGCTCGTAAAGAAAAGATTAGCTTCTTAAGACTGTACTCTGTGCACAGTTTAATAGTATTTAATTGTTTTAACAAAACATGTTATAAAATAAGTTTTGTTTAATATTGATACTATTTTTTTCGCTCCACATGCGTTGTAGTCAAAATCTTTTTTTGAAATTTATAAAATATAATTGATATATTTTGTTTTAAATTTATATTTTGCAGCTAACAATGTTGAAAGCAACGAAACTAACCGGCTATTACAATTATTGAACAAGTCGTTCACATTTCCAGTTGCAGCGCCTAAACCGCTTCTTCAAAGGGACTCTCGTGAAGAACCCATAGCTTTACTAAAGGTAAATTATATAACTCCATACTGGTACATACTTATCCTTTTAGTGGTTTGTTGAAAACACCCAATTTCAAAGAATCGTTTCTGAATCGTTGTAACGTTGTTCTTCCATTAAAAGAAAGCGGCTAATAAGGAAACCCTTTGTGATGAATTCCACTACCTTTTAAAAAAATTCTGGACTCAGATATGTTTTCCGTCAACAATTGAATTCAGTACCTTTCTGCAAAATGTCTGATATAAACTAGATAATCACATAAATCGCTTTATAATATCCCTCCCAAATGAATCCAATAATATAAGAAGATGAAAAAGACATTACATATAGAATAGTCCCTTTAGATTTTTTCCCTTTCTCGAATCATTTTAACGAATTTTCTAAATTTACATAGTTTCTTTTTATTTATTCAAACATCATATGTGGCAATAACTTCTGTTCTCCTCTTGCCGTAAAGTTTATTTACTACATTTTTTTGGATAGATTGCAAAATGTAATTATATCTTTATTTAATTATACACATTGTTCTTTGCGTGGATTATGCGATAAACCAGGCTGGTACGAACAATGAATAGCAGACGACAGCGGAAGTGCTGTTCTTTGCCGCACATATATAAGGCATATGGTGTAGTCCCGTTTTATTCAGAGAGAATATGATATGTTCTTTCCGTTGTCATCGAAGGGAACGGTGCTTTGCCATAATTCAGAGTTCCTCCTTATTTTTATGGAAATCGCGAGAAGCATCCAGTAACACATAAATACAGAACGGATACATAATTGGTTGATTTAGTCTTCGTCCTTAAGCTGTATAGCTGGAAGAAATCGTAGTCTTGCGTTCGATTGGTTCTGAGAGGTATGAAAATGGTACTAACTAGCGAGCTGTTTTATATTCTAGGCATCCTGCAGAAATGTGAATTCAGCGAAATTGAGTAGATTTGCGTAAAGCATCTTCATTAGACGGCGTCTTTGTGATCATAAATAAGACGTTTCTGCTGTATTAAACGTAAGACGTTTCCAGGAGCCATAAATGACTCTTAGTGTTTTCGGTCGTGTCGTGGATTTCGGGAACTGACTGGATTCAAATCTCATAAATGTAATTATACTTGCAAAACTGAAGAGAGCGGCACAATAATCAAGTCAAATTATTTACGCAAATATTTACTCCTGGCTTTGATGCCGTCAAGTCCTATATTTCCTGAACAATTGATGCTTTTTTTATACAATTTATGCTACACTTCGAATCATTTGACAACGAATGTAACTGTAATGACAGTTTTTGGTTGCTTTATTGATATTTCGGCGATGGCGTGTTGACAACGCTTTAATGTTCATTATATTAAGGAAAGGAAGAACAATAAGAAGAAAAAAGAAACTTCAGGGTGCGAATTGAAGGTTTTCTTTTTGACATGAAGAGAGGAGATCCGGTCTCTTGGTGGTTTTGAAACTGAACTTAAACAATATTATCGTGAAAAAAGACGTATTATATTTGTTGAGTTTTAATCGAAGGAAATCATATGAATTCGCCAATAAGCTAGTTGAAATTTATCATGCACGCGATATGTGGGGTGTTGCAGAATGTCTCATTCAAGCTGCAAGGAGTGACGAAAATGGTATTTGCCGTCAATTTGCGAGGTATTCAGTTTTCCTCCTCTTCCATCATTTGCATCGCATGTGAACGTCGAGAAATAGTGGATTCGTCAATTGCTAAGTTGTTCGAAAGTTCTTTGGGAGTTTGAGCTGGGTTTTCGTCAAATAAGTCTTGTAATTAGTCGTTTTCGAGCTTTTCGGTCTATTTTTTGTCACTTTTAAATCGTTGAAACCAAAATTGATAATTGGGATGTGATGGGGCGGCATCACCATAAGCTTCTTTTTGGCGGGCTTCGATAGATTTCTTTAAACAAAACAACAACAGTAAGAAAAAGTTGGAAACAGTGGAAAATGTAATTTTAAGCTTTATGATTAACGTGGACACTCGTCGAGTAACTCAATGATATTAAATGGAAAACTGCTATTTTATATAGGGAAAGATTGAAATCATCGAACTCAACTGCTGCGCACACTGATATTTCCCTTGTCATTTTTACTTGTAAAAATCGCTTATAAAAATTAACACAAGCACCGAATATAATCCGTGCTCGCTAAGACATTGACAGACTTCAGATCAAGCGTGCTTTCTTGCTTTTAAAAAGCAGAGCCTCTAATAAGTGTTTCACTGGAACGGTGGTTCTCTTCAATAATGTAGCCTTTTATTAATTGTAGAAAAATGTAGAAACGAACAATTTTTCTTTTTGTGATTCTTCTATAAGACTAAAATTTATATAAAAAAAGGTTGTTAACAACACAGAATACAGACAAAGACGTATATGTATAAAATTGATGAAAATGTAAACAAGAATTATATTAAAAATGCGCGTATAAAAAATGGATTCAAATTGTGTACATAATGTTTACATTAAAAATATGTACACCTGAATGGACGAAGGCAAAGAATCTGGACTATCAATTCAATGATAGTGGGTTCGAATCTCAAGTGCTGCAGAGTTTTTAATAAAGTCGATAGCTTTCCATGCTACTGCTTTTGAGACTTTATTCTTAGAATTTATTTCTCTGGCCAAATTAATAATAATAATAAAAATATATACACCCAAAACTAACAAAAAATTGCAGTGTGGCTTAAATGTGGTTTACGACCATTTAATTGGTTGTAGTGGCTAACAGCATCGAAACAAATTCTGCATCAAAAGCTACTGCGCATAAAACCGCATGCAAATGTAATTGAAGAAAGTGTGTAAGTGTGACAAGATCTTAAAATAATATCGCTGTATTATACATTCCAAATATGTGTATAATTTTTCTTGCCGATGAATATCTGTTAAACATCGAGATTTTTCCTGCGATTATTATGGAATTGCTATTGACAACGTTTAACCTAATCTCCAATCATTCCACAAATTAAAAATCAAAGCCAACGTGTTATATTTATCTGCTGCCGGTTCAGCCACTAAGGAATGTGATTAAATATCGTCAGCCTTAGCATCAACAAACATCATCAGAAGTATACGTAAGTCGAGGTTCATCATCAGCGCCACTACTTACGTTATCATGTTTTGGCATCCGAAGTTAAGCAATCTGATATGTATCAATTAGCGTAAGTCCTAACTTATGCCTGCAAATATTATGTTTCTTTACCCATAGGTGAATAATCTTTGAACGTACAAAAAATTATATAGTTTTTATATTGCTGCGAATAAGATAAAAATTTTTTTTTTTATTTAGTACTACTGACAAATTCTCATTGTTTCTAATGTCTCCGCAAAAATATATTTAGAATTTTCTCCAAGGGGAAAACAAGCATGGTAGTCTGCACACTTAAGTACGGTGTCTCCAAATAAAAATGTAAAATAGAGGAGACCATCGGTAGTGTAGGGTACAGACCGGCCTTGGCCATAACGTCACGCCCACCCGATTAGTTAGGTATCTTCTGAGCAATAATGATATGTTTATTTTCTCAAATCCCGGGGTGTCCGGCGAACGCGAATAACACTCGCCAACTGAAACCCCGCCCTGACAGGAGTGGACAGTTTGAAGTGACCTCCGTTTTGGCGAGTCTAAACCAACATTTAGGTTCCTCTTTAGACAAGTTCAATATCTTTTATGCGATATTTTAAACAATGGGAACGCAATATAGGGCTTCTCTACATTATTTTCATCTCACTTGGCACTTTAGACAAAACTGACAAAAACTTTTTAAATAGTTATAAAACATGTCGACATAGTTATTTATAGTTGAACTTATTTTATTTGATAAATTGATTATTATCAAAGGATATCCTCATATCCTTTTCGATTGGCCTCATAGAAAATCTATGGGAATTGTGTTGTGTACATCTATATTTTACAATGCAATCGAGGAATTAATATGCTGTGATTTCTAATTTCACTAAAAATTTAACTTTTTAAATCTTGTATACTTTCAGGGTACTGACGAACCACTGATAAGTAAAGTAAAACTTTCGGATTGTATTGTAAGCACTGATGGAAATGAATGCATAACAAATCATTACATATCCATGGAGGACGCAGTTTATGATAAAAAGGTGAGTTATATGGAATCTTTAAAATAGCTATGGGTCGTTGAACAATTCGGATCCAACAGTAGATACGAGAGTGACCTAGAGTTTACAGTGATTGACTGTGATCCACAATATTAAAAACAAATGATGTCAGTTCCTTGTTTTACGCCAACCATGACTTTTCACATTACGGTGAAAAATTCTGTAAGAAGTCTGATATTACTTTGATGCACGCTCCACTTTTTAAAAAGCGAATGAGGATTCTAACAATTTTTGGAATACTTCTGTGCTGTGTGAGTATGTTTTTGTTGAGGTCATCGTCGACATTTCAGGTAGAGTGCTTTACTTGCGTGCAATGTGCATGATTAGCCGTACATTGTTCGATATGCGGGCAACTCCGGAAAGAGTAGTTGAGAAGGTCGGAAAATATTTTTTTTTCTTTTAATGGGTGCATAACCGCTCCTTCAATAGTAGCTCGCTGGGCAGCGTTCCTACCAAGACTGCTCTCGTTGTCGTTGAAACTGTGCGTTAGGCCAATGCCATTCCCAATGTGTACAGCCTTTTAACCGCCTCCAGCCTTCGTAGAAGATGCTGTAATACTTTCGCTGCGCAAATCAGTGTGGCATACATTATGTGCGAGTAGGCTACGCTTCATATAAATTTTCGCCTCACCTCGTTGGGCCGTTCACGTCTAACATAGTTTTGCACAGAGCACTTCCACAATAGCGTCCATAGACGATCGTTGTTTGCCGGAGCCAAACTGATGCCTAGAGAATATGCCCTGGTGTTTCAACTCTCCTTCTAATCTCCATAGCAGCAATCTTTCGAAAGGTTTGCCCACGTTGTCCAGGAAATAGATAGGTCTATAAGAAGATGAGCTATGCAACGGCTTACCGGCCTTTTGTAGCAAGACTAGGATCTGTTTTTCCACATTGTTGGAAAAATGCAGAGTCTGAGGCATAGTTTCTATGTATTGCTAATAAATTTGCCCATATGCCACCAACCATTTGTATTATTTAGTTTGGTATTCTAATAGGCCCCGGAACTTTTCTCTTTTTCAACGTTCGACATGTTGCCTGGGCTTCTTCCGCTGTAGTCATATCCCCGGGCAAGACTCCTATCCTGATGTGACTGTGGGTTGATGATTGGTTACTGGGAACGGCTTTGCCACTTTTGTTTGGGCCCAGGCAGCATTTGAAATTCTTGTGGTGAATTTTCTTGGTAAATCTTTCGTGCGGCAAGAATCAGTTTGTTTACATCTTCGTATAATTCTTTCCAGCATATAAGTTTGCTCTGTGTTTATTCCTAAATTAAGGAATCTTCTCCCAGTTCTGTAAATGATTTGCATTTCCGCTGCACCTTGTCGCTCGTCTTTGGCGTTTAAAGGCTCCGACTGCAGTTGTTTTATTTTTGCATTCCACTAATATGCTGGCTCATTCCAACCTCACATATATACGTCAAGGTATGCTGGTTACAAGCCATAGCAGCATTCAGATCTTTCTGACGCAGGTTAGTGTATTATCGTTAATTTTTTTTGGCCAACAGAGTTGCTGAGCTCGCCTCCTGGGTCAGTTTCCATACGGTCTACTTTATTGACTATGTTCGTCGTACTGCCTCATTATCTACGTCGATAAATTGGTGATTACTTAAGGTTTCGCTTTCTGCTACTGATCAACACGCACATCTGCCACCATTAACGACACTACAGTTACGTCTATTCCTATTCTATTTTACGTTCCTGTGCTTGGGGAGAAGTAGCAAATGTAAATGGTAGTTTACATCACTTCCGCTACAAGTTCTTGTGTGTTTCATCTATTTTTCCCAATTTCGGGTTTGTATTCTTTACATAGATAGCCGGTTTGACCTTTCTACTTTAGAACCACACAATCGTTTGTGGTTTTATATATGGTAAGCTAAGTAGCACCATATCTATATTCTCCTCGAGCTTTAGGCTTCTTTTCCCCTACCTATATTTACTTGAAGGATTTTAATTTTCATCATGTAAGCTTTATTGCATCCTGCGCTTCTCATAAAGTGGTTTATATTCGTTAACCCTTTCTCTGCACAAATAATGAACCGCATCTCGGTTTTTGTCTATTTTTCTGGCATGTTCTGCACAGGAAACTGCGGTTCCTTCCGCTACGACCTCCACCCAGATAGCCTGCTTTTACGCGTTGGAAGCATATTTTCTTGGTCTCTTTTTCCCATATCCGGCTCATTACAATAGGTGAACAGCTAAAGATGTTGCAGCTTCAATTAGCGCTTGTTTGGTGCGACCAAAATCTTCCCTGATGTTACATTGTTTTTGCCTGACTCGCCTGCAGCAGCCGTTGACAATCTCTGTCTTTTCGACTGCTTCATCTATGTCTTTCATATTCACATGCGGTTCGATTTTCCTCAAGATCATTTTTTCTCCCATTGTGCGTCGTAATGGCTTTTGCAGCTTACCGATTTGGCCGTCTCGTTTTTAAGTTCAATTACTCCGGTCTAGCTGAAACCGTTTTTCTTCAAATCTTGCCTTTGTTATGCCTTCTTTTTACGACATTTCACGATTTGCCAGTAACTTTGCTTGGTTATTTCTATTGTATTCTCTTATCTTCATAGAGCACTGTTCAACAGGTGTCTATACATAAGCAGAAAGACTTGCGCCTAAGGGTATCCACAGTGTTCAATATATTCTTAAGAATTTGAACAATTCCATAGTTGGGGCTGTCCAGACGAAATTTGGAAACTCTAGAACAAGTGCTAATTGTGCTGTAAACTCTTGACTGCTACTTCCCTGATTTCGCAGTTCCCCCAAAGAAAGTCATTTAGTATTCGCATTCACTAATACTAAAATCTACTAATTTTTTTACATTAACGAAGGAAATGAGGTGTTCATTATGTTAATAACACACTGTACTGCGCGTTGTTGGCATTATTGCCCATCCCCGTTCAGATGTTTTGGTGACTTTATTCACAATGAACGTTTTACTTTGTAGCTCGATATTGCTATATTGAAAGAGAACCAGTGAGAGCAGCTGCTGTTATGAATAAATAGCGTTTGATATCGCTTACAGAAGGTCGTCAATAAATGTCCGAAAGAGAAATGAACGAAGGATGAAGCCTTGTGGCACTTGTGCAATTGTAGGAAATTCATTCACATCGAACGAATCGAGCGAGATTTTTATCCATACTAAATGCAATCAGTTCGTAGACAGCAGCGCCACGTCATACTTTGCCGAATATTTTGGAGATATCCAGAAAAACGGCCTTCCTTTCGCTGTTGTAACGAATAGCTTGTTTCGATCTTTCTATGAGATAAATCATTGAGTTATTAGTGAATGGAGCGAAAGCCGCATTGCGATTATAAACTGGTAATTGATCACGATTTCCATAGTTTCAGCTATGTATGAACAGTTTGCTTTCGGGCGGCAATTGCAAAATTGCATAATTATGTGTTTAACTATGGCATAATTACGTATATACTTATAATAAATTATTACGCATTTGTATACAAATTACGAAGCCTTGATGATCGTGGTTTTATTTTTCAGTTAATTTACAAAAACGTATTTTTTATAGTCTATTTTCACAGAACGCCTTCCCTCTGCGAGTAAATCGTATGCTGCAAACTTTACCACTTTCGTTTTTCTATTCTTTTTTATTTGCTAAAACATATCAGCTGATAAAGCTACCAATGCCACAAAATTCTGGTTTCGCGTTCTTACTGCAATCGCACTGTTAGTCACAGCCTTTTTTGATGATAACACGCATTAATGTGTTAATTTGTATATATATATGTATATACATACATGATTGGCCATCGGCTATTTCCTACCAAGCTGGGAAAATGCTGCCATGACATTTGCTGAATATTCTGCGCAACGACCTGGGGAGTGTATTAAGGCTTAATCATGACAGTCAACTAGTACATTGGCTTATCAGCCGGCTTAGTTACTACTTGTACGTTTTTAATCGGAATGCCTGTTAATTGTAGACCAAAACTTCTTGCTGTTTTTTGGTACGGCGAGGGGACATTGACAGGGACTGGTACTTGTGGAGAACATTTTTGCGGCGGTGTCCATTAATAGCTTCATTATTCTGACAGTACATCAAGAGTATCATAGAAACCTATGCTGTAAACAAAAATCCTTATTTATTCATTTGCGGATGACAGCACCGCTCTCGAACGACGAAGTTTCCTCAAAGTATCTGGGCGGGATCTGGCAAATAAGATCGACGGTAATGCTAACAAGACGTACTACCTCTTATCGCGCAGACAAGGTGATGAACACAACCCTTTCTGTGATCATATCAAGACAGGAAAGTCAACAACGCTTGACGGTATAAGAGTAAATGATGCGCGTTGAGCAGAGTACATCTTGAAAATATTGTAAGACACAATCGGCGAAAGGCTTTTTAAAACTTTTTAATAAATGCTTTACGCTAGTTGGTGTCGGAATCATATATACCGCCTTTATCCTGCCAAAGTTACAGTACGATTCCTGTGTCTGCAGCTGTCGATTGCTTTCAGCGCTGCTCATAAGTAAACCAAGAAACAAGCAACGCGGGTTAAGCGTAATGTAATTGTATTTATGAATAAGATACTTCCACGTAAATTTCCAGTAGAAATAGAATCGAAATTAACTATTTTAATCAGATTACTCGACTTTTCCACCTAGTTGTGCTGGGACCATTTACGTAAAAGATGTTCTTGTTTTCAAGTTGGCTGTATTCACAAGCCATACCCTTTTTTCTCCCCACTTTTTATATGGTCTTTCCTAGCCAGAAATTTGATTTGATTTTGAAGGGGATATCTTCCTATTACCGAGATTGACAAACTTAGAGTGTTCCAATTGCGTTCGTCTCCTGTCCGCTGAATTAAGCTTCTCAATGCTTGTTTGCTGTTTGACGCTCATCCAGCGAGTTTTCATCTTTGGTTGTGGTTTTATAGCTTTCAACGTTCAAAGCTACCCATGTTTCCATGTTTTAGCGCCGTGACAAATGAGGAGCCCCTGGCGTGGGATTCAACCTATATAACTTGTGTATATGTAGTGTCTTGCAAAACCAAGTACTTAATAACAGCGCAAATATTAGACTTTTCATAGAAGTACTCCAATCCGACGATCTTGAATTAAGAAACATGCCTTCAAAATGTCTGAAATTTTCATAAGTACTTATCAATCTATGCATAGACACATTTCTCAGCTTTTGTAGACAAGACATGCCATCTTCATTTTCATATCTGAAAGCTTTGAGACAACTTACATAATGCCAACCAAAAGATTCGCAATTATACCCCACATCACTTGTGGTACAAGGATAGGCTAAGTTTGTGCGACTAAATACAACTCTCTTGACTTGAGATAAATCACTTTTTATTATACCGATCGGGTTTGAATCACTTTTAGAATGGACGTAAGTTTGGCTGTCCGTCTGTCTTGCCAATATTCTTGTGTTCAACCCAAAGGTAGCACCTTTTGAGATATTTTCACGAGATTGAGCACACTTACGTGTTTTGGCTTAACGACGAACCCGACTGATCTTTTCGATCACTTTCTACGTAACGACTTATTATGTAAAATCAATAAATCAATCAATGTTGTATCAATAACTGTAAATGTGTGCACCAAACATCAAATTATTATTCGGACGTGTTGTTAGTAACGTAACGGGAATTTAATAACAACATTTACTGAAATTTGCTCCTTAGAGATATGACTTCAAGGTAAAAACCGAGAAATTTCATTGTATGAATGATTCATAAATCGTGAGATTAAATTTTTACTACTAATGGAATTTGCGTGAACAAATTGAACGTCTTAATAAAACCGTAATAATGGCTTTCGAATTGACGACAATTCAGTCCTTCTCATCAAAGCAACATTATGGTTATTACTTGGTTTAACACGTTAAGCACGACGCAGTTTTTCCTATTTTAGTTCATTGGGCGGCAACAAAAATCGTACTTTGCTTTATCTGGCGGCGCCTTGCACAAAATGTTCCTTACCAAAACTTGATACTCAAAAGTGTAGTTTCCTTTTATTCTACGTTTATTATATCATATACGCAGCGCTCATACCCACGGATGGTTGCGTGCATGCCGTCTACGAATTTACCGTTTAGTTATGAAGTATGGCCATGGAAAAATTATACTGTATTTTCCCGTTATTCGATTTTTGATAAGCACTTGCTTTAGTTGGTTCTGTAAATATAAAGCTGAGTGTTGATGAATTATTTTTTAGTCCTTACGGATTACTAATAGATAGTGAACTGTTCTTGAGGTGTAACTTTGTTTTTAATTTTTTACAGAATTTGGAAATTTAAAAAGAATTAAAAGTTGATTTTATCTGGTAAGCAGAATTTCAAGACATAGCCAGTAAAATCTGTATATGTATGAAACATTTTCGCCCCATAGAAAATGGATGAAATGGATTTTACGGGAATAGATGATTCATGGGATGAGTCTGCAATTGTATTTCACAGGAAAAGACCAATGGCAGATGGTGCTTTCATCTTCTACAGAGGAAAACGATATTTATGATTGGGAGGAAAAAAGCGATGAGAAGACAGAATGGAAGCAGGTCACAGGAAGAAGCAGTTTTACATATCAGTATATGGAAGAAGAGGAATTTTTGGACGGAAATGTTAATTACTGCGATCCTTTTCTCTTGCACCAGTTATTTTTGTCAGACAATCTTCTAGAATTAATGGTTAAAGAAACAAATAGATATGCTGAACAGTCAAACTTTGTTGTTGAAAACAAATCTTTATCCACCACCAGAAAACAACAACAATCCTAGATGCCTCTTACGATAGGAGAAATAAAGAAGGCGAAGGTGAACCACCACTATGCCTTGAATGTTTTAAAAAAACCCACAAGAACGAATATGTAAACATATTAACTGTAACCCACCTACAAAAATAAGCTTTTAAATTTTTCAATAAAAAAATTATTTTTAACCACAAAGTTTTTTCCATCTAACAAAACTATAGCTGATGGGAGCCACCGGTGATACACGCCGCCAGATGAACCATTCGCCTGTGGCGAATCTGTATCCAAACGGTGGTAAATCATAGAATGTATTAGTTTGGGGAAAAAGAAATCCATTATTTAAAGTATCGATCAAACAATTTCATATTTATGCTCATTGGAAAGGTGACATTTCGCAGTAAAAAAAATTCTTTTGCTGTTTTTTGTTTGGTAGATTCAGTTGTGAGTTACAGCGTGTTAAAAATAGAAGTGAACAAAGAGAAAATCCGGTACATTTTACAGTTTTTCTTTGACAAAGGCGAAAATGCAAGCCAGGCGGCTAAAATTGTGAATGGTGTTTATGGTTCCGATACTGTAACAGCCAATTATGTGCAATTTTGGTTTCGTAGATTCCGTTCAGGAATTTTTGATGTTAAAGATGCTCCTCGCACAGGTAGGCCGGTCGTTGAAAATGTTGATAAAATCGGAGAAATGATCGAAGTTGACCGGCATGTTAGCAGTCGTAACATCGCCCAGGAGCTAAAAATCGACCATAAAACAGTTTTAAACCATTTACACAAAGCTGGATTCAAAAAGAAGCTCGATGTTTGGGTACGACACCAATTAACAGAAAAAAACATGATGGATCGAATTTCCATCTGCGAAGCCTTGGCCAAACGGAATGAGATAGACCCATTTCTTAAACGGATGGTGACTGGAGATGAGAAATGGATCACATACGATGACCCTGTGCGAAAACGATCGTGGTCAAAGAGCGGTGAAGCACCTCAAACGGTGGTCAAACCAGGATTAACAGCCAGGAAGGTTTTGCTATGCATTTGGTGGGACTGGAAGGGGATTATTTACTATGAGTTGCTTCCATATGCCCAAACGCTAAATTCTGATCTCTACTGTCAACAACTGGACCGTTTGAAGATAGCGATTGACCAGAAACGGCCAGAATTGGCCAACAGGACAGGTGTCGTGTTCCACCAGGACAACGCTAAGCCACACACATCTACAGTGACTCGCCAGAAACTTCGGGAGCTTGGTTGGGAAGTTTTAATGCATCCGCCGTACAGTCCGGACTTGGCACCAAGCGATTATCATCTTTTTCTTGCATTGCAAAATTTCTTTAATGATAAAAAATTGGAATCTAGGGAGGATTGTGAAAATCGACTACTAGAGTTTTTTGCAAATAGAGACCAGGACTTCTATGAGAGAGGCATTTTGAAGTTACCTTTGAAATGGCAACAAATCATACAACAAAACGGTGCATATTTGACCCAAATCGGGCAATCCGAAGCATGTTAATTAAAGTCCTGAAGTTCATATAAAAATAATGGATTTCTTTTTCCCCAAACTAATATAATAACATACAGTACATTCTTTGACACGAAAGAGTCATCAGTTTGTCTTCAAACCACAAGCAATATATTTGGCTAATATATAAAGCTTATTTTAGATAAGTCAAATTTTATTTCTTTTGTTCCACAGAATCCGAAAAACTCTACCTCAGCGAATAGTGCACAAAAGGGTATGTCGTGCTCGAATTGTGGCACATTGACAACCACTATTTGGAGAAGAAATATACGTGGAGAAATTGTATGTAATGCCTGCGGTTTATATTTTAAATTGCATGGAATCAATAGACCACATTCAATGAGAAGGGATACAATTCACACTCGCCGAAGACGACCGAAGGATTCTGAAAAATCGGAAAAAAAAAGTAAGTCGAATGATAAATTTACAGACATGTTTTTTTATATGTGTATCAGCAGGCACTTGTTAGGGTATTTCGGACTCTTGATATGCGCGCGGCAAAGTTTATGCAGTGAATCCCGCAAGCTAAAACAAAAAGAATAACTTGCACAATCATTCTTTTGCTAAATAGAATTAGCGCTATTCATTAGTCCTAGTTCGTGTTGCACGAAGTCCCTCTTTCTTTCTATTTCCATACAAGTGCAATCAAATCTTAAACGCTGCCTTACACGTCTGATCTCTTTCGTGTTTGTTTATTTATTTATTTATCCAACTAGGTTATAAATATTTCAACTAATGATCGCGTAAGAGTAATCATAGAATATCTACAACAAAATTTATAATACCTTCCTAGTGCATAACAAGCTACGCAAAACACGAGCTACTTTATAGTAAAAACATAGCTACTATAACATGTGCAGCCGATTTTATAAGCACATAAGAATATAATTTAAACAATAAAAATCTTATAAAAATATTATATATATTCGAAAAATGGCTCTACATTTTCCAAATTCTACGAATCTATAAAGTATTCCGTACATGATGTATACTTCCTTGCGAATGAGAGCTTCTTACACTTTTTTAAGTTGAGCTCCATAAAATTAAACGAGCACCAAGCAGCCCTATTGTCTAAATCAGATTATAGGCCATATGAGTACGTTGCCACCTTGACGGTATAGAACAGTCTTAAGCATACATTAGTATATAACCAAACTTAATCACCGATAAAAGATCACTAATATAATGGATAAATAGACGGGGTCCTAAGTGAGTGAAATGCGGGATCGCTAAGGTCACAGAGAAGTCGTCAGAGGAAACAGAGTTGAATACAACTCTAAAGGATTTATTCTGCAAATATGTAGCAAACACGGCTGAAGTTTAAACAGCAGTAATTTTATCAGAAGCCTTATTAAAATCCATTTAAAAAACACCTGTTTGTGAGAAAAACGACGAAAACGCCTTGAACACCTAGGAGAGAAGGTAAACGTAGAAGAACATAGAAGAAGTAAATTGTAGCAAGTTCGCAATAGTTGATCTTTCCTTGAGGAAGGCATGCTGGAACGGAGAAATAGGTGTATTAATGGCGAATGGCTAGTTGACAACTAGCTAGTCTATTTCCACTCTTATATCGTGAGATCAAAAAGCAACTTTCCAACCATAATTAAAATTGTTCGCAGAGAAAAATTAAAAAATTAGAAAATTCATCACATAGTTCCCCCGCACACAACACGAAGAATGTGTGATGGCCATCAGTGATGTGTTTGCTTTAATGACCTCGACCAATAAAGTACCTGTTGAGAAATTACAACATTTGGAAAGGCAACAGAATTATGTATAGGGTAAAGGTAATCATTTATAGACGTAGAGCTGTTAGTAGCGAGGTTACAATGAAAAATGTACCCAACGAAGTTCACAATTTCACGATCATCGCATGAATCAATTACCACGCAGATATTGGAAGGATAGACTATGTGATGCATCATACACATGCTCAGGTAGACTTAAATATGAACTACAGTTAAGAAGTTTCCTGAGAAATTTGCAAAACAAAGATGCAGGACTCTCCCATCACAATTTGGCGTTTCGTTGAAAAACATATTAGCTCTATCAGATGTAGTAACAGTAATAACTACAAACTTCACGAGGACACCAAGTGACATGAGGAAAATTAAAGATACCCAGCGCTGTTGCCATATCCGAAGAGTTATAAGTTAAGCAGTTGATGATTTAAAAATGCTAATCAAGCTTACTTTTTTCCGCCAAATATCTCTTAGCACTCTCATAGGAGGTTTCCGACGTTGGCCTGGATATTCCTCAGTGGAACAGCCACTAAGCTCGCGGTATTTATAAACCCAATATCAGAAGCCATATGTGGAGAATTTCTTGTTTTGAAAAAAATAGGCTTTCAACCACCCTCCACTGCGCTAGAAAGGAAGAGTTAGGAGAGGAAGTAGCATTTTTTCACTCTTAAAGATATAGGCGGATCAGATCGAGTAGGAAGAGGCATTTTTGCCTCATCCATGTAACTGATACGCGATATGCTACGACGTGCGTTAACGTTAGTGTTCGTGCTCGCAAATTGAGTAACTCTTGCGTTTTTAAAAGAATTTTCGACATGGAGAAGGATGGGGACCGGAACATGAGTACTAAGAACGGCGGGAGGACAAGGCTCACATGCCGCACCACATGCAGACTGTTTCCCATTTCGTGACCTTTGCGAGGAGTCCAACTTACTAAATCCATCAAAGAAGATCGTATGAGCCTGAAAGTTCTCAACTAAAGACGTTAGCTCCTTCCCAATCTCAGAGAAGCCTCTTCTTATTTGGACAAAGCGGGAAAAAAGTCAAAGTCTTTCTTCCTAAAGTCAGCATATGGCCAACGCAGATCTTTGGGGGATCCCCAACATTATCCGCGGCTCAAACCTCACAAAAAACGGTCTAACGATAATAAGTAGCGCGATTTTGGTGGCCAGTTCGTATCACCAAAACGTAAAATTGACCAATTGATCCATTCAAAATTCATATATTGAATTTCACACCAAACAAAGTTGGTAATCATGTGACTGAGGCGATAGAATTTGACGGGTTGTCTTACGCATTCCTCATTTTCAAAAAAGTACGGGTTTGTCACACCTCCAGACAAAATATCACACCAAAGATGTCTTAAATGAAAAGCTGACAACCGACTCTTTAGGCAGTTCCTCACATATGTTTAGTCACGATAACAACTAAATTGAATTTTCTACTAATTGAAATATTCTTCATATAGTGATTGTGAAATTTATTTCCCACTTCTTAGCGACTTAAGTAAAAGTTGATTTAAACAATTTTTTTAAATAATCGTTCTATTTACATGAAAACAAGAAGATTAAATAATTCCTCCAGTTTGCATATTATCCTTAAGGAAGCGCATTTACTTAAGAGCTCTTTGAGGGCAAAGGTTAAAAATACTTGCCGTGTAGAATTTAAAAAACATGTTGATATCGAAAATAATAATAAGTCTTTTTTTTACTTACTTAACTTAAACTTAAATACTAAAATATTATATGTATTTATTAAATAAAGTCTTAGATACTAGTGCTACAAGACTTGACTCTTGTAATTTATTTTTTTTCGTTAACTTCGTTTTAGCGATAGTAATATATTTATTATATTATATTATAATTTTACACTAATATAAATCCTAAAATAGTATACCTGCTTTCTTTTCAAGGGAATAAATCAGATAATTACGCAGCAGAAACAACAGAAAAAAAATATCTGGAAGGCATTTCTACTTCAATAAATGAGAAATCTGAAGACCTGAAGCTACGATTTGGGGGCTATGCGAATAAAGATATTATAACGGTAAGAATAAAGTATTTAATCAGTTTTAAAAATTGAATTTGCTTTACTGACGCTTTTTCGTCTGCTCTTCTTTACTGTGAGCAAATTTCTTTCACTGTTCGTCTTATAAAACCTTGCTTAAGAACGTTTAAATGTTCAATATAGGGAAGACTAAATATAACGTCAATACAATTGGCGTTTACAAATGTCCAATTTTTTTGGAGAGACGTTGATTTATAATGACAGCGGAAGTTGATGTGGAAATATACTAGGTAAAACATGTATTGAATAACGAAACAACTTGAAATAAAAATTACCTAAATGTGTATCGTTTTTCTTTTTTATACAAAAGAAGGATGCATCTTATGAATATTCAAGTCTATTGCCTCGTTTGCTTTTTTTATATCTAAATGACAATTGTATCCGACTTTGGGACATTAATATTAAAAATAATTCCTTTCGTCCTGTTAGTCATAAATAACCATGCGTATAGTTTTGCTCTAATCATGTGAACTTAAGAACTGATTATTTGTAGGCGATTTAATTTGCAATATTCTTTTTAGTTCATCAAAAATAATGGCCCGATTTCAGGAAAGGCGGAAACAGATGGAAAGAAACAATCAAACGTGGAACAGGCTTCCAAAAAATTAAATGAAGGAAATGATGATTTTGTTGCGCCTCTTAATCTTGTTGCCAGTGCAAATAATAAGTTAACATAAAACATTGAAATCAACATACATAAGTATATATGTATATATGCTTGTATATAAACGATAAATATTTCCCATACTGCTTAAAAGAATGTTATATGCATTCAAACATATGCGAATAATTAAACGAACGAATACCAAATTGATATTTACAAAATAAACAAAAACAAGAAATAGAAGAAGGAGAGTGGAAAATAGACAATTCAAATCTTAATATGTGCATGTATTGTACATAAAAGGTGATTTTAACGAGGACATTAATACTTAATTTAATAATAATAGATATAAATTCATATATGCTTTTAAATATTAGACTGGTCAACAATAATGAACAATCCCCACATTCCGCTTTTGTAACATTTTCTTCATATAGTGTCAATATTTTGGTGTTCTTTATTAACCTGTGCCGCTAAGATGAGAATCTAGCACATTAATATGCTCGCTGTTAAACTTGTATAAGGGGAATCATTAAAATTATATATTTTGTATTGTGCTCTCGCATGCTTAGCAGCTAACGTTTCGGGATCAAGTACTGCTTTCTCAAACATTTCGCTGCTTGTGTAGACAACACACCTGCAAGCGAAAATAATCTCTGACATTGAACTCCATGCAATTGATGTAAAGTAATATAATTTCCGGTAAGGCTAACTTAAGTTGAGGTTATGACTCAACCAAATCCGTCCACTGCCTAGTTTACTAGCGAAATTTGCATAGTTTTCGTTTTGCAAATCTTTTTCATAAAATCTTCTTTCGTCTTTACTGTTAAGACCGATTTCAAATTCAGGTGAAACGAACGTATATCCCACTAAACGCAATTAAGGTTACTAAGTTGTCTTAGCGTTAAAAAGTTCGTTTATATAAGTTGCAAGGTTTTGCATCAACAACTGCTTTATGATATCCACTTTTTCATTTTGTCGGATATTATGGATTATTTATTATTCGTTAGTTCTTATCTATTTCACCACTTCACTCATCCGCTTGTTCACGTTGTTAATTAACGGTTGTCCATTTATCAATTTTCCATTACATATTACCTGATGTTATGTAGCTAGTTTAAACTTACTCTAGTTATAGCTTCGCATATCCATTCTTTATTCACCTAATAATTCTCCGCTTACCGGGCTTATTTTAACCTCGTATTAGCTATTAGTTCGGACTACAAAAGAATCTTATTTTTATGAATTTAACTATATTTATTTATTTATTTTATTTATTGTTTATCAGATCTACCACAATTAGTTCTATAACCTCTGTAAATATTTGCAAAAACATAGCAGATATTTAAAATAAATTTAAGTTGAAAGCGTACGGGGCGGGTCCCTAAGTTGTAAATGAACCTACGATCGTGCAATATTCGCTATTCACAACGAAACAGATATATTTTCATCTATCCACCATTGTAAAAGCCTTAAAAATTAAAAAAAAAAATTTTTTTAATTGATTATAAAACTGTAAAGTAAAGAAAATCAAAACTTTTTATACACCTTACGGCGACCCTCTTATGCCCATTGGCATAATTTCAACTCTTGCATACAAATTATGAACCTCTTTTTTAATTGTGGGCGTCTCGAAAAGCCCGCAAGTTTTTTCACACTAATTTCTGTTAAGTTTCGGATCTGACCAGTGGTCATCACTTGAAAGTGTTTATATTGAGTTTAAGTTTTTCATAAAAATTTTTGCGAATGCCAACTTTCCATCCGCAATTCTAGGTAGTTAGATGAACCGACTGGGTAAAATCGAATAATGGCTAATACTGGTCAATGATATATATTTATATCATAAGATTTCTTACAAGTATAAAAAGCGCCCAATATTTATTGACAACCCAGTTTTCAAATGATTGGGAGACCAATTGAAGGAACAAAAAACGTCCCAGTGAATGAAGCGCCGTGAAATGGTAAATCTTTAATTGTTGTGGATAATTTCCTTTAATTTTGTAAACAATTTTCTCTGGGTAGTCTTTCTAATCTTGCATATAAATTTCTATGCTATTCATAATTCATCGGTACGAACTGAATTGAAGGAATATCATGACCAACAGATCAGAAGTGGGGATTGAAAAAAAAGGCGAGCCCGATGGCAAAATTAAAAGATTTTGAAGAACAATAGTTCGAATATGGCTAAGGAATAAATCTAATCATAGTTGCTGGTGAGGGTGAACAACAGCGTCGGCTAAAGGAGCGGCTACAAAGTGATGGGAACGATCTTTCCATATATGAATTCCAACGCAACACTGCCAGGAAAGATCGAGCGGGTAAGATTGTCGAAGTGGACAACAAGAAGAAAGTACAACAACAACTGATAGATAGTAATGCGAAGAAAAAGGCAACAAGAAAATGCAGTGCTGGCCGCTATCTCGTAAAAATTGAGCGAATAAACGCGATAAATAACACCCAAGATCGAAAATGCTGACTATTAGAGAGGTCAAAAATGGAAAAACAAAGGCGAACACAATAATTATTAATCAAAAGAGCGAGGCACACCTACACAGAATGATCAAAATTCGATAAAGAACAGCAACCAGCACCAGGATAATCTGGCGAATTAAAGAATCAACAATAAGAAATTAAGGCAAAAATTTTCAAGACAATCAAAATATTATTATACAATATATTTGATGTTAATGTGGGCTTTCTCACAAAGAAAGTAAACAAAGCAGTAAGTCAATTTTATATCCAGTTGCGAGCCCTAGAAGAGAAGCTTTATGCAGCAGTAAGCTGGTTGGAAATCTGACGAACCGAAAGAGATACTCAGTACTTCTGAAATAAAGGCGACCACCGGTGCAAATGTGCAAAATGTGTCCGCCACAAGATAAACGATCATGTGGGCGAATGCCAATCACGTTCCATTAAATTACGCTCTACGTCACCTACCGAGAAAAAGTGGCAATAAACACAAAGTAAGGACGAATTCATATATGAAAAAGTATACTAGAGTATTACGGGAAAAGCTGGGAAGTCCACAAATCGCATGGTAAGGCAAATGCCATGCTCAGGCACTCGTGATGTTAGGAATATAAACGTTATCTTAAAAAATAAAAATTGAATAAAAATTGGGGGAAGGCTGCAATATGCAAAAAATTTTAAGGGGTCTACACTAAATGTCATGAGGAACTTGTTACTGATTTTTGCTAACGTTTGCGATAGCACTCAATGTCGTTCGATGACTATTCTTCTTGCAATTTATGTACGCAAAACAACGGTCAAATGTCTTATTTCTCATTTACACCATTTCTGACGAGGGCGGAATAGCTAACGTTGTCAACGAGTTTGCTTTACATACACATGCTTACAATGCTTACATGCTTACATGCTTACCACGAAAATGTCTTTTAGAGTTAAGTTTGTAAGAAAAAACAGTTGCAAACAAAAAGTTAAAACATTTAAATTTGTGAAATGTAAGTAAGTTATCGTTAAATAATATTTATAAACAATCTAGTTGTGTTCATCAATATGCAAATCTTACATGATAGGATGTGCTTCTTGCTCTAAAATTTGAAGATTTTTAGGCACTTTGCCCTCTGTTTAATCTAAGAGAAAGGTCGATTGTTTACTTTTTGACTTTCGGCAGTCGTAAATAAATATAAACATAAGTTTGTTGTTTATTTTTGCGTATTCGTGCAGCTGAATGACACCAGCGAGAACGATAGCAAAAGCCAAGCAGAAGCAAACAGGAACGAATAATAACTTTTCCCCTGGTTGCGGAAGGAAGTTATTTAAAAGATACGTAGTTACCCTCCAGATCAAGGAGATGCCGTCGTCTGTTGAATTGTCGTGCGGCCAAACGGAAATTTCTCGACATAAGAAGTACACATTGACCTCTCGACGACTTTCTGCAGAAAGAATCGAAACAATGATCGGTTCTGCATGAGATTCTTCTGCTGGATACCCTGTTTTTTTTTCTTTTATAAAAAATTAATTTTATTGTAGCATATTGCTTATTTGTGTATCAACTATTTTTTGCTTTAATAGGATTGATTAACAAAATTGTGAAAATTACAAAAGTTATAAAACGGAAATTTAAAAAGGTTTATAAAGAAGTATCACGTCTTACTTAGCGTTCCTATTTTATATAGCCGTCGTTTAATTTGAAGAAACTAGGAATTCAGGTTATTGATATTTGTATGCCTCTAGTTTTCATTTTTGCGACTCTCTCAATACTTGAAAGCATTCAATTTCCAGAATAGTAAGTATGCGAAAGCATTTTCGATGAAACGTTTCTAAAAACTCGCTAAATTTCAAAATCTTATTAACGAAATTTGCGTGCATCGTTTCTTTTCCTCTTTCAATTTTAAAGTGGTGAGCCACAATGTTTGCGCTTATTTAGTTCAATTTCTTGTATTTAATTTGAAACCATGCGTAATTTTTACACCAGTAAGCCCCGGAATACCAAATCAAAATCATTGTACAATATGATTCATTCAATCATATGCTTTTGTCTTCTTGGTCATATGTAGGAGGCTAGGCCTATAGCTTCGTGAAGACCTACATATATCATGTTCCGTAAGATCTTGATTGCGCTCTATCGCCGGCTGACTATTCAGTAGAAAAGCGTTCATGCCGTGCGTTGAGTTGTAGGTCATAAGTCCTTAGGAGACGATCGTCAACACATAACCGTTCATGTCTATTAAAAATTAATAGCTTCAAGTCGTTATCCTTCTCCTTGCCCTTATTGTGATATTAAGCTGTATATCAAAATTCTGTTTTGATTCATAAGATTGGCGTCAGTTTTGAGGCAACGCATTTGCGGTGGTAAAGCAGCACGGTCGATCATTATTTGACATTTTTGGCGACAACAACAACGTCGGTCCCGTGTCCTATGCCTGTACTATTTGCGTCTACCATGGGGCTCGGAACCGATTTGGGGTGAACGATAGACGGGTCCATTTGTTTAATCAAAGTAACTTATTAGTATTGAAGGGCTGCAAACGACGTACTGTCGCGAACTCTACATCTATTACTCTCCTAAGACATTTAACCTGTCGCATAGAGTGGATTGTTGCACTTATTTAAATATCAAATTCTCTCTTAGTAGAATGCTTAGAAATATGTCTATATTCAAAATATTTCGCTATAGTGAAGCATATATTATTCGCGGCGCAATCAATTTCTCGCTCGGCGTGCTGGCTCATTGGTCGACCGGTTACGAAACGGTTTTACCCGTTGATATACACAAATGGTCCAACGTTCGGAATTTAGCTCGGAAAATAGTTTCATCAGTACCATCGTCATTGTTAATGTGTTCACTTGCATCGTCTTGTTCCTCATCAGTTCGGTTAATTGGGGCATCTACTTGGTCGCTTTGCAATATTCTCGGTTGCATTTCTACATTTAGCAGTTCTCCTTGATAACTTTCGTATCGTTGATAAATTTTGTAAAAGAAATGTTAATTTAGTTTTATTTTTGTAAAACTAGTCGCGACATAGCCCATAAAGTTCAATGTGTTTCTAAAAACAAGAACGTGGGCGAAAAAACTCTAAGCCACCTGTTGACGGTGTTTATCACAGAGTGTTCATTGAGTGCGTAGTATTATAAGAAAGTACAACGTTGTATTCGAACATTTTCCGGTATTTAGTGAGGTGGCTCTTTTTAATTCTGTTCACAGGACACATGGAACTTTTATTTGATCGCTTGCGGTCTGCATTTCGCGAGGCTTCACAGCAAATTTCACATCCCCGGCAACTTTCAAAATCAAAGTTTGAAATAGTAGTCTTGATAAGAAAAATTGTTACCATAAAAAAATTAATCAAATTCACCTTCTACTATATGGAACTCAAGTTCATATTTTTCTTATCCTGTCAGTTCTATTAACGATTTAAAACTTACGGCACTTTTTTCTTACTGTACAAGTGGCTGAAGTAAGAAACGACGTTCTCTTGTTTCGCCGGATGGAGATGGAATATCATGTTACTTTCATTTCGTTAGCTAGGCGATGTGGGGCGCAATCCCTTCCACCGTGATCGCTTTTCATGAGTAATTTTTGTGCGATTATTTCGCATCTCGTCTTCGAGTAATTTTTATCATTTGCGAACTCGGCCCGCCTTACCTGTGCACTGTCGCAGCACACTTGCAGCCTCAATAATAGACAATAATTACTTTCGGGGCATATAGTTTTGATTCTTTCACTACGTTTTATATATTATTGTCATCAAAGATTAGGGAAGGTTAAAAAAAACCTAATATATCTGAATTGTATTCGTTAGCCTTCATTTTAACAATGCTTTCAGAGGTAAAAAATGGCGTACACTCACATTTTCAGTGAAGAATCTAAAAACGTGATTATTCCATGCAACTGAATGTGAAAACATGGATGGGTGGTTGTACACAAATGATAACTACAAATTTCTTTAATTATGTAATATAAAACTTGGGAAGTCCAAAAAAATATCTTCCAAAATGATCAATATTACAATACTTATCTTCGAAATGTGCAGCTTGATTTACTGTGGAATGAATGTTCGCAATCTTCAATTTTAAAGATTGTTTTGAGTACTGCAAGTTATTCGCTGAAAACATTGCCTTTGGATTCAAACTGACAACAAGTGCATATTTTGTCCTTCTTTTAATAGTTCGATTTAATTACAAAATACTTTAAGTCCGAATGCTTATATGATTGCATCCTTCCTTGACGTGTGTCCATTCGTCTTGCGTACGCAGGGTTATATCAAACATAAAACGCTCTTCTATCTACCTAACTCGTCGTAGGTATAGCATATTACCAGACTTTGATTCTAAGCTGCGCTAACACAGTCTCATTTTCTGAAATTTTAACCCGGGGACCTGCAAGAGCAAAAAAGGATTTTCTTGTGTAGGAAAGCGCAGATTCCAAAAAAATTTACGTATATATATGTTTTTTATGCACTCTGGCCATTTTACTACGTAATTAAAAAACTTCGCAAAGAAGTTTTGAACTATTTATTCTTATGTTGTTATGATCACTAGCGCAAAATGAAGATTCGCTAAATTTGGAACTCCGTCTTTAACACGCGTAACGTCGACTTTCTCTTCTTCTTCTTCACCTTCTTGTAAATCCGCGTGATATTCTACAGCTACAGCTATTCAACCGAATGTTGTCTTTGTGCCCATTCGTCTATTTACCGTCTGAAATTTGGAACGCTTGTGGATGCAGACATTAAATAGGAACTTAAAACTCAGCCAAGCTTCAAAATAGGCGTGACATGCCCACGACAAGCAAAAAATTGTAACTAACAGTTCACGACAAATATAGATTGTATATGCAGCAAATAAAAATATAAAGACCATGCTACACTTACGGCAAATGCACATCACGGATACTGATTTAAAATCCCTTAAAAATATTTTCTAACTGATAGATCCACATTTAATGAGGCATTTTGTGATTATTATGTATATGTTTGAGTAGTATCCACGTAGTGAGAGTAATTTTGTTACTTGTTTTTCTTTTGGTTTGTTAATGGAGAAAAATCGGCGTTTGAAAAAATAAAATAAATTAGCAACATTCAGGTATAAAAAAATTTTCCTTAAAAGTCTAATTCTCCTTTTTCTTTGCTTGATATGCTTCATTATTTTAAAGCCAAACTTTTAAAAATCGTTTACAAATTAAGATGAAGAAACGAAATTCGAAAAATTTTTTAATAAATGCTTATAACTCTATTTTCTTCTCTACGTAAGTAACTTTTCCGGGAGGAGATGTCATGGGGCTTTAAAGACAGTTTATCGTTCTTCTAAATTTTCAAATATTTATTCTTAAATGTGAAAAAAAATTATACATTTTTTATAGTATAACTTTCAGTTTTATTTTAAAAAACCTTACTACCGCAATGGCATTATAAATTTACATCCTTTTTCTTTAAAATATTGGCTCAGTTTGTTTCGCTTTATATCATACCTTTTCCTTTATACCCACGTCATTTAATATTTATGTATAAATAGACTTAAATATTTGTATTTTTTTACGTAAAGTTGTTCAAAGAAAAAAATATCGCTTCTAATGATGCAACAGGAGAAAGGAGCAAAAAAGGAAAGAAAATTAACTTTTCTTTTCGTCTTTTTTCTCAGTGATCAAATTTTATATGCTGCTTATTTAGGAAATATAGTTAACAAGAACAAAACATCATCCCAAAAGGTAATTTGAACACATCATTAATTCAAAATGATTTTGGTTTGAAATTACTACCCTTTTAAAACAACGTTAATTGCTTTTTACGCTCACCACCAGAGAGAGGGAGCGTCAGATGTACCATTGAGATTCTGATACACTGGTGATATTGAAACAGAAATCTAAAACCATCACTAGTTAGTCTTGCTAGTTAAGTTCCATATGTCAAGCTTCATAATATAGCATATATTGTATATTGTAAAAAATATTATACCCATCATCAAAGGATGAATGGCGTATTCATTTCGTCAAACTGTCTGCAACCTGCAGCTTCAGACACTGCATAAAGTACATATACCTTTGATCAACGTCAAATTCTGAACCGATTTAAGAATGCTTCTCCGTCCGTCTGTCTGCCTGTGCAATGCCTATGGTGAACCTACTCCTGATCGCACAAATGCAGCAATCCACTTTAAATTTAGCACAAAGTTTGGAAATTCTTTAAAGGACACGACCGTAGAGCAAGATAATCTAGGACCATGTATGTTTTAAAAAATAAAAGAATTTTATTTTTTTGCTCCGTGTTTATAAACCACAGCAGATATAACGATAAAAGTTTGCATTTGTATTATAAAAGTGGCCATGCAGCACCTGTAGAAAAATGGAAACATTAACTACGCCTGCTCAATATTATAGAACATTAAAATTTCATTATTTTGTGGATACATTTGCAAGACTCAGAAAGAATCTTTTGGGACCATACGAAGCTGACGTATAATTGATCAACATCAAGCGATGACGGGTATAAAGAATTCGGTCGCGGCCGAATATTATTTTCTTACTTATTAATATTGATCTGGATCATTGAGAATGCAATTAACAAAAATCTATTTGATGTATTCTTTCTAGTATGTATCTGTTTTAATGTATTATTTATTTCAAAGTTCCGATTTAATTCTTTTTCTTTACATCTAATTTTATTGATTAAACGGTTACGTTATAAAATCGTTGGCGGCACTTGTCAAGTAACTTAGTGTAAGTAATTTCCAAAATCGCCAATAAAAAGATATTGCAGAATTAGTGGTTGATGGGTGGATTTGACAACAGCTATCTCACCGGTCTAATATTTATGCATACGTCCTGAAAGCTTTCTAACAAAGGCAGTATTTTAATCTTAAATTAACTTCATTTACTTTAATATTTAACTTAAATAATTATTATATATATAAAATTAAGATAAAAACGTATGTATTTTATACATATACACTTAAACTCAAAATTATGGAAAGCGTAATTTTAATATTTACTAATAAGTATTTTGTAAATAGACAAAATCTTGCCTGTTCATGCAAAATCATGTGATAATTTACACTTACTCTTTAAAGAAACATCAAAAATTGTACTCAAAAAGCAATATGTATTATATTCAAACTCTTTTTTCAAAGTACTTCCAAATATAATAAAAAAAAAGAACGATTATTAGATTTTTATCAAAACTAACCTTAAAGGATGTGCGTTTTAATAAATGACGGAAAATGGTAAGTATTTACTTTTGATGTAAATGTCTGGTGACTTTTTGATCGACAAAAAACCCTCAGAATTAAGAAATAAATATCTCCACATTTTTGAACATTTGTATTGGCCTTTATTTACTAACAAAAGTTTCATTATTACAACTTGGAGCAAAGCACTTTCCCTTTCTAACCGCGTAGCGGCAAATTACTTGGATAAGCCTCGCTTTGATTTCTATTTTCCTTTACTCTCTTTAATAATATTTTGAAGGTTTATGATATAAATTTTACTTTTTTTTGTACAAAATAAATATGCTTCCCAGTTATTTAGGATATTCAGTTTCGTGTCGTTTCTTCTTGGATTTTTTAGTGCATTAAGCATTGCTTTTAAATTAAATTTATTCAGTTTACATTATTTACACATATTTTTAAAAGATAAAATAAACAAGGAATTTCATTAGTTTTAGTCATACTAAGTACAGGGAAAGAAACACAATGGGCGTATAACTGAATTGAAGAGATATTTGGGCGCCCGCTTGAACAGCTTCAGAATGTTCTCCTGAAATGAAAAATTATAAAAATGATTATTAGAAAAATGGTAAGAAAGAAGAAGTCGTGCAAGTTTCAACAGTTCGACCGAACTAAGCAAAAAAAAAAGGCGCGAAAGAACATCCGGGAAAACAGGTAAGCAAATAATTTGTGATAAATACTTAGTAACTATATACTATATAAATAGAGTCTCGAATTCGTTAAAAACACCCTTTTTTCATTTGATAAAAGAATTAAAAAAGCAGACGTTGGTGGTAGATACTTCCAACCATGAGCCACAACTAGGATGTTAGGTGTAAGAGAATACTACTCCCAAAAATGTAGTGTTGAAAGTGACAGTTGAATCTTAACATTTTATATTTTTAATGCTCTTTTGCCGATAAGATGCCGAAATGCTAAAAGCGAAGAGAACATTGTAGCGGATCTTTGACAATGGCGCAACGCTCATTTATGCGCTTTAGGCAGATAGGCATTCCAGTGCATTCCGAATTTGACACAAATCACGAATGTGTTTACTTTCTGAGGTCTCTCAAAGCCTCCTTACGGGCTTTGCAAATATTTCGACAAAATAAATATATTCTCAGCCTCTGGTGGTGGCTATAAAAAGAGCGACCCACGGCAAATGAAACTATAAAAACTTCTGATTTTTTTTTATCAAAACCTTTGTAATGCCCAAGGGAGAGCTTGAGAGTCCCTAAGAATTAGGTGTATTCTTGACCAGCACTGCATTCAGAACTCAATTAGGCATTCTATCTAGACATCTATAACGCACGGTGATAGACATTCTTTGAAATTGGACATACCACCTTCAAACTTGGCGAAAACATTTGAAAATGAGCTAAACCGGTCAAAAGACATATCCACATTGCAACTTAAACTGAAAAGTCTCCCGTTTTCTAGGTTTCACTGCTCATAAACTGACACAAATACATCACAAATTTCTGCACATATTCCATCATCTTTTTATTCTGCCGATTAATTCAGCATCACATTCTAAATCCACTTAAACGCCATTTAAATGTCGTGTGCCGTTGAGCATTGGAAAAAGTGGTGCGTCGCTATGTCTTGGACTCAAGGCAGTTATTATTTAAAATAGATTAACCCGCGTCATGGAAAGAAAATTTGTATTTTTTAACTCATCAAAGAAGAATGATTGGTATATTCATTGGCGGTAGAAGGCGAATAATAGAGAGAGAAAGAAACGAGATGTGTCAAAGCAGTTTCTTACCACTCGCATTAAGTTAAATTTAAATATCAAGTGTATTGGACATACATCATTACGAAAACATGTCTCTAAAAAAGCGGTGTATGTTAATAACGATTTTAGTTGACGCCATCTTAAAGATGGAAAGGAGAGCACGTAATTTTCATCGAAATAATCTTTCTCTCATGTTCAATCCCAGTCTCATACTGCATCTCTCATGTTAACCATTCGCCATTTATTGACAAATATGGTGTACTTCTTTTGCCTTCACTGATAAGGCAAAGGAATGCTCGAAGGATTAAAAATATAGTAGTAAAAGATCGATGCTGAACGATTCCAAGGAGTTCTCAATAGCTGAGTTCAAGTTAAAGCAAGAATTTTAGGATACAACCTAACAGAATTATTCTTATTCGAGGGTTAAAATACTCGCTTCAAAGCAAACTTCGGTAATTCGCTGAATTTGCCTTGAATCAATTTGAAAGTGATGACGTTTTATTTTAGAAATTATCTTCTCAGATGGGACTTTTTTCAATCCCAATGTTCAGAAAGTAAGTGAGATAAAATTACGGCTTATGAGGAAAAGCCGATATACAAATAAATTATCTACGTTTCATTCCATTAAGATGACAGGTTGGGGTGATTTTGGGTTAATGACATCCTCTTTCTTTCTTTAAGAATCAAAGTAAAGATTCCGTTGCCGTGAATGAACGTTGATGTTAACCAATGGCCTGGACTCTAATAAACACTGTTTTAAAATTAAATTCTCATCATCCCGCATAATATAAAAGGAGTTCTCGTTAGGAATGTGTTCTCTACGCTTATAGGTGGCAAATGATTTGAGAAACCGCTTCTTGTCTACAAGAAAATGTTGCTACAAAATGAAGACATATCATGTTGTGCCTTGTGCTCTCCTCGCTTTCTTATGTAACGTTGCGCCGACTTTTTTACTTCGACTCGAAAGTCATTCCAGAAAATAAAATATTTGAGGGTTTAAGATAACACACAGACGCTTGCCAGGTCTTAATGGCATTGCATTACACATTCTCAAATCGTGTGCTGGTAAACTCATTACATTACATTACAGCAAGAACCCTTTACCTATTGTAGTAGACACTGTAGTTTAAACAAAAGAAAAGAAACAAAGAAAAAAAGAAGAAAAAAGGTTTTTTTTGTCAAAAGAGAAAAAAGAAAAAAAAAGAGAAAAACATTTTTTTGATTGGGACGGAATTTTTTTTTTCTGAAAAAGAAACATAGAAAATTCCGACGATATAACCGCTGAATCGTGATAATAGAAAAAAACCTGAGAAAGTGTGCAAAAGTGTCACCTTAATATTTCTTTGATTTTTGAAATCCAATCTTCAATGTGAAACGATTTAAAAAGGCAAAAACAAAATCAAGAAGAACAAACGTACACGCAGAGTGATGAAAAGGAGAAAACTTTAAAAAGAAAGGTGTAAATTGATTAGCTAAATCGTTGGTCGGCTGCGGATGTTGTACGAGAGTCTTTTAAATAAAAAGAGAATAAAATTGAAATTAATGAAAAGATAGCTAATAATGTTAAACAAGGAAACAATAAAGGAGTTTTCTAATTTTTTATAAAAAACCGACAAACAATTTCTTCGTTCATTATTAAGAACAGTGACATATTAAAAGGAGACTAAATCTCAAAGCTAAAAAAACCATCAAGCTTATATAAAAGAAGAAGTGAAAAACATGAAAAGCTCAATAAAACGTGTTACTTAACTTGGGTTTGTACGTGGTATCCCTAAGACGTCGAATCAATAATTGACATTTCTTTTGTGTTATTTTTCCTTAATAATAAACAATTTTTTTTTATTTTAAAACCTGTAATTTGTTAAAAATTCTTTTAGCTGTGTAGATGCGCATCGACGTGGTTATTAGTTTTGGGAAATTTTTTTATTAAAATTTTTAAATAACCATTGTTAACTTTAAAAATTTTGTTTTGTAATATTGAAATAATTCATTATAACACTTTCTTTGGAAAAATAAAAAAAAGGAAATGTATCATTAGTAAATGTGAAAATACTGGTAAGACTTCCCGTGGGTGACAGAAGGGCGAGGGAAAAGTAGTATCGTTAGGGCATAGCTTTTTATTAGTCAAAAATTACAAAATTTTTAGTAAGCATGTTTTAATTAAAATAATGAAATATTGTAGCGTAACAAGAACCTAGCAAGCATCTGAATACATTTTATTTGGACCCATCCCATGCGATGAGCCAGGCCGGAAAACATGCGAATAAAAAAAAGAAAAAATCAACAATTACATCCATGCATAGGTTGAATTTCCAAAACTTTACACTATCTCAAAAAATGCATATTTTCCGTTGTGTTAGAAAATTTCATTATTTCATAAACACTGTGGGCGAAGTACTGAAATCAATTTGGAATATGCGTCACAAATTGGAAAATATTGACTCTCAATCACGCATGTTTTAATTCACTTCTTGCGGAACACATGATTATGTTGGATGAAAAGCAATGTTTCAAGAGCTTGATACTTCTGTAGACACAGGATACGTTGTGTCAAAACTCTATTACCTAAATATGATTTATAAGCTCTATATCGTCAACGGGATGTCATATTTATAATATGAATTGAACGCGGTAATAATATATACAAAAAATAGTATGACTTGTGTGTCAGATGTAATCAATATAATAAAAATTCTCAAAAAAAAGAACGAGCGATGCTTTACGTGATATATGCGACAATTCATTGCGTTGAAAATATATAATGTGTATAGTAAGATGTTATCAATAAAATAGAAGAAAATTAAGATAAACTCGTCAATTTCGCAAAAATTAATAATAGATTAACTATATATTTAATTATCGAGAGGAATCAAGACTTTTAGGGTCTTCGGATTCTTTCACTGTGTGTTAGAAAGTAACATTTGTCCAAATTTACACTTCTCTAATTAGATAAGCATAAAGCTTTAGTTAACATTAACAATAAAACTAATGTGAAGTGGCTAAAAAATATGATCATTTGGAGTGCACCATTCATATCGTCTATTTTGAAAACGGAACAAGACGTTTAAGTACGTAGCGCTAGAATATCAAAGCATTATTCCACAATGTTATTCGCTGAGATTACATGCAAAAGCAGGAAGTAAAATCAGTTGTGTCGAAATATGATACGATACAATATTTATTGTTCAAAAAAACGTTCATCGGTAGGCATTACTTATTATTCATTTCCGGCCGCATATAGGTTGATTGGCCGAAGAAGGAAACTTTTTTATACCCTACACTAGTAGGGTATACTACTACAAGGTATATTAAGTTTTTCCGAAAGAACGGTTTCTCAATCAATTTAAGCTTGTCTGTCCAGCAATCTGTCGGTTGTGTTGGACCTAAGTTTTGCAATTTTTGAGAGGTTTTGACGAACTTTGTTACACCTCCATGTCTTAGCTTAAAAAGAAATTCTACAGAAAACGATTTACACCGTTATTTTGACCACTTCCTATACATCTTGTATATTTTTGTTTTGAAAAAGAAATTGTTTGAGAAATACATTTACATAAATATTTGCAATTTCCCGGCAAAAATTTATATGCAATAACAGTATAGTAAATTGATATGAAAAATTTGGATCAAATGTGTCAAGTTTTTGAATAAACTGTCATACAATAATTCCTCCAGAAAGTTTGGCAACTGTGCCGTGGATTTTTTTTTAGTTTTTCTTTTTCTCTTTTTGTGCTCATAAGCTACGTTTGTTGTTTTCAATGGATATGGATTGCTTATTTACACCATGTCGCGCGAAAACAGGCCCTGAATCTGAACGATTCATTTCTTGTTGGCTGTGTGATCGTTTTGGACATGCAAAGTGTGCTGGTATTACCGGCCGTGTTGCTGATGCCGTCCTTGACCCTTCTAGAGGATTACGATGGTCATGTGCTGACTGCAGAAAGCGGGACCTTGATTTCTAGAAACTCTTCACGGAGACGAGAAATTGTTTCTCAGATTTGAGCAAAAATCTCGGCTCTTTGTGGGAGAAACTTGAAATAATCAAGACTAGGTTTGATGATTGTCGTTATATTGCGCAGTCATTTTCCTCTCCAGCTAACAAAGTTTCAACTCGTAGCGTAGCGTGTGGTTCGCAACCTCTGAGTTCTCCTAAGTCCGTTTCGTCAGTGCAAGTTAGCGATTCCTTAAAGTCTACAAAGAATATTAACGTTTCTGCTACGGCTGAGTCGGTCGGTAACATAAAAGTTACAAGAAAGCCGGGAAGTTCTTCTGGCTGGAGCTATGCTGAAGTGGCAAGTCACTCAATCTTCTCAGGCGTCATCGCCTAAAACTAATAATGAGAATAGTAAATCGTCCTCTCCCCCTGGCTGTTCGAGTGTGAATGCTGCTTGCCAAACTGGGCAAGTCGCACAAGCTGCTCGTGCAAGCTACCCCTTCTATATTTTCTCCAACTCGTAACTCCACATTCGTGAACCCTGCTGCTTCTAGTACAGATGACATATGCTTGAAGGCAGTTCCTCCTAGAAAGGCAATATTTGTGTGAACCTGCTACGTCTGTTGGCAGCGAAAGCCCCTTCTGTCAATTTAAAGCGCGTTAGTATTTTCAAATTGGCTCCTTCTCAATCTAGAGCTATCTCATTTTTTAAAATTCTGGTTCCGACTGAAAATATGGATTTGATATTAAATAAACCATTGTGGCCGGTTGGATCCTTAATTCAGAAATTTATCCCTCGGGATCGACTTCGTAATGCTAATGCAATTGCTCTTTCCCCTTCAAAAAAATAAAAATTTCTTCAGGCTCATTTTCTCCCATTTATCAAAATGTTAGGGGCCTAAATTCAAAAATTCATTCTACCTTCCTAAAATCAATGAGCACGGAGTTTTCCTGTCTGATCTTTACTGAAACATGGTTAAAGCCGGATCTACATTCGAGGGAACTTTTCCATAATTCGTTTCAAGTTTTCAGAAACGATCGATTGTATCGCAATGGTGGTGCTGTTTTAATTGCCATTTCTTCGGCAGTTCCCTCCTATTCACTTGAATTTCCAACTACTCCCGACGTTAAATTTATTGCCATTCGATTGAAAATGCCTAATAAACAACTATTTATAACCTGCTCCTATATTCCCCCAAATTCTGATATCTCCATATATAAGAAACAGGCCTCCCTCATTTATGAAGTCGCCAAGCAGTCGGAACCCTCCGATTTGGTTGTTGCGTTGGGAGACTTCAAATTGCCTCAAGTCACTTGGTGTAACATTGATAGTTCTGGCTGTTTGAATCCTACTTCAACATCTGATAGACAACTTGTTGAGAACTACAGGGACACAACCAAGTTGAGTGTCTTGCCTAAGATGTTTGAGCGAATTGTGACTCAGCATTTGGCATTTGCCATTAATTCGTATATATCTCCACACCAGCATGGCTTTCTGAAAGTTCGTTCTACGGTCACCAATTTGTTGCAGTTTACATGTCACGTTTTCAAAGTTTTTTCTAGTGACTCACAGATGTGATATACGCAAAGCGTTTGATTTCGTTAACCATAAACTACTTATCTTTAAACTCCAAGCCTTTGGCTTACCTTTCTTCTTAGTGGAATGGTTAAGCTCTTATCTGCATGGTAGATCATTCAGGGTTTTATTTAACCTCATTACCTCGGATGAATTCCCCGTGTCGTCTGTCGTACCTCAAGGTAGCCACTTAGGACCCATTTTTTCATTTTATACATCAATGATTTGCCCTCCGTGATTAAATTTAGCGAGATCTTAATGTATGCTGATGATGTGAAACTGTTTTCTTTCTTTTCCGTAGAATCGCAATCACATCATCTTCAAACTGATTTGAATAATTGCATGGTGCTCTTTGAATCTTCTGAAACTAAATCTAAATAAATGTAAGAATCTTTCTTTCTCAAGAAGGAAGTCGTTCATTACTCAGTATTTCATAGATTCGCATAAGTTGGAAGACGTCGATTCGTTCAAAGATTTATTTGATTATAGGTTACGTTTCAATTTGCATATTGAGCTCTCGTTAAGTAAAGCTAGGTCCGCGTTTGGTTTTATAAAGAGGTGGTCCAGAGAGCTTGATGATCCTTATATTACGAAAACGCTGTACTCGAGTATGCCTCTGTTGTGAAGTCTCCTTCATATAGGTGCTACGTTGATTCAATTGAATCTGTTCAAAAGCAATTCTTGCTGTTTGCCCTTAGGAATTTGAGTTGGGATCCGACTGTCTGTCCTCCCTCCTATGAAAATAGGTTGCTTCTGTTATCCTTACCGTCACTGGAGAAACGTAAATTTGTTCTTGTGGTTTCCTTCGTAACCAAATTAATAAATGGTACAATTGACTCGCCCGCATTACTTCGTGAGATTGGCTTTAATGTCCCTAACCGCTTCTCTAGGCACTTTGTCTTGATAAAGCTTAGCCAATGCAAATATAATTTCGAACTGTTTAACCCGCTCAAAGTTGTTTGCAGAAACCTAAATGATGTCTTTCACTTATTCTCATTATCGGATTCTTTGAAGTCCCTTCAAACAACATTGCTTAATGCGCGTAATTTACCTATGTCGCACTTAAACTAGCTCTTAACCTTAAAATGTCACGATGAGTCGAATATGAATTGTTGCCGAGCTTGTGCATGGTTGCGCTGGCTTAGGGGTTCAATCGCAATTTGGTCCTGTACCGGTTGTGGGTGTGGCTCTATGCTAGTTGTATGCATGCTTTTCTTCTTTTTTTTTCCTTCTTATTTGTTGTATTGTACTTATACTAAGTTTTAATATTAATTTTTGCTTTAAGAGTCAATTGAACTCGACTGTCAAAATTTTTAGTTCAGTTTCTTGCATATGTGGAATAAATAAATAAATGAATACCAAATATACCTTTTTAAAGAAACAGTAAGACTGTCCACCATATTTTTTTTGTACACCGATCACCATGCAAGAGGCTATGTTTCTATAAATGAATTTAATTAAACTATTTACCATGTAGTATGTGAACGTTCACTGATTTTGGATTCGCATTGGAAGGGAGACAAGTATAGCGACCAGAATCTGTAGTTGTGGCTTTCTGAATTAGAAGATAAGACGTAGTAATATCGCCCTTTTCGGTTATAACTGAAACTCCTCCTCTTGGAGAATCGTAATTAATTTCCTAGAAATGCCAACGTTTTGGAATAGTTTACAAAACTTGATATGTGTGCAATAAATAAGGAATAAGAGATATAATCAAATAACCGCGTACATTTTACTTTCACAAGCTCGAGTCTCGAAACTCCCGTAACATTATGGTTGCAATGGTTCGAGAATTTAAACATAATATCGGCTAAGTAACTATGCCAAGTATAGTTGATTTAGAAAATTGAATTGATTTACTCATCAATCTTTTATAGATCCACTGCATTGCAATTTTATTTAATAAATCCGAAATCCTAAGAAAGAAAGTTCTCGCGTTGCGGCACGTAGTCCTTTCTGAATTGCAAAAAAAATTTTGCAAGTCTCTTCAAACGAACTTTACAGAGCTACGTTTTTCATAGGGTACATGACTTACATAAGTTATTTGATTATTTGTATCATTCCTTTTTAGCTAAAAAATATTACCTGGTTATTGTGCGTCCAATGAACGGACAAAGGTGGATCCGGTAAATGTTTTACAACGCATGTTAAATTCACTGTTGACCCCACATCTATAAATAATTCAGGTCCGCCCGGTATAGAAGTTACGGGTTCTTGTGACATTTATATAAAGAAAAAAAAATCATATAGTTAATTTAGCAAGCATGGTATGCATAGGGATGGGGGAGCCATTAATATAGTTATGTTCGTCTTGTTCAAATTTTCCTTAGTCGTCAAATCAAACCAATATAAAATAGTTGTAAAGTATTTTTTTTGATTGCGACCATATCAACTAGAAAGCTTCTTTCCATTTGGTCCCGCGGAATTTGTCTACAAAACTGTATATCTTTAGTGTTTACAAGTGACAGAGTTATTGTTTGCTTCTTCCATTTTAAACTTACCTTGTGATTAAATAAGAGTAATTAATTCCCGTTAATTAATTATAAGAGTAATTAATAAAAACGTCTTTTTCTATTATTTTCATTTATGACTACATCAAGCGTAGAATTGATTTCACGTATCAAACTTTTTAAGAAAAGACGTTATTTCGTCTTTAAGCGCTTATAAAACGACGATTTCTTCGTATGAGTGCACTATTTTTAGATTTTACACAATTGCATAAGGTACGCCTCTGAAGTATACACACCATACTTTCAATAAACCGACTTTTGTATGTGGAAAACTAACGTCACACGCCGAAAAATTGGGTTTTTTTCCTTGAAACTAGAACTACCGCGTGGGTCCATACGAGCTATTTGAACTTTTGAGATTAGAATAGACGGTTATAAAGCATGTAGACACCTAATGTTTCTTGATGACTTCTATTTATATGAAAAGACCTTTAAATATCCATAATCAGTTTTTCCGTACATGGTCTTGTCTTCTGGATACCGATGGCGTCGGTATTTGAAATTTGGCATTCCTTAGTCGGCAGTTCTAACTCAAAGAAAATTTCTGAGAAGTCGCAAAGCCTGATAAATAGTGAGCATCGTGCAATATTCGAAGAGTAGAAAACCCGACAAGCTATCTATTACATTGACGAATAAAAGATCTGCGCTGTTTCATTATCCGAAGATTTAACTCAGCGCAGTATTTTAGAAGATGCCGAAGTTAAACACACTAATACCCTCCACCAAGCTGTCATATTCACACTAATATCTTCCACCAACCTCTCATAACCACACTACTACCTTCCACCAACCTGTCATAACCACACTAATACCCTCCACAAACCTGTCACAAACGATACCAGCACGCCAACAATATTTATGCATTTGAGCCAAAAAGTAGGCGCAATGTTTCAATAATTTTACCTTGATTTTCATATTTCAGAGGTAAAGGTGGCGTACTGCGGGAAAAATGTTTTTATCCCTCTAATATATAAACTCTAACACCAATAATACTTTATCTATTCTATTAGAAACACCTCTTTATGTTTAAATAAAAAAGAAGACCACCTATTTTTTGGTTTAATTTTGTTATCTTTTTTGAAAAAGATTTTATGGGGTTTAGAGGCAGTTCATCCATGTACTTCAATCTATTGACAAAAACCTTAAAATCTAATATAAAATTCTCAATGCCGGTATTTATAAATTTTTCATTGATTCGGAAGTGAACCTAGTTCGTTCACAATAGTTCAAATAACATGAAAACGGAAATCTCGACTACGCTTTAATTGATACACTTTGAAAACTGCAAATTTCCTTTAACTGATGCGTTTCTCGAGGGGAAAATATCACTGCTTTCCTTGTTCAACTTAGCAATATTAACGATCAAATATATATATATACGTGAGTAGGGTATTCTATCTCCCCCTTCCTAATTCCATTGCAATAAGTTTTTGTATCGTTAAAGCTGAACTAAACTTTGGATTAAAAGTTAAAAATAATAAATTTTAAATTTATGTAATCAGATAATTCTTACCAACAACAGAAAATATCATAGTATATCCAACGGGCGGAGTAGTCGATACTTGACACTCGTAAGTGCCTGAATCTCGTATTTGAGGAAATTTAATCTACAAAAAGACAATATTTTCCCATGAATAAACACATAGCCTCTATTTTTATTCGCTACTATAATTTCATAATTTGCTAGACACGCGCACATAAACCAATAGCTTTGTCAGTAGCTTTGCACCATTCCCATAAAGTAATGAAAACATTCGAAATGTTTTTTTTTGCGTCTACTTGAAGATTTTAAGGAAAACATTTCTCTTTTTCATTTTTCTTTACGAAATATATATTTTTATTCAAATTATATAAACGTAATTAAATCAGCGTACATGCTTGTTTCTGAAGCTTTTTTCTTTGTTTAGTCGCACACAAAAAAACTCGCCAATTAAAACTTTTAGAATGAATAAAATACATACACATTTGAATTCCGCAAGACCTTGAATTGACTTGTTTGCATTTTTTTTCTGTTCACTATTGTTGAAAACCGCCTGTTGCAGGGAAAGAACGTGGTAGAACACTCGTCGTTAAATTGGAAAATGAAAGTTATCTTTTTATTTTTTCCTCTGTCGAGGGCCTTGCAGAGTATGGTAAATACTTAGTGAGACCTATATTCCCTCATTTAACCGTTATATATTATTTTGCGGCTTGTGGGAAAAGTAGTCTAACAAAAAAAGGACGTCAAACATATTTAATTAATAATTAATTGCTTGGCTTGATCTGACCACCGCATAGAGAATGGTAAAATGAATCGGGTTCTTCTACTAAGTCCACCGATTTTTTTCTTTCTATTTTGCACTTTAAAAACCGCGCGAGCAGCAGCTATTTCTCTGTTCAGAGACGACAGTTTGCCCGATATCAGAACCGGTACATTTTACTTTAAGAAGGTCTGCCGATTTGTTTAACACAAGAAATTATTGAGCGGCTAAGTTAAAACGAGGGCATACGAGTTGCCGGGACGAAGATCCAACTGGTCAAATGAGGTGGCCAATACCACCTTTATATATACGAACCGGCGGTCATGGTAGTTATTTCATAAAAGTGTAGTACATGTTGTTGAGCATGGAAAAGCTACGCGTTGGATCTATTTCACGTTTGTTGGCTGACAATGGATGAAAAACAGCGTCGTGAAGACGGTTTTAATATATACAGGCTATTGGAAATCGTTAGGTATGATGTGTCGAGCTTTTTTGTTTGTAGTCCCTGTATAAAGTAATTAGCTTGTTTTTTTGTCACTTCTAACCAAGGCCTATGTAGAGAAATAGATTATTTTTTCAATTTTTATGGTTGTTTTTTTTTGTTCGATAGGATAACTCTGGGACTGCTCTCGTAATTGGTTGTGAGTACATATTAAAAATATATACATATTTCATAACGATACTCATTAAGTTAAAACTATAATTAAAATCCCTCATCTTACCTTTAACGACCAGTCTCCCGTAATTTTATTGTATATTGATATGAAGCGTTGGTCTGAAGTGTACGTACTTTCACCTACAGTGAGTAAATGTAAATCTCGGTGTCTTATCCACGACACCTGGAAAAAAGTATGCAAAACAATTAGACATTCATAAATTGTTTTAAAAAAAATTATGCTTATATAATAGACATGTAATAAATCAAATCCATAGGCATTGGCATTCAGAGCTTAATGCTACGATTCCGAATTTTTTTGACTAATGCATATGTTCTTGTAATGCTTATAAGAAATAGTTATTGTAAATACATACAAAAAAAAAATAATATTACGTTATGTTATAGATTATTTTCCATTATTTTAGACAGATGAGGGAACTAGTCTTCCAGCTGTATTAAATCATTTCATACTTTCCAACCTAATACAGAAATGCTTAAGCCGATTTAGAAAATAATGCTAACTTGACTGGTACAACAAAAGTTGGATGTTTATAAGGTCTTCCCGGTTGGTGCTCATATCCTCACAATTCTAATTTACTCTTAATGTACAAGTGGTATAGAATGTAAAATAATTAAAAAATATCTTCAAAAAGTATCGTAGTCAAAGCTTCGCATATATTTTGTTATAAACGCTAAAGCTGTTGCATGGCTTAAAAGCAATAATTTTATCTACTAATGATAAATAAAAAAGTTTTTTCCACGTTAGGATTATGAAGTCTTGGTGTACACAGTAACTCAAGCCATTTTGTTACATCAAACGGCTGGTGCTGTTTGCATGGGGAAGCTGCTGATCGTGCGGATAATTTTATTATAAGTGCAGGAAATTGTAATCAATATCATATTTTCATGCACCGCGCATGTCGAAATAGTGCTCCCTACCTACAAATTACTCAAACGCTAAGATCCCAGAATAAGTCTTCTTGAAGTCGATTTCTTAATGATCAAAATAACTTGATGTTTCCAGTTTCCACCATAAAACAAGTGTAAGATCGTCAAACTCTAATTCGTGTTAGTATCGCAATAACTCATCAACAAACATGCGCCTTAGCAATGAACAGCATTTTCGACGTTTTTGTAGAAATTAAATTCATTGGTTGACTTTGACGTTGTTAATAATTTGAGCTTGTATATAATTAAGTAAGAACGCTAGGCAACGATCTGTGCCTACAAAATTCCCTATAACTAACTTTGTTGGACTTCTAATCTGCAATGCTTTTAATTAAAATGAGAAATCTTTGTAGAAGGCAATAAAGTCGTTGCCAACAACGCATTGACTATCTAATCATTTTTAACTACGACATTTTTCAGAAATGCTTTATCGGATCGCAAAATAATTGCTTTGGAAAAAACAAGCAATTTATCTTGCATAATCACATTGGACTCAATTTCAGTTCACGTCTCGGAAACAAAAACTTTTGGCTTTCGCTTTTTGAAATTAAATTAATTCGAACTTGTTGTCTAAAAGACATTTCTAAGTTTCTTCTTTGCATGAGTTTTGTGATTTACTATCTTTACCTATAGATGTTTCGCAAAGATGAATGTTCTGTGTCCACTTATGCGTTCTATCTTATGTTCTGAGTCTTCGAAATATTTAATGCTTGCCGTATTATTTTGTACACCGATCATCGGTATTTACTTATTGCATAAACTTGGTTGTTGAATGAAAAACATATTATCTAAATAAGTGGAAAATAAGTTGAACGCGGAGAAGACGCGACCCATCTTTTACACTAGAAAGAGAAACTCTTGTTAAGTACTTGGAAGTAATATTGGGTAAAAAGTTATTTTTCCGCACTCATATTTAACTTATGAAAAGCAAAAACAATATTCCCATAACAATGCTGTATCTATTAATAAAAAATAATTCTAAGTTGAGCACTGAAAATAAAATTCTCCCATGTGAAGTCGTTTTTTAATCGACTATGATATATGCCTATCCAGTATGGGGTAATTGTGTTCTCAATGTGAGAATTATTGAGAATGTTTGGAATTATTGAGAATCATAGACGCTTACTTTCAGTTGGCGGCAAATTTTTATACGCACGCTTATTCTCAGATGCTCGCAATTTTTATACAAATACTTGAACAATTATTAAAAAATGTAAACAAATTGGACGCTTATTCTCACATGTTTGGAATTATTGAGAATCATTTTCAGTTGGCGTGAATTTTTTATACGCTTATTCTCAGATGCTCGCAATTTTTATACAAATACATGAGAATTGTAAAGAAATGTGGACGCTTATGCTCACATGTGTACTCTCTGCCCCATGTTAAAATTTTTCAAATATGCCAAATTAAAGAATTGAAAAATTATGCTTAATTTGCTTGTTTTTCTGCTAAAAAGTCGCACGCAATAATAAATTTGGGCCCATTACAAACAAAAATGACAGAATTCCAAAAAAAACCTTATTAGATTATCTTTTATTCAGTAAGATTGTTATAAATTAAGTTTTTCTATACGCTAATACATAATCTATTTCATAAGTCACTCTCAGATATGTAACTTTAATCGAATGTTTTTATTCGCATTATACGTATTCTATAGGTTTAATACTGTTTTATTTTCTTATATTTACCATGGTATAAAATTAAGTAACAACGGTGTATAAGTTCATGTTAATATACTCTTTCCGAAAATAAAATTGAGCTTGAAGTTTAAATTCAACTTTGTGTTTGCGTTTTGAATTCACAAAAAAATAATTAAATAAAAAACGTCTATAAAATCAAATACTTACAGTTTTATTACCAAGATTTTTAATGCGACAGTTGAGATGAGCTGTTTTTCCAACTAATGATGTAACGTTTTTTGTTGCCGATGTATCAAAATATGGTCCCCTATCTAAGGGCTTATTATTTTTTAAAATTTCTGTTCTTTCGACCTCAGACCCTTTCTCGCGAAGACTAAAAAGGTCCGTGTTTTCTATTTGGTCGTTTCCTATATATTTATATTGGCATTCCATTCCTCTGTAAAATACTGAAACGTTGATTAATGTGTAAGATAAATGTGAAAAAATTTGTCTTAAATTCTTGCTTTCCGTGGTGTTCTGCATATATACATATGTATTATTTTCTGTATATACAGAATCATGCTTTATTGGGCAACTTGCTTATAAAAATTTATTTAAATTTCACTTCTGGATAATACAGAAGGACTTAAAGCATATCTCCCGGGGCATATGTGAAAATGAATAATGAATGAAATTAAGTTAGATGGCGAAATGTGAATGTGAAAGAAAGAAATATCATTGTATTGAATGGTCACTTAGTTTTATTGCTTACAATTCCACTGCCGAACTGAAAGCTCTTCACTATAAGAGACTTACTGAGTCGCTATTCACAATTTTATCAAATTGATTTTACTTAGATCAAATGTCCTAATTTTTGATCTTGACAATTTTTGAGTCTTATCCTTCTAAACTCTAAAAAGGATATTATTGCAAAGCAATTACGATTATTAAAACAAGGCTATTGCGAACAATATCCACATTTCTTATTGAACATTATAGTTGCGTCACGTACCGAGGCAAAAACCATTTAAAAACGTCTATGTGACAATTGATGCATAGATGATCGAGTAAAGGTCTCCTTCCGGTAGTATATTGTCCACACCTTTAATTTACAAGATGAAAATCTTATATTTGATGAAATCTTATATTTGATGATATGAATATGTCTACAATCCTCGATAGATACACATACATATATCTGCGCACATAATATTTGGCCTACATAGCTTTACATCGCAAGGATAATCCCATAAAATGAGTTTTTTTTTACGCACTGAGGTTAAAGGGAATTACATATTTGTAAAACTTTGTTTTTCACTTACATATCGCCAAAAGTATTTGTATATAAAACATTTTTTTTATTTTAAAACATTAGTATTTATCTACATAAATAATTTTTTTCTTTTTACTAAACGATTTGATTTGTTAATTCGGTATTTCGTTATTAAGTCAAACGAAGAAATAAGCTTGAGTCATGCGTATTATGGTCTTCGAAATCTTCGAAATTATGAAAACATAAAATTCACTTCATTTTCAAGTTTTTTCCTAGTTCCTGACACTTTGCTGCTTGAAATGTAAAATATATACACATATATGAGTAACTAAATATAAAATTTGATTTTGAAATACGCAAAGAGATATGAATACGGAAGTAGCCACAAACACGACGGCTGAAACGGGTGAATGCCGAGGTTCCTTGTTCTTCTTCCTTTTTGATGCAAGTTGCTTGTTTTTCTTCCTTTTTGGTGTAAGTTGCTTGTTCTTTTTAGCCGCTTTTTTTTGTTGTGTTTTATATAATTCTTACCAATAATTACGATTGTTTATTATCTAGACATAAAAGCCACAAATTTATTGCCTTAGTCCATTTCCACTCAAGCACGGTAAGTACATATAGCAAACCAGCCTGCTTCTTAAAACCATATAAGATCATTTTCAAAATTAGTTTGTTATACTCTTCAAAACTCAATTAAATATTTTGTAAGTATATCGCAAAGTTAATATATTATTGATATGTACAATTTGCTAACAAAATTGTTCATGAAAAGCTTGAAATCGAACTAAGGAAACAGTTTTAGCGAAAATGAAGTTTGACAAATTCGATTTAAACTGAGAACGTGGCTGAATAGTTTGTTCCATTTATTTATCTATTTATTTTGCATATATCTTATCAATAAATTTGCAAAATACAGTCATGAAGGAAAAAAGGTGGTCCAAAGTTTATTTGATATTCTTAAGAGATTAAAATTAATTTTAGAGACTGCGCCATGTGAAATAATGGTAACTCTACTGCTAACATTTCTCTTTGCATAACTGCTACTGAACAAAATTCTTTTGCTTGAAAACTTATCAACACGATGGTAAATCATCCTTCACTCCGAAAAAGCCGATGATCAAAAAAGTCAAGCGAATGTCGAATTATTGAAATATACTATTAAGTTTGTTGATTAGAAAAGTATTTGATACTTAAATACTGAATGAAAACTCGAGAGCAAGGTTGTTTGGTCTTCTTACTTGGAACGTTAATATATTCGCGTTCCCTCTCGAAGAGGTCACTCCAAATTAATTCTCAAGAACGCTTAATGGGCATTATTTGTTGTCTTACCTAACACACTTACTGGTATTATCGATAATTTACCATCGTTAGCGGTGATTTATAATATACGTGGCTTTTTTGCAAAGAGAATAAAATGGATATTCGTATATTTATTTTGTTTCTTTCCAATCAGGTAATTTTTATTACAAGCAAGATCATCAATCAAAATGTTGAACGTTCGATAGACTTAACAACACAAGTCGTAAGAGAAACTGTAAAAATTACTGCTGAAGATACTGAAGGTATTCCTTTCAATGCCTACAATGTCGTTTTTAACGAAGATTTGGCTCAACATGTATCCTTTGTATCTGCAAAGCACACATCTAAGAAATTGACAATGCGAAAAGTGTCGGCTGGAAGCACGAACGTTATAATGTTCCCCGAAGCAGCTCCATCTCATGTTTTTTATATTGAAGTCATTTATACAAGTCAGATACAACCATATCCAGAAGAAATAAAACAAGCTGATAAACAATTTGTGAGATACACAGGTCCAATGTATTTTTATTCCGCATACAAAACACGTTTTCAGAAAACTCAAGTAAAATTGGCAACATCGAACATCATTTCTTATACTCAGATCAAACCTTACGCTGTTTCGTCAAATAAAATCAAATACGGCCCATTTGAAGATATTTCTGGTGAGCATTTTTGAAATATATAATTATTGAAATCGAATGTTTAGTATGGAATGCTGATACCATAGCAACAAATACGTTAATGTAGCGTGTAGGAATAGCTTTGACTCAGATTAATAAACAGTGGAGTGAAAACACACTCCACAACACACAACAATCGGTACAATAAAGGTTCCACCATAAATAAATAGTTCGAGCTAAATACTTATCATTTGATGAAAAACTTTTTTAGAAAGAAATTGCTAAAAAATGTTGCTGTATTCTTTACCTTTAAGTTTATTTAAAGTGTTATCTATGAAGAAAGCATATTTCAGCATATCCAGCTTTTTTATTGACAATTTACTGGTTCGAATTGGAATATATAACCAACATTTTTTAATTACAGGTCATTCTAAAGAGCTTATGACTGTGCATTATGAAAATCAAACACCATTTATGTCTGTAAATCGATTAGAGAGAACAATACAAGTATCTCACTGGGGAAATATCGCTGTCGAAGAAAGTATACACTTGCTCCATACCGGAGCAAAATTGAAAGGATCATTCTCAAGATATGAATTTCAGAAAGATGGCCGTTCTGGCCAGGCATCTATTAAATCATACAAAACTGTTTTGCCTGCTTCAGCGTTTGGAGTTTATTATAGAGACACCAATGGCAATATATCCACTTCGAATATGAATGTATTGAAAGAATCTGTAGAACTTGAGTTACGGCCTAGATTTCCTCTTTTTGGCGGATGGAAAACTCAATATATTTTGGGTTATAACTTACCATCCTTTGAATATTTGTTCAACAGTGACGATGACTACGTTCTTAGAATGAGGGTAATAGACCATATTTTTGATGACATGGTTGTTGATGAAGCTGTTGTGAAAATTATTTTGCCAGAGGGATGTGCAAGCATACAATTGATACCGCCCTATTCTATTAGAAGAGAAGCGGATGCTATGTCCTACACTTACTTGGATACCTTCGGTAGACCAACAATAGTGTTCTCAAAAAATAATATGGTTGAAAATCATATGTCGGATTTTGAACTAAAATATAAATTTCCCAAAATTTTACTTCTTCAAGAACCTATTCTTATAATAACTTTTATTTTTATGATTTTCTTGTTCACAGTGATTTTCAAACGTCTAGACTTTTCTATAGCCGTTCATCTTCATAAAGAATAATATAAATATGTTTAGTTCTAATAAATCGATCTCAATCGGTGATCTTACTTTCAAAATGCGCGACATTACGTACTTTGTGTGTGTAATACACAAATACGGAAAGTAATAAATAGAGAAAATGTATTGAATAAAAAACGGTTGTTCGATATTTTTTAAATAAATAGGGCTGATATTGACTAATCGACTAATTTACCAAATAAAGTCTGCATGCAGTTGAGTGTCAAGGAATATATTAGATAAGACGCAAAAGCTTCTCAAATTTCAAGATTTAACGAGGACCGTGAAGCAGGAGAGAGTTTTGAGAGTAGAACAACTCTCAAAAAGTTCAATGTTTCAACAAACTGAATGGAAGGAGCATATGTGAAAAGCGGAATAACCGTAGGGTTTTTCCTTTTTTTGAAAAGATCATGCATTTGGTGTTATTAACTGAAAGTGTGACTTGGAGTGACTTGAGACGAGATGGAATAGTGTCGAATTTAGATTTATAATAGTGTCGATTTTGAGATTTGCCTACACAAATCTCTCAACACGTAAATTAAAACAAGGAGGACTCAATACGGATACAGTAGTAGTAGTACAAGGCTTATAAAAATATACACTTTTGTTTACAAAGAAAAGAGCACAGAGTTGCTTTCAATAAATGCAAATACCTCGGGACCATGTTAAAAAATATCCCGCGAAGCGAAATCTCTGAGTACCAAGAATACTGAATTTAATATTCCATTAATTTGTTTACAGATCTGAAGAATTGTTTTGGAAAATGGATTGAAAAGAATAATTATATCATCGAAAACATGGAACACATCTATACGCCCACTTGGTCACTTTTCATAATTTTTTTTTGGTTTGTAAAAGAAGAATGGATAATACATGTAAATTGAGGGACCTATACACCAGTAACGTAAAATATAAAAATTTTTCCGATGATATCCTTTGTTAGGCTCTTTGTAACCGCAATTCTGTAATCATTTTTAATTTGAAAAACGAAGGGACATCCGCGAGAAAAGAATGTTCGTCGGTTTACAATGGATAAAAATTGAGAGCAACCAAAATTATTAGAGACATCGCTTTTGGGTACTTTTCCATTGCATTCTTTAGCTATGGCTTCGTGCACGCCAAAATATAATCAAATGCCCTTAAAAACCGAATTATCAAACAAAGAGATCAGTTTATGTTTTTTGGGTGATGGTGAGTCGGCATTTTTTCTTTTTTGGGTATGGACTAACCCACCAAATTTATGGCGTATATGTTCAGAAAATAAACAGTAGTAATTATGAGCAAGATATGTATTGTAACGAGTTTCCTTAGGCAGGGTATGACTCAGCCAATCCAGGAT